TTTTTTTTCATAGACCGTCATACGTTGTTTAATTAATTTTTTTTTTTCGTCCATAATAAAGTGTCCAATTTTTCTTTCTTTTTAAACACCTACTAAAGTGCAATACACCTTTTCGGGTTTGCACCTGTCAAAACTACTTCTTTTCACCTTTTTCTTATCCTCAGATCTGTGACCTCTTAGTGGGCGCAATTACCTCAATCTCTTCTATAAATTTTCCCAATTTCTTCAATTTCAGTGACTGGATTATACGTCCATCACCATAAATAGGCATCCATAAGACCTCTCCTAAATAAAAATCCTCATCTATTATTTTACTCACATTTCAACACTTTGACTTATTAGTTTTATATATTATTCAGCTCTATTATCATTCTGATTGATCCCTTGATTACATTTTATCATTGTATCTCTTATTTATAAGCATATAAGCTATACTTAAATCCATTTATTTCCTAACAGTTCCGCTTTTGTTTAAACTAGATGTGGTGCTCACTCAATTCGCAATTTTAAAGACCTTCTTTACTAAACTCTATTTTATTTAAAGAAATACTCTTTATCCCGCCAATACTACTCGTATACTCTTATTTCAATGTTTATAGCATTTTGGAAAGTTTGAGTCGGGCTTTTTGAGCATAGAGGCAGTTGATTCAATATTAATCGTCAAATTTACTCAAGCGCAATTTATAAAAAAGAGAAAGAATAAAAAAGCTTGGGTTATGGAAAGCAACATCATCATAGTATGTAATTTTGCATATAGTTGTCCTCATATGAGTTTTTCAGAGGATTCCTGTCACTTTTAAATGATACGATTATAAAACGGGGCCGTATCCTAATCCATCCATGATCCAAGCACAAGCTGATGACAGCATTTTAAAGAAAGAGCAATTATACACCAACGAAAAATCCAAATTTATTATTCTCTATCACGCTTCTCTTCATCCGCTTTAGGTACACTTTCCCAGAAAGTATCCGACAGTCCTTCTAGTGTCTTTTTAGGAAATGTTTGTATCGAAAGGTCATTGAAGATTTGGTTGTTGTCAAACTCTTTGGGAAATGAAACAACATCTGCAATTTTCACAGCAGGGATAAGATAAGGGCATTCTCTCACCAGATCTTTCTCCAATTGACTAGCAATGGTGTTAATTTTCCCAGGTTATATCACACAAAGTTATCTTTGCTATTAATTTTTTTTTTTTTTTTACCTTCCAACATACATGTCAAATCTATTGCCGATAATGGTCAATCGAGCAAGTTGATCCTTATTCCAATTGACACTGAGAGTGTTACTATATAATCCTCTTCCGCAATGTGGCATATAAAACAAGGTATCCTTCTCTATTGATCTTTTACCACTCTCGTTTTCCTTGATGATTTCAATGTTGTGAAGTTGACATAATTCTTTATCCAAGTCAGTCATGACGGGATCAAATATGTACATTGTACCTGGAATCTAAAAAACACATGCACACAAACAAATCAGAATCATATGAAAAAGCTCTATATATCCCTTCTACCTTTAATAAATCACGGAGTAATAACGCCAACACAAATTGATACTGGGCGTTCTTGGATTTCTGTACAGAACCGATACCGTAGCAAACGATATCGAAGGGCTTGGTGGATAATAAGTGATCATCGAAAACCACTATTTCCATAAAAAGGGTCAGACATACATAAAAAAAAAGTAAAATGACGATGAATTACCAGTCAATTCCTTATAAAAACGACTACTCAATAAAGCTTCTCTATAGAATGTGAATGAGTTATCTCCTGCCAATATTCCAACTAACAAAAAATAAAAGTCGTCTTTACTTGCGATCTTTCAAAGTTGTTGTGACATCATCGATGGTCCAATCGTCTGAATCTTTAAATGTATAGGTATTCTTCTTTTTGTTCTTTTTTTTGTTGGTCACGGGCTTATATTTAAAACGTTCAACTTTCACGAAACCGTCTTCTTCTAATTGATCTGCCATAATCCTGATGCTTTGAAGTAGAAAAAAAAAGACAAAAAATGGAAAAAGTGACTTTTTATATTTCATTTCATATCCCGTGCTTTTGGTCATACTGCTCGAAGAAAACATGCATCGTGAAAGCTTAGTCAAATTTTCCAGTAATCTAGACGGGAGTGAGTTGGAAACCAAAATAGACAATAATGTTGATGGTGCTCCATACGAAATATAGTGTTGATTATAACATATTCAATTTGCTAAAATTATTATAGCCACCGATAAGCGAAGCTTTACTCATAGCCCATCAGCTTATTACCATAAAGCATGTCGCCCAGTAAACGTGAGACGGTGATGCAACAAAAGCTCGCATCAAACGAGTCTTACATTCACGTATTTTAAATAAGCAAAAATTATTTTATATTTGTCGATTTCGTACACATAGATTCAAAATCATTTGAAATATGGATGATGTAGCATAGCACTACCAATTAAATTATCACTTGATCGACTTTTTGTTTTTTAAAAAAAAGGAAAATATGAACCCACTGCGGTGTTGCGTCGGAAGAAAATCAATTTTTTTTAACGTTGACGTCATTTCTAATTTATTTCCTCACAGAGGGTACGATGCAGTTTTTATTCCATCTCTCTGTTGAATACAGCTTATTCTAGCATTGAATATTAGGAATGATTCTTGCTTCAGGTAATAATCACATGCATCACTAGATTGGTAATAGTATTGATTATTTCCATGAACTGGTACCAGTCGTACACTACGTATATACACCAAACCATACTTTATCTGTTGAATGCACTCTTTCACTTAGCATCGGCCGAGCCTTTCCTATTGTGATAGAGAGAGTAAGTCTGCCTTAGCCGAGCTTTGCCAGCTTATTCTAGCATTGAATAATAGGATTGATTCTTGCTTCAGGTAATAATTACATGCATTACTAGATTGGTAATGGTATTGACAATTTCCCATGAACTGGTACCAGTCGTACACTACGTATATACACCAAACCATACTTTATCTGTTGAATGCACTCTTTCACTTAGCATCGGCCGAGCCTTTCCTATTGTGATAGAGAGAGTAAGTCTGCCTTAGCCGAGCTTTGCCAGCTTATTCTAGCATTGAATATTAGGATTGATTCTTGCTTCAGGTAATAATTACATGCATCACTAGATTGGTAATAGTACTGATTATTTCCATGAACTGGTACCAGTCGTACACTACGTATACACACCAAACCATACTTTATCTGTTGAATGCACTCTTTCACTTAGCATCGGCCGAGCCTTTCCTATTGTGATAGAGAGAGTAAGTCTGCCTTAGCCGAGCTTTGCCAGCTTATTCTAGCATTGAATATTAGGATTGATTCTTGCTTCAGGTAATAATTACATGCATCACTAGATTGGTAATAGTATTGATTATTTCCATGAACTGGTACCCGTCGTACACTACGTATACACACCAAACCATACTTTATCTGTTGAATGCACTCTTTCACTTAGCATCGGCCGAGCCTTTCCTATTGTGATAGAGAGAGTAAGTCTGCCTTAGCCGAGCTTTGCCAGCTTATTCTAGCATTGGATATTAAGATTGATTCTTGCTTCAGGTAATAACTATATGCTTCGCATGTCGCATCACTAGTATGCTAATAGTAATGAATACTCCCATGTACTTGTACCAGTCGTACACTACGTATACACACCAAACCATACTTTATCTGTTGAGTGCACTCTTTCACTTAGCATTGGCCGAGCCTTTCCTATTGTGATAGAGAGAGTAAGTCTGCCTTAGCCGAGCTTTGCCAGCTTATTCTAGCATTGGATATTAGGATTACTACATGCATAACCCTTGGAACACATAATAAAGATCATCTTTTATTTCAGCATTCATGATTATTGTCTTCTGCGAAGCTGCTAGTATTAAATATGTTGGTTAGTAATATGTATAAGTTATATATTCGCACCTTTTGATTACTGTTTAGACACTGTTCCTATTAGTGTGATGGTACCTCCGAAACTTACATTCCCATGTAAATTAGTAACCGGCTAAACGACCTATGAACAATTATGTGTTGTTAACCATGTTTGCTGTTGCTCCGAGTAAACGCAAAACTATTACGTTTAGGCGAAATATTGTAGTCCACTTTAGCCTGCACTGGAGTGAGTTTCGTAAGAAAAGGTTTTGTTTAAACTAAAAGTGAACTTATCTCGGTCTGGCTTGGCTACATCAAAGTCGATTTATAAACTAGAATTCAAAAGTATTTGGCAAATAGCTAGCTTGTTTACCCATCATGGTCTATTATAATTCTATTTTACTTCATTATACTCGCACTAATCATGTACATAAAACACGTCACGCTTTTGAACAAATAAAGCGTGTACGAAAAAGAAAGAGAAAAAAAAGTGTTCATTCCTGCATACAAATTATTCCTGAATACACTTTATCAATACATAAAAGTTAACAAAATGAGGTATAATCAAGCTTAACGCTTTATATTATAAGATAAATTAACAAGTAGATCGAATCAAGTAGCACTTTAAATGAATATATAAATATCAATTATCAATTGGAGGACTTTTCAATTTTAAACTATTTAAAATTTAAGAATTATGCGGCCCAAGATAGAGCAAATGCAGAAAGGATGATAAAAGAATGTGTAGATTCCATCTTGACCGATGAGACAACAACTAGCTACTTGCGTGATATTTGCAATTCTATCAAAGAAGGAGACTTCATGGTTGGTTTAAATAGATTTTATAGAAAAAACCAGCTCCTTATATGTACCGTTTGTTTAGGAACTAAGAACGGACGCATATAATGCTTTCTGGACTAGAAAAAAAATAGTTGACAACAGAAACAAACAAAAAGCCGATGAAGTTGTAGATAATAGATCATCCAAAAGATTAAAGTCAAAGATAGTAAGATATTACACGATACTATGATGTGAGAAATGATACATAAATGTAATCAACTTTTCTTTTAGGTAATCTCTGAGAAAACTGTACCTGGAGAAACGATTAAGAACGCTGCTATCAACACTTACTATAACAAAAGCTATAAGAATTTAAAAAACTCCGATAAAAACATTGTCAGGTTTGTGCCAAACGGTATACTGATTTATTATAATATACCTTACTTTGACTTTTAGCCATGGTTTCAATTCGATCCTTGATTTAAGTGATTGTTCAGATGATGGTCAGAAAAAGTTTTTTACCGCAAAAGAATGGAAAGAATTACAAGAAAAATTCAATACTACAATGCAAGCGTGGAGAAGACTTGACAGTGACATCAAACATGAATTAAAAGAAATAGAAAAGGTAAGAAGATAACTGTTAAGCCTAGATTATTTTACTTATAAATTATTTAGATAGCTGTTGAGGATTTAAAAGAAGCGTATGTCATGTGTTTAAAAAAACAAGCCGAATATGCCTTTACACCCAAAGAAAAATATTTTGAGTGTTATGCCCAAGTGTTAGTCATATAATATTATTCCGTAGCATGTACTATTTATTAATTTTATATTATGGACATTTTAATAGATTGAAGACAATTAAATTCACACCTTCATTTTTATTTTCTGATAACAAAAACAACGAACATACGGAAGCTGATTTTGTCAACAAATTGTGGGCCCCTCTTTTTGAATCTTTGTTCCGTGATTCCCCAAATGTTACATTGAAGTGGTAAGTATAGTACTATAATTCGAAGAGAGTAAATAATGTGTTTTATCTAATTCACTAAATCTTATAGGGGTGAAAGTGTTTGTGAAGACTCAACTTCAGTAAAAAAAGACTCCATTACCGGCCCCGCAAAGAATATCATCGGTGACAAAGTCGACCTCAGGATTATCAGTGCAGCTGGTCACGATGTTATAAATGTTGAATTCGCCAGACATCCAGATGATAATAAATACTACGGAGACAGAAGGAAGATTCTAAGAGAATCAAAGAACAACGCCGATTTCGTCTATAGGTCTACTTGTGTCAAAAAGTCGCTGAAAAAAAAAATGAAGAGTTTATGTATTCAAATAGCTGGAAATCAAGGAGAAATAACAGAGACACGCTTGATGGATGATGGCCTTTATATAAGTAACAAAATCGGCTCGTTACGTATTCCATCTGGTCCAGCAGACCTAAATGTTCTTCGTGTTCTGCTTGAACGCTTAGATGAAGTAAAAGTAGGTTTTTGTAATTGATGTTATAGCAAGTTTACTAACAGATATTTCATTTTTCTAGAGAAATGCTGTGCATATTAGTAACGTACATGCAATAATCCAAAAAGATATGGCGCTCAAGAATAATAGTATGGATAAAAAACGCGGCTGTGATGTTTCTCCCAATAGAAACGACAAGAGTGAAGAAAAACGTATTCGAGAATGCAACGAATGTATGTATTCCAGTTGGACAAGAGGATCTTGGTTCGCGCCTAGTAAAAGTAGAGACGTTGCCTTCGCAGGCGATATGCCAAAGTATTTTCTGTCTCCTCTCCCTGTGTTGTCTCATGACAATTAATCACTTTGATAAAATTAAATGTTCTTTAATCAATAGTCAATACATAATATATCAATAGGCCGAGTGGATTTTATAAGCGTCTCATTTATTCCTCATTTATGCTAAAGCCATTAACCAAGCCAGATGTTAACCCGAAGCCACTATAATGGATGTCACTTACAAAACGAACTCGGATCCCAAGAATAAGGTGTTTATTTTAAAAAAGATAAATAAACGAAAATGAATGATAAATGATTGGGGGTGTTTTACACTACGTTTTGAGATTTTGGAAAGAGAAAGAGGGATTGATTAGGGACAGACAAACTCTCATCTTATTCAACGACCGCTTGCCGCAAAAACAATCTCTCATTAAAACCTTACAATTATAAGCTGCTGATTTATGGGATACAGCCCACTATATGGCAGTAGAAAGTTTGGTATACTGCCCCAGGTAGTTATAAAGAGTAGATTACTTGATTAGAAAAGCGGGACTAGGAGTTACAGCGGTACACATAATGTGGGTGCTTGCTTTGCATTAAAATTGAATTTTAAGAAGTTTTTTTTTTTTTTTTTTTTTTTTTTTAAAAAAAAAACAGATGCAAAGCCCATCCAAGATTTGGGATGCAGCCGATTACTTGAATAGCACTAGCTTTTTTATAGAGGGTTTTGACGCAAATACTTGGACAAAGATAGAAATTTGAACCAGGAACAAGATTAAAGCTGCAGTTTTTTGGCCAAAGAGGGAGAAATTACATTATTTAAAGAATTTTTTTAAGGATGAATAAGTAGGTGGAGGTGATAGATAATAAGCTTATCGATGTTATTCATACAGGCATAATTACTTTAGATTACAATTCTAGCTCCTGACAATAGTGGCGTCAAGATTTTTTATGGGAGGAATTTAAAAGTCTTGGACATTTCTGTGGCGTACGATTTCAAGACTAAAAGAATCCAAGAGCTGACAGAAAACCTATTGATCTTTCAGGCTATTTTTTTACATGTGTTGAAAATTTCAATTCCATGTAATGGAAAAAAAAAAGGTGTTTCGATATCAACCTTTTATTGCTGGACGATGTTTCAAATGAAGACCATGTCACACATGTAAAAAAGTTAAGAAGTCAGTTGATATTGCAAACGTATTAATATCAATGAATTTAAGACCGTCAAAATAGCTACAGTTTATTTTTATTATTGTTGGTTGCATTAAAAGACGCGTGATTGCTTGAAAATAAGAATGAAAGACAGCTTAGAATACAGTTATGTTTGTGTGACCTATTGGAATTGTTGTGTTTGGATATCCCTGATAGTAAAAAAAAATTAGGGAGAACAACCCTAGATCTACAAACATGTATACAAGTATTCAACTGTTTTATATTTCATGAAGCCTTTTTTTTTCTTAGGTGAAGATCGATAAGCCCTCTTTAATTGAGAGATTTACTTTGACAAACATAAGACTCCCCAAAATAAACCTTTTACTTTTATACGAAAACGTATAATGAGTTCATAATCACGTAATTTACACACATTGAAATATGGTATTTTAAGATTGATTAAGTTTGCCCTTCATCTAAACTCCTCATTGTCAAAAATTATTTTCTCATCCAAATTATCATATAATTATTACAATTCTTGAGAAATAATTTGGTCCATGTGTTGTGTAGCGTTTTTTGACTGGTCCATGTAGTAAGAACGTGTCAAGACGAAGCAATAGCAGTATCGGCTATTATCGTTGTCCAAAGTGTTTTAACTTAAACTGTTACGTGATATGTCGAGTAGTACATTGTATTACTCGATTTGTTTATAAATTAGATACGATTTGTCGTTTGATGAATTGAGCTCTTCATCTCTCACAGGCCAAATTCGAAGTTTATACATTATAAGACGAGATCGGTTTCTCTAAGGATTCGCGGTTGGTGTTATATATCGCTATTTGTCAAGTCTAAGGGCAGTTAGAATCCCGTTACAACACAATTATGATATGGGGGCCCATTTTTTTAGCCAATAAAATAAAGTTCCCACTTTTTTTTTTTTTAGATATGTGTGTAAATTACTGTACCTCAACTTGCTTTTTTGTTTTTATTTTTGAGCAACAACTCCTTTCTTTACTTTTTTTTTTTTTTTGCCATGAGACAATTCCATGTCATAGCAACACTGGCTATTATTGCCTTTATGTTTATTTCTTCGTTATTTTTGTTTAATAAACAATCGGATGACACTTCAATTCCATATGAATATGCTAATGCCGAAGCACCTGAAGACTTTAGTGGAGACAATGCGAGCGAGGAAATCATCATGTCGTACATGGGAAACAAAACTCAAAAGTAATTTGTTTTATTGCAGGAGGGGAACATTGTACTATGCGAATGCTAATTCTTTTTTTTTTAAAAAAAAAAAAAAAAAAAAAAAAAATAGAGAGGAGCTTGGAAGAGCGACTTGGAAGGTATGGCTAATATAGAAAGATGATCAATTCTACTATTTCCCCTACTAAACAAAGTTCTAGTTTCTGCATACAATGATGGCAAGATATCCAGAAACACCTACTAGAAACGAACGGAAATCACTGTATGATTTCATGATGTTATTTTCGACACTGTATCCTTGTGGTGAATGGTAACGCGAAAATAGCTTTCTTTTTTTTTTAAAAAAAAAAACGTCCCATCAAACTTTTGTATTTAGTGCAACCCATTTTAATAAGATGATTACCGAATTTCCACCACAGACCTCATCTCGATTTGCGGCTTCACAATGGCTATGCGGAATGCATAATAAAGTCAATGAGCGTTTACATAAACCTATTTTTGATTGCAGTAGCATTGAATCGCAATATCCATGTGGCTGTAATGAACCGGAGGACGAGTAAACAAAAACAAAAAAAAAGCACCTCATCCGGTTGATCTTTTATATACAGTCATATATTTAATAAAAAAAAGCTAGTGGTACCAAGAACATGTTTAAACTACGTGCTATTTATGGGATTAGACATAGAAAGCGACAGGATTAAAACAAGTTTAATTAAATACACATCATGTGTACGTAAGCAAAAATCTTGCAGGAATCAACAGGTGCTTCATATTTTTTTTTTTTGGAAGGCACAAGCCACCGTGATCCGAACGTTAGTTTTAATCAAAAACAGGGCACTTTATTTACACCGCCCCTTATTTTAGAAAATACACATATGATAAGACACGACTTCTTTTTTTTTCAGATTTAAATACAACTTTTTTTTTTTCTTTTGCTTTTTTTTTTTTTTCTTGTCTGTTATTTTATTTATTATAATTATAAACCGAGTCTCCTTAAAATTTTCTCGTACATCATCAACATAAAAAAGAAAGTTGTACCTTGATCATTCTTTCTCTTTTCTCTTTTCTCTTCCTCCTGATTTTCAATTCCATATGAATTGTAATACACCACCTTTCTTTATAAAAGGTAAAAAAAAAAAAAAAAATGGTTTTCTATATTTGGACGAGTATTTAATGCGTATAAAATAAAAATAAAAATTCATCTCCGATGTGTGTGTATTTAACAGATGATGCTCGATCATCCGTGTACATAGTCGATGATGACTGTAGCACGCTCAGTCATGAAACCACCAATTCCAATGAATCTTTTTATTTGAATTCGAAAAGAACCAAAAGATACAATTCGATACAAGATCCAGATAACGACGATCACGACTTGATCGGATTAGCACCCAGTAGTCGAAGGAGAATGTCAAGTAATAGAAATAATACAAAAAAAAATAGTTTTAATGAATAGATAAAACCAACACTTTTTTTTTCCTTATAAATGTAGTTCCATCTGACAAAATACATTTAAATACAATTCCACCTGCCACGTTTTGGAATACTTTTAATACCAGATCAAAATATTATCTGCCAATACTTCAATGGATACCACTTTACAATCGTCATGATTTTAGCCAAGATATGATATCAGGATTATCCCTGGCTGCTCTATTTATCCCTCAAGCATTATCTTATGCAACTGCACTCTGTAAAATACCTGCCATTCATGGATTGTATACTATCTCCATTACCACCATTGTCTATGCATGTTTAGGCATGTCTCCGTAAGTTTTAACATTTTTACATTGTTCTTTTTTCAGCATGATTTCTAAAACTGCATCTCTCTCCCTGCCATAAACATAATAACAATTATAGCCAATTATCTGTTGGACCAGAAGCAACTGTCTCATTAATTGTTGGTTCGGGTATCGCACATCAGCAGGCCATTTCAAGACATCCATTTGATCCAGAAGCAGCAGCAGCTATCGCGAGTTTAACCGCATTATTCACTGGTTTATTCACACTTGCCTTGGGATTATTAAGATTTGGTTTTCTCGATAGTTTGATGAGTAGATCCTTATTACGTGGATTTGTCACAGCTGTTGCTATTCTCGTACTTGTCCAACAATCCATCTCGTTATTGGGTCTCAATGCATTAGCGGTCGAAGCAGGATTGACGCCAGATTCAACCACCATCCAAAGACTCCTATTTGTGTTCTCCCATTTTAATCAATGCCATCGTCTCACTTCGGCATTTTCATTGGGTGTCTTGTTCATCTTGATTATATGGGGTTACCTCAAGCCAAAACATAAATCCGTGATAAGCCGAATTCCAGAGGTATTAGTGGTTGTAATTGCAAGTATTGTGATCTGTCGATCCTTTCATTTAGACCAAAGCGGCCTAGACATCCTGGGACAGGTTGGGCATCCGGTTTCCGGCTATAGCTCACCATTACCCATACCCAGTGTACCTAAATTACCAGAGCATGCAGATATCAAGGCCATCATTGTCAATGCTGCTATCATTACTATTATTGGTTTTGTCGAATCCGTAGCAGCTGCTAAAACATTTGCAAGAAAACATACTTATTTTGTCAGCGCCAATCGAGAGCTTGTAGCTCTAGGTATTGCAAATATCTTTGGTAGCATGTTTCAATCATTTCCTGCTTTTGGCTCTGTAAGTTTACAACACGATCTCGAAATAAACACGGCTCATTGTTTTTTTTTTTTTTTGAATAGTTCCCCAGAAGTAAAGTACACGAATCGTTGAGACCCAAGACCCAAATGTCAGGTTTGCTATCTGGATTGACCTGTATTCTTGTCACCTCCTTGTTGCTACCCCAATTATTTTATTTACCTAATGCCACCTTGAGCTGCATTATTTTTTTGGCGGCACTTGCATTATTACGTGAGTTACCCGACGATTTAAGGTTTATCGTAAAAGTACGTGCATGGAAGGACGTGGCCTTGATGGCCACCACTTTTTTGACGACCATGTTTTTCTCCTTGGAGATGGGAACAGCGGTAGCTGTCATGTTTAGTTTGTTGATTACCGTGCAGCAATCGAGCTACCCTCGCGTTACGATTCTAGGTCGAGTCAAAGAGACTGCCTATGAGTTCCAGCCCATGCATCACTTGAAAGAAAAAGTGGAGCATTTAAAGAATATTTTGATTGTTCGTATTGAAGAGCCATTAAATTTTGCAAATACAGGTAAAAGAGGCCGTAGATATATTTGAGGGAAAATGGGTTTTTTTTTCTTCTGGTCTAACATTTTTAATAGGACAATTAAAGGATCGGTTGCGAAGATTAGAATTGTTTGGAGATATGGCAGTGCATCCATCTGAACAACCTCGTCGACATCATTTGACGTACATTGTATTAGATTTAGGCGGTATGGAATTTATTGATGCAAGTGCAGTTCAGATTCTGTACGAAATTATTCAATCGTACCACGAACAACGCGTGACAGTGATTCTGGTGAACGGGCAACCGAATGCTATGGAACTCATTCACCGTGCGGGTATTGTAGAACTCATCGGACATCATTTTTACTTTAAGGATGTGACGGATGCCATTAAATCGATTGAAGAAGACCTTACCTATACATCCTTCCCTACCAGTCATAGAATGGGAGGCAACTTCTTGGTTGATTGAAAAATTATATCTTTTTATTATTCAAAATCTGTTTCGAATAAAACTTCTCTTTCGGCTCTTACTTGACCCGCAGGTATTAAATCCCATAATTGACTTGTATTTTCATATCCAAATTTCTTATGGTGTAAAATGATACGGGTGCCATCGGCTGTAGAATTACCACGTACATCAAGAACCATATGAGGATCAGATAAGACATAAATATAACCTCGTTCATATCCCCATCGTTGGTTTTGTGCCTCTGGGATCAATTTACGATCATATTGACAGATCCATGCATCATCTGTAATAGGTCCTCCTCGAACATCCAAAACTTTACCGGAGCATTTATTAATGATAAATCCATCCTGGTATATCGTGTTAGCTCTTTTAAGCATCCTTTTTTTTTAAAAAAATATATATATACATGTAAAAAAATACCTGGTAATACCATAGTTGATTATCTCGATCGTCATTATGTTTAGGTGTCCATATTAATATCTTTCCATCATTCTAATATATAGATATTTATTTTTTGTTAGTAAATAAACAATTTTTACTGGCCCTTTTGCCCCGCATAAACTTACCTTTATGGAAGCTCCATCCACTAAATGAAGTAAAAGCAATGAGTTGACATGAAACTTGTGAACCTTTTTTTTTTCCAACTTACCATCAATGACTTTTCCTGAATGACGAGACTTGATATAAAAATAACCAGCAGGAAACTCTTCCATATTTTCTGAATTGCGTAAGAAGAAAGAAAAATAAAAGACAAAAAAAAATAACAATGAAAAAAAAAAAAAAAAATGGGACATCACATGGAGTGCGATTTATTTTGGGTTTGAAATAATAATAAAAAAAAGACGTAATGTAAGAAATATATTTAATTTGTAATGTGTATATATGTATATAATAGTTATGGATTGAATCCAACGTCATCGACCACTCTTCTATGTTCAATAGCATGATCCGAGCTATAATCTAAATGAACAAAGGCCCTCTCTACATTCTCTAATGACTCTAAAGCTTCCTATAATATTGCATTAATATCCACTATGTTTGTTGTTTCGAAAAAAAAAAATCGTACCTGAAGTGCTTCACCAAGGTCGTGACAGTCTCTCAGGGGAGCGTCAGGAGGTAACACAATGTCAATTTCAACCATCAATCTATCGCCCACATAGTAAGCACGTACCTATACATGGTTTTGTAAGTAAATACGGAAGTTTAAAATAAATAAGAAACAGGTTACATACAGTATCAATGGCAGTAATCTTCTTGGAGAAACGGTAAGCCATATAAGTCAATTGTTTCAGATCATCGGTGCTAGCAGCTTGACCTGTTAATCTACGAATATTTTCAAGCAAGACATGCATCCACTCATAAATGATGTAGATGGACAACAAGATGGCGCCCACAGGATCTAACCAATTCCAACCCATCCAATTACCCGCGAGAGGAAACAATGTACTAGCGATCGTAAAGACGACGTCATTTTCATGATCATAGGCTAACGCTTCCACACTAGAACTACCCTGAATGGACGCACACCAGAACCACAAAATAGCCTTGACCACAACATTCACAGCAAGAATTGTGACAGCCTGTGTGCTCAGATCAATTTGTTCTGGTGCACTACCTGAAGTCAACTTCTCTATCGAGGAAATCAAGACCTGTGAAAAGGAAGTGGTAATAATGACGGCAAAGACAATGATACCCAAGGGTTCCATGCGTGATTTTCCCACAGGATAGGTATAGTAATTCTTTTGGCGAATGATGCGTACAGTAAAGAAAATAATAGCATTGCTCACGATATCGAGGAAACTTTCAAAGGCAGAAGCTAATAAGGCCATAGAGCCTGAATACCACGCCAAGATGATCTTGGTGGTAAATAAAGCAATGTTAGCCAAGAAGGACAGGTTGATAGCCATATGGATAATCCACATGGGAGATTTTGTGCTGTCTATATCGGGAGTACTGGACCTGGATAACAGGCCTTGTCCTTCTCCCGCAAGGCCACGTTCCTCATCGTCAGGGATAGCTCCATATTGATTGGTGGGTGAATCATACTCTCCTTTTTGTAAAGCTTCCACTACACGATCCACTTGTACAAATCTTGAGATCATGTTATTCTGATGCTATACACAGAAAAAAAAGTCAGCATTAACCCTTCGGTTATACACACATAAGCTCACATACTTCATAAAAATTTCGGATTTTCTTGCTCTTACAGTTCTTTAACTGTGCGTCAGAAATTCGAAGCGATTCGAAGTGGACAGGTGGCGGTAATGCATCCTGAACAATGGAAACAACAGATCCTCTGTGTTGAGACTTTAGAAAGGAAGTGTGTTCGTCAGGAGACATTCAAATACAGAAAAAGAGAAAAAGAAAGAAAACAAAACGAAGAAAAAAAAAGAACTCTACAAATTAGGTAAAATAGCTGGTATTCGGGGTACGAACTTGACATCTTTACAAAAGGGGGTGATACTTTTTTTTTTTATAAAAGAAAAGGAGTTTCATAATTCACTTTGACTGTTTTAAGTCTTTATTAGTTACTTTTATCGTTGTCATGGATATCAATTGGATGAAAATTATGAATGAGAAAGGGAGAGGGGGGCGTGGGGGGTCTGCAGTAATCTTTTTTTTTTTTTTTGCTCCCGATAAACACCTTATGTTGTGTTACTTGTAGCTGAGATCGCACTTACTGATAATGCCCAATTAAATCTATGTAACATGAACATCCCGTCGATACAATGGCAATGGGAAAACTCTCCCCATTGATCCACGAGAATAACAAGGCGTACAAGAAGTTATCTTTTTCCCTTACAATTGGAATTAAGTGATATACTTTTTTAAAAGCCAGTTCGAACCTTTTCTCTTTACATAAATTAAAACTAATCTCCTATCATCAATTGGAGTTACTGCAGAGCAAGATGACAAATCAGTCACTGTATAAATTCATAATTAAGGTCTCTTTTTTTTTATGTATGTATATTTATAGATGGAATGATAAAGAAGGTTCTTGCTTTATAATAAAAAGGGGAGCCATTTTCTATAGTAGAAAAAGTGCATTGATAAGAACAGAACTACCATTGCATGATATCAAAAATGCAAAATTGTTTAAAAAACAGCGTATCTCTTTATCTTTTTACGGGCTGACTTGGGATGAAATTGTTTGGATAGTTATGAATTTGGTGACTAACATCTTTCATATCTTCATACATATTTATAATCCCAGCTGTCATTGGGGAACTCTTTTAAGGTTAAAGGTTACACTCGTACTTCTGTTTCCCACCGCACATACCCTCATTATAGTTCCAATTACATTGATAACGGTAAATTTTGTCACTTTCAGAAAATTGATTGTCTGCAATCAAAAAAATAAATGTCACTTTCCAAAAAGTTAATGACATTAAGCCAAATATACTTGTCCTTTTGGAGTGAAAAAGAAATGTTGCAATAAATTCAATCCAATTGACCTAAATGATGTTTCTCTTTTCGTTTAGGTTCTACACAATTTGTTGTTGTTGTTTATAAAGTAGCAGGTTTAAGAGGGAGTCTCATAGGTGGACTGCGTTAGGATTTAAAGGAAGGTCAAGTTGGGTATAAAGTTTTTAACATTGTAAGAAGTGAGCTCTAGTAATTTGGTCATAAAATCACTTTTCATTTTTTGCTCTGTCTTTCTGCATAATATTTCTTTTGTTCTTTATTTCTTTTATGATCTCTGGAAGTATAATGACAGATCACTAAAAATGATTCCATATTTGTTATATGAAAAAAAAGAGACTATGTTTACATTTACATACACTCCTTCTACGATTCATCAACTATATACTTTGTTCTTTTTGAGTGATTGTCAGGTGATAAAAATATATTAACTGGTATTACAGTTCTCTTTGGTGAATGGACAATTGTACTTGAAGCATAATCGCTGACTTCTACAAGATTATACATGTAGAATTTCTCAACGTGTGACAATCTGATTTTGTTACTAAGTTCCACGGCGAACATTCTCCAGGCATAAAGGTTTAAAACACTTTGTCGAAGTTGATGTAACCCTACTTTACATTTTTGAAAAGAACGTAAATGTGGGAGTAACTTTCACTTAGAAGAGCATGCCTGCAAGTGATTCCGGCAACCTATGCATGCGTTTGATTAAATGCTGATTTTCGTATCGTCAGAGGAACGATGGGACCCCAAAACCACACGGTATCATACACCCAAACTTATATCAAATTTGGTAAAATAAAAAAAAACTTGCAGCATCAAACCCATCCACCTTGCTACAGTAGTCATTACCATAAAAACTGTCTAGAAACGAGATTATCAATCTGGAACTCCCAGTCTTGTGTCCTACAAAGTATTTTTGCATATGCAGAACTTTATTATCATGCTATCAAGAAATAGACGCTTGCAGGTCAAGTCACGGTCTCCTCGATTAGTTTACCCTTTTTAAGAAATTCGATACAGCTGCTGCTGAAGGGATGGTGTACAAGTTCGGTACCGCTGCTTTTAATGCCATGACACAAAATGTTGCGTTGGGTGCGGATAATTTTCTTTCTACCGTTAAAAATTATGCATTGACCAATGGGTCGATGTTTGAACAGTATGAACGGGGATCTGGAAAGTCCACGGGGGCCAGAGATCTTACTTGGTCGCATGCCGCGCTTATTTCTGCTGCTCGTGCAAAGGCTGGTACTCCTTCTGCGTAAGATTTATTTAACTATCCAAATAAAAATAATAAGTATGTCCTCATAACTATCAAAGACTGTATGTTGGATGATAATTTTATGTCTTATTACAATTAGTTAGGCAGAGAAGCCAAATTTGTTTATCAGAGTTGTTGTTTAAAGTAAATCAATCCAAATAAGAGATAGTTTTAATCAGTTGTGTAAAATATATGATTTTATTGAAGCAGTGATAGGTTAAATATAAGCGAGTGTCAATGGCTCCATGATAATTTCGGTTTCGTAATAAGTTTTATCAATATAGTCCCTAATATCGCCCATACATCCTCTTGATAATTTGATAGATAAATTATTGCTACTCTGCTCATATTCTACCACAAATGTATTCAAAGTAGAATACGACAAGCTACTGTGATACATATTATAAGTATCACCAGGAGTGTCGCTGTGCAATAGAGCATACTTGTCCGGAACAGTACTGGGTGAACTTTCTAATCGAAGAATTTTAAGAATGATTACTATGTGTAAGTAGGTATGGGTCACATTAGCACAAACGAAGAAGAAAAATCATGGTAACGAACTTACAGATTGGTTCATTGAAATGAATTATAAGCCCCTTTGTTGAAACTGGCTTCCCTTTCTTAATAAATACCAAATAACTACCATCTTTTGTAATAGTATTTTTGATATCACCATTACTGTTTATTCGGGTGAAAGCCCTCCAATAGTCTGGAGGATAATTTGGAATACGCATCCCGTATGTATTGCTTGATACTTGGCACAAAGTTCCAGTGACAAACCTTTCAAACATGTAAGGCTTTTTCCCAGTTAAAAACGTCTCCAGTAATTGGAAAATTGATTCTCTTAGTACAAATGTCATTGTGTCTTTTTCTTTAATATAAACGCCGTCATCAATTGCTTTTTGCATAATCATGGTGTATATGATGTGGATCTTTGAACCCTGCGCCAAATTGAACGGATCTCCAAAAACGAAAATGTAATTTGGTGCATAGTTTCCAAATAGTCTTTTGTTGGTCAAAGAAGAAACTATATCTGTTGTTCTACCTTCTATCACTGACATAAGGCCTGCTTCAATAATATCACGATGAAATATGCTTATACTGCAACCGCATTTCGTGTTGATATTCAGTTGTATTTTGGAATCCATGTCTAAATTTGACTTGTTTTTTTCGAACTACCAAGAATTAATTAGTAAATTGAGACGCTTGTTATAGGTATGTTAACTTACAAATTCAACAACGCATGGTTTTAAATTTCGATAGATATTGCTATATATCTCAAATGACTGGAAATCATATTGTGTATCTTCCTCACTTTTGTGCATGGTACAATAGTCAACTCGACAATTGACTTGTATGTTCTTCATAATACTCTTACAGAGTGTATCATATACATTATCGATATGTATCATTTCATTCTGAATAATAATGGACGCTGGATCTTCTTCGGGTGATGCCAGTTTGACAACTTGATGTAAACTGAGTTGAATATGCTTTGAAGATATCTGTGCAACAACAAAGTGTGTTTTCAACCTAAAGTCCAAATGTTGATACTTGTGTTGGAGAGCTGGTAGAATTTCTTCACCACGGGTGCAGAACTTTGCTTTTCGAAGTTCGTCGTCCTTCATGAGTATTCCGCTTGCAAAGAATGATTTTTCCAATTTCTTTATTGAGCCGAATACAGTATCCAATAGCTTTTTGTCAATAGAGACACCATACCAGATGTTTTTGGCTTGCCAATTCGATCCTACATTACTTTCTAATTTTTTCTCTATTTGCTTGTTCAGACAGTGCAGATATGTGATTATAAAAAAATACATGTAACCTGGATGGCATGTAGTAAATGACTCGTTATCCGAAGCAGGAAATTCGTCCTTCGTCACAAAAAGATCGTCCATTTCAATGTTTGCCATAAGCTCTTTAAATGGGTTTGGGTCCAAGGAGACAAATAAATTTCTGATTCTTTTTAGCCGATTTTTGCTTGATTTTATCCTTTCCTCACTGCTTAAAGTACTCCTATTCCGCGTAGTTTGGAAAGCCCTGCCAAGTAATTTGGATGCCGGGCTCATTGGTATTCTTCTTTTCACATCTTTTTTGTAACTTGAGTACCTTTTAAGACAGTCACCAAAAATCTTTTCTAAACCTAACTTCAGTCTAAACACACTATTAGAATTGACAGTTATAAGCGTTTCTTCCAGTAGTTTTACCTGTTTGATATGCATAGTATCGGCCTTTGATATAATTGTGATTGCTTGATGAAAGTATTCAACGGTCGCATATAACTATTATGCAAGACAATATAACTTAGTTGGATTTTCTTTTAAAAGATATTTTGATACCCATCACCATTACCATTCAAAATTTTGCTTCTGTCCAATTCGTCTATCTTTATCTAGGTATGTATAAACAGTCTGGATTTGTGTAGGCAATATTTCTGTTCGGTTTCAAAGTAGGTTAGGTTAATACGAAGCCGATACTACGAATGAGTCAATTTACCAATATTGATGAAGATAATAGGCTTTAAGCAACTTTTGGGTTCTTCGTTGGGTAGTATAATTGGGTTTCTGCGCATGTTAAATTCTTCCATTCGGTAGTCTAAAAGCTGTTGAGTTGCATCTTGTCGCTCATCATTGTTAAAGCGTTTGAATATGGGGGAATACATATCGAATTCCACAGATATGTAAAGTTCTTTCAGTTCCTTCAAATACTTTTCCAAGAAACAATCAACTGATGAGATTATCCCCAGAGATAAAAATGTTTCCGGGATTCGACCTGTGAAAAAAATATCTAATGGCCTGGGTACTGTATTGCTCCTGCCTACAAGAAGTTTATCTATTTCATTTCTAAAGGCTTTTTCTGCATGACCAAAAAAATGTTCAAGTATGTCCCTTAAAGTGATTGGTTTATTTGTCCAGCGAGATTTCAAGTCTGGCAATGGCTGATCATCTAAAATTTCACTTGTTCTCTGGCAAAAAAAAAAAAAAAAAATATTTAATTATTTTCCCAATTTCTTTTCCATTAACTCTTACGAAACCATAAAATCCATTGTACTTTTGACTGAGTTTTTCAAGCATGTCGTCGATAGATTCTGATGATAACGTAGTATCACAATGCTTTTCCACACATGCTATTAATGACAATCGTAGTTCCTTTAGTCCAAAAGGGATTACAAAGTGAGCCTGTTTCAACAATTGTGGCACCAACTTTTTTTGTGCTAATCTGAAAGCAGGGTATTGAGCTGATACCAATTTCAAATCTACGGAGTATGTACCTTGATAATCTATTGTACAGATAACGCTCTGATCACCGTACTTTATGGTTTTAGCATCATACCTGTATCTACATATTTGCATAAACTGAAACATTAACTCTAACATCGAAAAAAACACCAGCCTGCCCGGACCATCATTTTCATGGAGAAGACCAGCTTTTACGAATAGAGGCAGAAACAATTCTTCTCCTATTTTATAATCCCAACTGGTTGGAAGATACAAAGAATAATAAAAATCCATATTTACACTATTCAATCCTTGTTTATGTTGATCCAGTATTTTTTGTAACAGGTTTATAGCTTCCTCGTACAAGAGCGCGTACAGTGTCGCATTATCGAAGGATTGTTGCTTTGATTTTAAATAAATGTCAGCGAGCGCGCCTAAGGTGTTGCGTACATAAATAACGCCTTCTTGAAGGCCTTCCGGATTCTCATTCGCTTCAACAGCCTTGTTGCCTCTGGCAATAATATTCCTTGTGGTAGTGTCATATAAAATTGAGGTGCGGTATTCGTGTTCAGAACTTTTTTTAAAAAGGAATCTCTGTCAAAAAAAATACACCTACAAATTCTGCTGTTTTCATGTCGACTAACCTTTCAACAATCATGTAAGGTTTATTAATGGCTACCGCTCCAGAGGTGATGATGTCATAGCCCAAATCTATACGAAGTAAGCAACGCCGAAATATAAAAAATAAGTCGCTTACCGATAAAAATATAATATTTATGCCGAGAATAGTCATAGAGTTCTTCCATCTTCTTTCTTCTACAACACGATGTTAAAAGGGAAGAAAGCACAAACACAAAGAGGCTTACAAGAACACAGTGTTTCAATTGACTGATTTTTTGTGGCACATTTATCTTGTATGACCATGAAGGTAATTATGGGATAAAGTATGTATTCAAACTTTTTATCTAACACCTACTAACATCGAAGCAAGATATTAGTTTCTCCTGGACTACTCTTCGGTGCCAAAATCTCTAATGCCTGGGAAAAAGACCTTTGCTATCCTTCCCTTTTTAGAGTGCATCTGCTTTTCAGTAGTTCCTAAAGTGTTTTGTGACATTTTTGAGCATTCATCTCCGACTAGTACAAGTAATATAAAAGGAAATTTATTCATAGCCAGATTTTTTTTATGTGGGGGGATTTTTTTTTTTTTTTTAAGAAAATTTTTCAGTGGAAGTAATATTGGGCCTCCGGCTGCGATTTCATAGGCCGGCTCTAAACAGCTTCAGATCAATATTTCAAGCCTTTCAATACATAAATTAATTTTAAAAAGGGTCACGCGTCTTAAGAATATACTTTATAAAATATATTCGAAATTACAAGTGATTCTACTTAGTTAATAAAAAAGGTTTAAACTTTTTTATCTTCTTTTCAGTGTAAGTAATATTGAGCCTCCGGCTGCGATTTCATAGGCCGGCTTTGAGCAACTTCAAATCAATATTTCAAGCCTTTCAATAGATATATTAATTTTAAAAAGGGTCACGCATCTTAAGAATATACTTTATAATATATATTCTAAATTACAAGTGGTTCTACTTAGCACATAAAAAAGGTTTAAACTTTTTTACCCTTTTTCAGGGTTGATGACATTGATCCTCCGGCTGTGATTTCATAGGACGTCTCTTAACAACTTCAGATCAATATTTCGAACCTTTCAATAGATAAATTATTTTTAAAAAGGGTCACGCATCTTAAGAATATTTGTTTTAATGTATATTTTAAAATTCAAGTAGTTCTACTAAGTACACAAAAAAGGTTGAAGTTATTTCAAGCCATTGCTAACGATTATATAGTCTGTGCGCGGTTTTTTAAATCCGTGAGCACAAACAGTGGGTTATTTCAAAATCCGACCACGGCTAATGATATTAGCGGCAGGTTATTATTGGCTCAAAAACCTTTTTGTACAGGTTGTGACATTTTTTCCCCGCCCCCACCTAAAAAAAAAATGTTGAATCCAGAATCTGTTATGTTTTTTAAATTGATATATGTAGATTCTCATTTTAATCAACATAAAAAACAATCCTAACCTTTCAGATGGGATATTAATTATAAGGAAAATGTGTTTTACCCATCTAAATATTTGTCTCTGCTTAAATTTTTTTTAGGTACCACCTAAAAGCAGATGCACTCTAAGCATATGTAAACAAATAAAAAAAGACATCTTTCACATCATATTTTATATACGTATATTACACACTTTCGCAAATTAACATTGGCACATACACCAAAAAGTACTTGTATCTACTTAAATTAGCATATCTATTTCCTCAATACTTCGGCTATATCATGTCTAATACAATACTTTTTTTCCTCTTGCTATAAATCCTCATCTCGTTCTTAAAAATGTCGATTTGGTTCAATACAGCATCACCAGCGTATTTTCCTGCTTCCAGATACATTTATAATTAAAGATAGACTGAGTCATCTAAGGAGGTTCATTTGGGGGTTATTCATGATATGTGAAAACTCAAGCGGAAGCGAGAAATGATGTGGCTTTTAACATTTCCAAGGTTTTCTCTGTAATAACAGATGTCTCATCCTCTGTCTTCTCCGCCTCCATTTCGATGCCCTTCACTTCAAGAAGACGCGCCTCTACAAATGCAGGAAGAGTAGTATCTCATCCCTTGGGTAGTTCACTAAGTACTCCAGGATACGCATTTCTACCGATCGATAAAATACCATCAGATATCACTTCGTTTTTCTTTTCGTCGTTCAATTTGTTCGTTACCCATTTACCCTTGTGCTCGTTGGATCTTAACTCTGAGAAGAAAGATTAGCAGAAATTCGAAACATGTCCTTAAAAGTGGGCAGGAGTAAACTCAGACAGGATCAGCGTAAATACATATATTGTAATGGTTTTGCGCAGAACATAAGGCGGCAATTTATAACAGCCTCACATAGTCAACTAAGACACCTCAGCTGCCCTTAAGAGGCCCGTTTATTTTATTATTGGAGTGATATGATGTTAATAGTTTAAATATAAGCGAGTGTTAATGGCTGATTGAAGTATTCATATGGTCTAAAATCAATATTACTGTAGTCAACATCATGGCCCATTAATCGAACACTGAATTCGAGAGAATAGCTATAGTTGATGCGTTTACATTCTACAATCATTTTTACGCTTTCCAAAGGCCTTTCGAAGATTATCTTCAACGGATGATTCGTTCCTTCCAAATCTGAATCTAGCAGAGTATACTTTTTCGGTACGGGATTGCTTGAATGATGTAATTTAAACAAGTCAAAAAGGGTGTGGACATGGGAACTTCGGCCATATCCGTAGTTTTGGGGGACTTCCACCATGCATCCTTTTGTTGAGATCGCCTTCCCTTTTTGAATAAATACAGAGTAGGAACCATCATTCTCGATAGTATTTCTGATATTGTCATTGTTATCTTTATGGAAGAAAGGGAGAAACACATTCCAATGATTAAAACTAAGTCGCAGCGCATATGTTTCCCCTGATACTTGGCACAATGTTCCATTTACAAACCTCTCATACATATATGGTCTGATACGTGTAACTGGCTCCAATAAGTGCATAAATGATTCTCTTGGTACAAATGACGGCGTATCTTTTTCTTTGACGTGCACACAATCGTTGATGGCTTTTTTTATTATCATAGTATATACTGTGTAAACAACTAAGTTGCAAGACATATCAAATGGATTTCCTAAAACAAATAGATAATCCATTTCGTAATTTTCAAATATTCTTTTGTTTGCCTAAGAAGCCGCTATGACTGTTGCAATATCTTCTATAATTGACTTGAGGTTTACTTCAATAATGTCACAAAGAAAAATATCGATATTACAATCCCATTTGTCGTTGATATTTAACTTCTTCTTACAAAATTTCTTCGCTCACTTTCGACCCACCGGGAGCCCCCAAGGGTTTTATCGCTGCCTCACTGTCTACTTCTGGCCCAGACTATTATTACTCTTGGACTCGAGATTAAGCTTTGGTCTCCTATGTCATGGCGAATTATTATAATACCACGCTCAAGGGAGAAGCTACCACTGTGGGTCTCTTGAAGGATTATGTGACGCATTCTATCAATGTGCAATCGACAAGTACCGCTTATAACTGTTTGGGAGAGCCCAAGTTTAATGCGGATGGATTCAGTTTCACCGGATCCTGGAGAAGGTAGTAACATTTGAACTGAACAACATGAAAGAAAATGACTGATGTTGCAAATGATTGGTTTTAAAATAATAGACCTCCAAATGATGGTCCGGCTGAACGTGCTTCGTCGTTTATTTTAATTGCAGATAGTATTCTTAAACAATCCGGTGAAGATACCTATGTTACTGGCACACTTTGAACCTGGTAAGGGCTGCATTGAAAACCCCACTCACTACTTTTACTGGTAATATTATTTTACATATAGAAAATTTTATAGCAATTTTCAAGGATTTAGATTATGTAGCGAGTACTTAGTCCGACGGATGTTTCGATCTCTGGTAATTAAATCAAACAAAATGACATTTATTTAAAACTAAACTTCAATTAAAAAAAGACTGGGAGGAAGCCAACGGTGTACACTTTTACACACTCTTGGTCATGCGCAAAGGTTTGATCCACGGTGCAAATTTCGCTAAACGCAACCGTGACACCACACGTACCTCCACCTACACCAACATCACCAACACCCTCAAAACCACTTTTGGTCCGGTACCTACTACTAATGATTTTCCGACATTTAATCTGGTATCAATTATTTCAGTGTGAGTTTTTCGTGCAACCGCTGCGGACACATTTCACAGAAAATGACCACTTATTAAATGTGGTGGCTACTTTTAGCGCACCGCTGCAAATAATCTAACGCGTCAGGATCACTCATTGTGCCAAGCTATATTGGAAATATGTTTTTTCTTGAATGATAAATGAAATACTTCAAAGTGTCATTTTGACATTCAAACGGCGCATGTCAAGCGCTCACCCACATTATTTAAAAAAAAAAGTCACAAATATCGAGACTTTTTTTTTTTCCAATCTAGAAAGCTTTTTTTTTTTTATTTTTTTGGAAATATAATTGTTTTTCTAATTAGACTACACAAAAAAATTCATATACAACATGGGAACCGTTCGTCAAAGAAAAGCCACTAAAAATACCAACAAGAATACGAGACGTGTTGCCGATAGACATAGAAAGAGAATTACTATTCATGTAAGCTGTCAAATTTTTATTTTATTTTTATTTTGGGGATCTAAGATCTAAATATTTTTTTTTCTTACTTGTAGGGTAATTCCATTATCAAGGCCAACTGGAATAAAAAGTTGACTTTAAGACAAAAGTAAGTATTAACGAAAATAGAGAAGAAAATAGCAATGATTGACCTGAGTGTAAAAATAGTTACGAGAAGCTTGGTTTGTTGACTTCTTTAAATGGACAAACGGGTGGTAAAGAAAAGAACCGACCTGACGAAAAGATTGAATCAACAGAGGGAGACAACGAGCCCAAAGAACTTAAAGAATTAACAGAAGCTGATATTGAAGAGATCAAAAAGACATTGGGACCTGGAGAAGGTATGATCCAACGTGATGATGAGGGTAATATTGTTCGAGTGATCTATGGTGAGGAGAGATCTCACAATGATATTTTGGATGCTGAGGTTGCACCTGTTGAAGCAAAGACAGATGTGGTTAGAGCTTTGGAGGAACAAGCTGCTAACGGTATTCAGCATGAAAAGTATCACTCTGAATTCGAATTGGATTGGATTCAAAAGTTACTCAAGAAGCACGGTGAAGATTACAAGGCCATGTTCTGGGACAAGGATCTTAATGTATACCAATTAACAGCTGCCCAGTTAAAGAAGAAGTGCTCCAAATATATTTAGATTTTTCTTTTTTCATTTCTTACTCATACAAACAATAAAAAAAAAAAGATAAATGAAAAAAAAAAACTACCTCTAAAATGCGGAGTGTGAACAGGAACAACCCCCCCTCCCCCGATTAATTTCTTTGGCCCACACCCCCTTCCCTTTTTTATTTTTTTTTATTATTCGCTAAAAGAAATGAAAAGTTTTTTGACAGTTAGAGGGATCATTCAATCCTCAAGTAATGTGGGTAATCGTCGCTTTGTGCATGGTGGTGTGATGGAACCTCTAAAGTTACGTCCCAGAGTGAACCCAGAACTCTCTGAAAGGTTGTTAACGAGCATCCGTCAACGTAATCCAGCTGCAGTCTGGAAAGCTTATTCTGAATTAGACGAAAGAGGTCAACTTGGCAAACTTCCCGCTGAATTCTTTACAATGACCCTTCAAAGCTTTCAAATCAAGAACTTGGGCACCTACAATACCGACGAAATTAAATTTTATAAAAAGAGTTTGCTTCAAATCATTCATACCATGAAGCAACAAGGTATTCAACCCGATATTCGTGACTACAACTTGTTATTGGAATTTTATGGCCGTGCCCTGGATTGGAAGTCATCCAATGAATTATGGAACGACATTAAGCAACCTAATTTGTACACTTATAATCTTTATATGCGCTCCGCTTTGCAATGTAGACGATACGAAGATGTCTTTCGAATCTTTAATTTGATCCAATCCGCCCATATTCAACCCAACGAATTCACATACAATACGTTGATCGAAGCCAATGGTCGCCTTGGAAACATCACGGAAGCCGATAAGATCTTTAAAGAACGATTCACACCCAAAGTGGAAAAATCCACCTCATCCATCCTTTCGAATTTTTTGCACCAACCTACCACCTCAATTAGCTATACCAGAGCTGCTTCACCTTTAGGACGTTATATACCTCAGCAGACAACGACTCACAGTGTGTTGAAACCTTCTGTCGAAACATTTAATGCACTTATTAGTGCACATGGTAAAAAGAAGAATGTAGCTGGTCTCAGTCATATCTATACAAACATGATGCCACAATTCCATGTACAACCTACTTTAAAAACATACAATACGCTTATCGAATGGTATTGTTATAATGAGGATGTAGATTCAGCTCGAAAGATTTTTGTGGATATGGAGACAGCGGGTGTCAAGCCTAATATCGTGACATTCAATCACTTGTTCCGTCACGAAGCTCTTAAAAAGAATCGACCCAAGGTCGCTGAAACATTGATGGATTATATGAAGACAGAGTATGGCATCACTCCTTTATTATCCATGTATCAGACCTTGATTCGATTGCATAACAAAGCGAATCGTGAAGAAGAAGCAAAGAGATTATATGCCGATTATTCCATTTTAAAATCAAAACTTGCAAAGAAGCCACTCAATACAACCACTACTACTACTACGACTGAATTATCAAATCAAAAAACCTTGTAGAATATTTAAAAAAAAATGCACATACTAGACTACCAAAAAAAAAAAAAGTTTTTCCCTTTTCTCTCAAGCATCACCCCCACCTCTCTATATATTAAACCTCTCACTTTTTTACAATAAAAAAGACTTGTATTAAAAAAAAAGTTTTAAAGAATAGCAGTGATGGTGGAATAAGAGCCTACAAGCACGATTAGTATATGGATCAAAGCCCATAGAAACGGTATCCAAGTAGACATGACAAAGAACCCCGCATTATATACAAATGCGAGCGCCACACCCATAATGCTACCAATCACAAAGGAGGCCACCGATCCACCCAGTACAAATATAAAAGGTATCGTGATCAAAATGTACCACTTTAAAGTTCGGGACTTGGCCAGCATCACAAACGCCCATATACCTTGTAGTTTTCATCAGTTTCTTTTAGTTTTTATTTTCTTTTTTGATATATCTTATAAAAGCCGTACCTGCGGGTAGATAGATCAGTAATGAAAATAGCACGGACCAGATAATCGTGAACCGCCAAATGTCTTTTTTTTTGTTTTTGTTTGCGGGGTTGGTTGGGTTGGTTAGGTCACAAAGCTTCTTTTTTATTTTACTCCCTTTTATGTTGTTTACCTGAAAGATAGTATAATGAGTGGGGAATGTCTGCAATGAGGTTTAACGGATCGAAACCGGGACCAAAAGGCCAATACAGGGAAGGCCACTCTGGCGCAGCTCTGTAACCGTAGGGCAATCTAAAAGAAGTCGACATTATATGAAAAGGAAAAAGGAACAAAGAAACAAAAAAAGGTCCGAGAATAGTTTAAATGACATCACACACTTTTTTCTGATCCTATTTATACATTTTTATTTTTATTTTCTTCTCCTTTTGTTTTTCTTTCACTCTTTTTTTTTAAAAAAAAAATAACACTATGACAAATCTCAGTGTGAAATTAAAACTTGCAAATACATTTGCCACACTTTTATTAGTTGGTTCTCAAGGATTTAGCTTTTCCGGCTGGTAAAATTATTAATGGGTGAGAAAGGTTGAAGGCGGGTTCCTAAAAATGATGATTTTGATAGGTTCTTGGGACACTCTTATGAATTTGGACCAAGAGACTTTGTTATTATCTTGACCAGTTTGTTACAATTGCTATTGATTGGATTTACCATTTACCAATATTTGCCCAGCGCACCCAAAGGTAAGTTTCCTATCTAAACCCCTCTCTCGCGTTTCATCCTCCCTAAACCCTTAAAATAGACGTATACGAGGCTATTGGTTTCTGGTATCTGTTGGTATCCGTGTTGAATAGTTCTGTGGCTATTTTATGGGTAAGTGCACAAGAAAAAGGGGGAGAGAACAGACGGTATTAAAACGATTATAGTTTTTCCACCTTGATTTATTTGCGTTTGTCGGACTTTTGTGGCAATTGGCAACACTTGTATTTGTCTATCATCGACTCCGTGATTATCCTCCTCGTAATGGTACAGATCATGCCTTTGTCAATGCACCTTTCTCCATCTATACTGCCTATTCATTCTTTATTGTTCTCTGGCAAATCTTTCAATTCAGCAATGAAACAAAACATAACCAAATCGTAAGCGTCTATTTCATCACCTGATCCCTCGTCGGCTTTTGCATACAAAAAGACTAATCTATCTATTTTCTTTGCAGGTTCACACATTTATCATTGTCGTCATTGGATTTATCTCGCTTCACTTGGTGGATTATTCTCACAGAAAGGATTGGGTTTATGCTTTGACAACTGCATGGTAAATCAAATGACTTTTTTTTATTTTTTTAATTGTTTACTAAGACAGGGCATATAATAGGATTCTTTTGGGTGCAGCTGTCTTCCTTGTTGATACTCCCCACATCGTCTCTCTGATTGTGGTTGGTATTCTCGTCAGTGCCGTTGCACGTACATTGATTCCCAACTGGTTAGATCGTTTCAACCGAAGATTCAGTACCTGGGCTAACAGATTGGGTGAGAGAACTCCTTTGCTTCACTAAGCCACTTTATAGCGTTCGCTCTCTCTCTCTTTCTCATCTCTCTCTCTAACTCACACACTCTCTTTCTTTCCCATTTTCATAACGGCGCCTTAAATTTTTCTGTTATCAATAAAAATAAAATAACCGCCCCTCGATATCTTCTTTTTTTCCGCAGACATATTTTTTTTTTTCTTTTTTAAAAAGATGGCAGTGATGGATAATTTACCACAGAGTATTGTGAGTCAGATTGCATTTTATTTAAACAAGGCGGATTTATTATCACTAGCAACCTGTTCCAAAGCATATCATGACATTCTTCACAACCAAGATTTCTGGAAAAGGTAAAAGATGCACTTCTTTTCAAAGTTGACCCCCCCTCCTTCGACTCACACCCATATACAATGGACAGGAAAGCCATCCATGAATTTGGAGATATATTCCGTCTTTACCGTATCTTTGTCACATCCACCGGCTTAGAATTACCTACCGATTTATCCAACAAGTTTGGGAAAGAACCCGAGGATTGGTTCCATTATTATATCACCAAGGCAACCGCCCTTCACGCCACCGACCGGGATGTCTTGATGGCCCAAGCCATCAAAGAATACGAAGACGCAGAAAAGTTCTTGATCACCTTTCAAGATGATATCAATTATTCCGTCCTGATACAAGTCGCCTCTAAAATGCTTTGGATATTAGGTAATACTATATTATTATTATTATTTTGCATAATCGTAAACCAAAGAACTTACTCGTACTTGTTCATTAGATGCATTTCCTTCTTACGCTGGATCGTATTACATTCTAAGTTACCTGTTATATATCGTCAATCGATTTGAAGATGCTCTTGATGTGATGGACATGGGACGTCTTTGTTCAACTTCATATCCACCATTCGACGGTAACAACAACAACAACAACAAAAAGAATTTGAACCGCTCCCATGGAACTAATTAATTTGAAAAACATATTAGATCTAGAACGAGAGATATTAGCCATTATGCAAGGCTCGAAAACAGAAAAGGGTAATGTTCCTGTGTTGATTAACGAGAACCTGTCACCGGAATTACTGGTTGTTTTATTGGAAATATTTCATAAGTTTGACGCGGATGGGGATGATTGTTTGAGTCCAGAGGAACTGGATTTATTTGTGTATTCAACCAATGGCCAACATCCACCGCCATCATTTATAGAGCAAATGGGACAGAGGTTTGGTGCTAATGAACAAGGCTGGCTGACAAAGAAAGGATACCTGGTAAAGCATATACAAAAAAAAAAAAAAAAAAAGTCTAACGCATAACCCACTTAATATTTATCCCTTACACAGGCATTTTATCTGGAACAAACGTTGGGTGATCCATCCGAGACGCGTAAAGATATTCGAGCTCATGGGTATGATGGTAGTCTATTACGAAAGAAGCTTTAAATATATATATATTTTATTATTATTATTATAAAAGACACTTTATTACTCTATTTCCTTTTTCTTCCACTTTTCCCAACGGTAGGTGATGGAGCGTCGTTCTTAAGTGCATTATCCAACGACCGAAAGATTTCATCATCAATATAATACGCCCCAAATAACCGTTCCAACATATGAATTCGATCCTCAATCTGTCCTAAGCGAACATCTTCCCTTTCTTCATGAGAAAACACCACAGGAGAAGCAGGAAGTAAATAACTTGGACTTGTATTGATTACCAGTCCCTTCTGAGCGCTATACGTAGGCTCCACGGCCGTGGGTGCCACATACACAGGTAAAGGCTCCTGCGTTGGGAAAAAATGCGTTTGCAATCCCCGCATCAAGGACGACCGCAACTGCCCAAACGACCATCGATGCATATACCCCCACGGCGATCTCGGTCGATACCCAAACAAGCACGATTGTAAGCTAAACAACAAACCAAACAGCCCACCAAAGATACCCATCGCATTCATCAACGAAAACGCCTTTTGCTCACGTAGTACTCTTGTCTGACAACTAAGCGGGATCAAGTGGATGGATCCGAGCGGTTGTGGTGCCCCCGAAGATGGATCATACATGGTTGGGAAAGATTCAGAGCTAGAGACTGTCTCGATTTCGTATTTGGTCTTGACATACGATGCCACACCTGCATAATTCCAAAGTCCAGGTTGTAAGGAGACGCGTTTGATCAACTGGAACGAGATGGTGCTCACCACACCGAGATTTACCCGATGTGAGTTCTGAATTGAGCGTCCTTTCACGTACAGGTCTTGTTCGTACTTGTCGTTCCATTCAAAGGTGTCTCCGGGAGAGCTGAGATTGTAGATGGCTACATTGGGGTTATGAAACGTGTTATAAACGTCTACTTGGAGTTGTAAACCGTCATTAGGAGACGGCCCATAGTAATCAAAGAAGAGGAACGAGCCGTTACTTAATAAACGCTCTGAAGTCTCGCCTAAACGAAAGGTCGTGGGTGCTCTGAAAAGCATACAAATGCGATCATCATCATCAGTAGGCAGAGGTAAAATCCAGTCAGAACAGGGTATACCGAAATCCGTGTTGCACCGAATATAGGGTTTGTCCGTTTGATCCCAGTCATCAAAGCAAAATTTCATGTCAGGTACATCTACTGTTTTATCTGAGGTTTCTTCAAACGACAATTGATCAATGATGGGACTATGAATCACTTGACTTGTCAATGTCCAAATCAAGTAAATGAATAGAAATAAAAACAAGAGTTTTAAAACTAGTCTTGATGTCTCTGCCCATCCTGGCTCCCCTATTCTTTTTTCAATTCATCAAATTACAAAAAAAAGAAATGAAATAAGGGTAAATATAAGTTACCTTGGTTTCCAAATCTCTCTTTTGATAAGATGGATGGATGTATGGAATTTGGTCTGGATACGTTTCGTTCCTAACGTCCAAATGAGAACGCCACAAGATCCAGCAATGGCTAAACAGATACATGCAATGATCACCCATAGAATATCCATCCTGGCTTCATGGACCCTGATATCCGCTAGCTGCTTGATCGGTGCAGGATCCTCCCAACTTTCGGTCGATATATCAAATACGCGAAAATGATCACACACCGTATGATAATGAATGCCTTTGAGGGGGGGGGATGGTTAATTTTACAATAGTCGCTTCATTTTTTCTTCAACTCTTACCGAATCCGTACACTAGTTTTGTGTTGTTAATGATGGATACTGCAGCAAAGGATTGAGGGAAAGGGATATGGTCGTATTTCGGTGTGCGCCACGTCCATGTTTGTGTGTCCAATATCCCCACCATCTCTTTTGCATGATCCATTGAACTGCCTAAATAGATTTGAAACGGAGATACGGCTTCGTTCTGTCCTCCACATATAAATATGTCTCCATGCGTGTCTAAAGATTTGCGTGATCAATGCGTCAGCTTTTTTTTTTTTTTTTTTTTTTTTGAAAGAAGATGGGTTTTAGTATAACGTTACTCATGACAATGGCACTATGCGATCTTCGAGAAGCAGGTATCACGCCTTTTATTTGAGGTGGGTCCACCCAAATTGATGTACGTGTGTCATACATTAACAAGCGATCCATTGGTATCAGATCCAAAGGTCCCTCATGATTGGTAGTAGGACAATGATATCCACCCAATATGACCAATCGTCCATCACTGTTCTCTTTTTCTTTTTTAGATAAAAAGGCTCAGAGAGAAAAAAAAACAGACGAAAAAATAAAAACTCACCTCAACATGCTGGAGGTATGGCCACAACGTGTGATATGACTTGGTGAAGGGAGTAAATCCCATGTGTTGAATTCGGCTCGATATCGCCAAAAATCATGCATCTCAGTATTCATCTGCCCATCAATCCCTCCAAACAAATAAACATCTTGCTGCAGTGATGCAATAGCATATTCTTTTTTGGCTAGAGGAAGTGTACCTGTGGTGGGCACGATCGTGGACCAAGAAGTGTCTGTTAAATTCAATGAGTAGATAGACGTGGTGTTTAGGTCGTTGCTAGAAAAAACAAGGATGGATTCGTCGTGGAGGGTAACGCCAGGCGAGTATCGCAGGTTAGGTACAGGATGACTGGTGTTAGTACGGATCAGTGGTGTGGGTGCTATGATATTGGATACATCTTTAGAGGATATAAGCCATACATTGGTAAACCCACGGGGTTTTCTATCGCCGTAGAGATAGAGGGTGTTGTTGAGGGTCACTAAAGACAGACCCGGGATGGAAAGGCCTTTACTGTAATTCTCAGTAGCCATAAAAGAAAGAGAAAAAAAGAAAGAGAGAGAGAGAAAAAGACAATAAAAGATCAGGGGATCGACAAAGGAGAGATGTGTGTGTATATATACATATATACTATAAAAAACCCCTTACATTTCAATTTATTTATCTTTATATGTACAAGAAAATTGGAGACCAAATAATAACCAAAAAAAAAGGGGGGGGGGGATGGGTTACCATTGTACGATTTTAGCTACAAGTTCTTCTTCAGCAATATCGTCCTCGATTTTTTCTAATCGTTGCCAATTGATTAAATCGCCATAATAAACTGTCAATGCTTTAATTTTGCCTTGTAATGAATTTTGTTCGATTTCACAGGTGCTGTCTGGACCAGCAAGTCGAGCCAACTGTTGAGGATCTGTGTTACGAGGTACAAAGAACGCGACATTGGGTGTAATTTGGGAAGCGATCTGATGGATTCTTAATCTATATAAAAAATAGCATCCATGGTCAACATTCTATACCGTCTAAAACATGTATTTCCTACTTTACCCATCTCCGGGTATCATTGATTTCAAATCAAACGTTTCTTCTGTCAAATACGAGGGCCCACCCCACGGTGGGGACAAAAATACCACATCTGCTTTTAAACGCGGTGCCAAATCAAAGAAATCACCCAGGATGAATTCAATACGATCCGCAACACCATAGATTTTAGCATTTTCTCGGGCACAATGCAATTTGACAGGATCTAAATCAATTGCAATCACGCGTTCACACGTAAGCGCGAATTGGATCGAATTACCCCCGCATCCGCAGAATGCATCAATCACAACACCCGCTTGACATCTTTGTGCAATGTGTCTTGCAATCTTTTCCGGTGTCACAGAAAACCAACCCTCTACATTAAGCATTAATAATTTCTTGTCCCTTCCCCCTCCCCTTTTAAAATGTATCTTCTTTTACCTTTGTCCATTAAAATGCCCTGATCAAATTTCGAGAAATAAGCATATCTTTGGCTGTAATATCTGTAGAAGATCATGTTAATGATCAAACGTAGGAGAGAGAAATGAATGTATACTTTACTTTGCCATGCCAGGGGGTATCGTATATTGTGTATACGACACCACAACACCATTGTACACTCGCGATACTACAGGTTCTATATTACCTATCACAACAGGTTCCTGTTCCAATATTTTCTTTTTTCTCTGTCGCTTATTTCGACCATTAGGGGCTAAATAACCTGCATAAGGATCATTACGTCCTACTTTTTTAGTGTTGGGAAGAGAAGGAGCTTCTGTTGTTACTGCCGCTGATTCTTCTTTTGTTGTTGTTTCGGCTGTTGTTGCTGCTGCTGCTGCTACTGCTGTTTCGGCTGTTTCAATTTTCTCCAACTGTTGTGCAAGAATGCTCTTTACCATGTGAATTTCTTGATCGGTGATTCCACCATGTTCTGCCTCTGTTACGCCATAGGACTCAGGGGCCTCATTGTCAGACAATTGTGTCACGATCTCGGTTTCCATTAAGCAAGAATTATAAAAGTGTGTAAACCTTTTGAAAAAACGGTTAAACATGATATATGTAAAAAAAAAAAACAGAAAAAAAAAATCTTGGCTGGGAAAGACAGTCCGATATTTAAACCATTGACTGGATCATCTATCGTGGGCGTTTTGGAAAAAAGGGTGGTGCATGAACCAAATTGATGAACTATCAAACCAGCTTGATCAACAAGTATTTACATGCTTATTTTCAATTGCGAGCCGCTTGGCCTGATTATGCGGAGGCTTATTGTTGATGTTTACACTTTGGCATTTATGCGCATGATTTATATCTTTACATCCCACTCTTGGGATAAATGTAATTCAAAAAGGGATCCATGCTCAAATTATGTTGTCACTGATGTGCTATGCTTACAAAAGGTATACGTTTACAATACCGAGATTTTATTTTATATACCATCCTGCTTTACTAAAGCTTGAATCGCCCTTTTAGTAGAAACGAAAGCCCGTATTAATTATTGTAACAACCATCTTTTTTTTTTTCCTTATAAAGATCATACTGACTAGACAAGAACCACATAAATATCATTAGATATTGTCTACTGGATTCTTTATTTTTATCAGACCACTGTAGATCTACTCATTCAGCAGATATGCTGCGCAAATTGACTGTTTTTTTTTCAATAAATAGCTCTTTCAGATATTTTTCCACGGGTTTCTTTTTTTCTCTCCAGTACAAAACAAAAGCAATGATTCTTAACGCGCCACTTGCCAGAGTGTGTAATAGATCTACAACGAAAGTTGATGGTAATCAAATTCATGCTTCTGCTCGTCTAGTTCAAGATGGGATTAGTTTCACCATATATACAAGCCATCCCCACTTTGTGTATTACCTTGAAAGAAACATGACTCCACAAAGCTACCACGAAGTTACTGGTAGTTTCTCCATCACCACGTATCTCTCACCAATTAGTGGATATCCAAAGTACTTCATCAAGGTCTACCCTACTCGTATCGCCCCCGTCATGATGGAAAAGAACCAGATCCCAGCCGGTGCTACTGCTATTGAAGATGGCACGCCCACAAACAAAATGGAGTTCTGCGTCGGCCTTTATGTATTGCAGCATTGGGATTCTTTATGTACCGCAAAAGGCAATCGAGCTGAGATTGCTGAAAGAGTCTTACAACAATTCCGCCTTCTTGTTGAAGCAGGAACTATCGTTGGTACGGCTGCTTCCATTACCCCTTTACACTTGGATGAGACCTTTGATACTTTTTCCGGTATTGTCAAGCCCAAAAGATTCCTTCGTCGTGAAAAGAATGTTGTGTTCGAAACAGCTTTCCCAGCTATCGATTTCCAAAACATTGCTAATAACATGGAGCCTCTCACGCTTGATTTGACGGTTAAGGAAACAGAGGAACTCTCACCCCCACAAGAAAAACAAGATTAACTATCGGATAATTCTCAACTAACTACTTTAACATTTGCTCTACTTTTATTTTCTTTTATTTTTCAATTCCGTAAAGTAGCTTATCCCCCTCCTGACTTGTTTTTAAAAATTATGAAATAAAACTCACGTTTACAAAATCTTATTGTTCTAACATAATTACTAAGAGCGACATGATTATAGAGCTCATAGGACTGAATCCTTAAAGGGCTATAAGCGCTATAATGTAGATAGTCATTGATCAAAAACCAATCACCCTGTTTGATAAAAATACTATTCTACTCGAGAAAAGCGAGTTCATTTTACCTAAGGCGTGTCTTCCCTGTAGCTATTTTATTTCGCATAATTTATACACCTTTATTTATGATACACCTTGTAGATGAGCGTGCGTATGATTAATCGCCATCCATCATGCGGTTCTACATCCACCATGACATCCCCAAGCGCGGAGATTTCCCTCATTTCATTCGTGGCTGCAACCCAATAGTAACTCACAAAACCGCTCGTCCCAAATGAATTATCCAGCCAGTAACAAAATTTTGTCACATAAAGATGCTTTGATGGCATATAAATACTTTCATTTGCATGACTATTTTACATTCATGTCTCGACATAAGAAAAGGAAATACTCTTCAAAATAACTGACATTTAAAATTGTCATTCCAAAATAGCTGGCTTTCGTATGCAATTGAGCAAGACTTCAGAAGTATTATCTTGAGCTACTCTCGTCAATCCCTATCATAAGTGTTTTTCTGAGGCGTCTCTTCTTGAGGATGGCAGTAATAAGGTCTAGTTACTCCAAAAATATTTTTTATTCGCCTTGCACAGTTGGAGGTATTGTAGTCATTGCATGGTATGGTTGGTAATGTTTCGAAAAAATATACCAAACATGAAGAAAGGCATAGTACGGCCTTTTTTTTCTGTCTCAATGGCAGCAGTACAGCTTTCTTGTATATGTAAAGGTTATTTCGTGTACAAAGAAAACATGTTTGTTATTAAATATACATGTTTTACTGCTACTATGCAGGCTATTTGTGTGGGTATAATCAGGGATAAAAAGGATACAAAATTTCTAAAATTATAATAAAAGCTTATCACATAAATACATGCATAGACCCTTTCTTTCTTTCTTTTTTCTTACAGCCACAGTGACTTTTCTTTCTGCCTTCACATGAAATGATTATGCATGAATCAAAAAAATCCCCGTCACGAAAGGGTCGTGTGATTTCTTAAAGGGGGTATAAAAAGGGCTCATTTTGCAATCTTTTTTTTTTTTCTCCACAAAAAAAGCCAGGAACAGCTTGGGCTATAGATGCCTGCTGCTCGATGGTTTAGTTTACGTGTTGGTCTCATAGGAAGTTGCTTCCGAGTAATTTTTTATGTGTCTCTCGCCACGGTTTTTTTAATATAAATGAAAGTGAAAAAAAAAAAATCTTAATCTTTTTGGTCTAATCGTTTTTAAATACTTTTCCCTTAAAATCATTAAACCAATATGTCCACAGTTATAGAATCAGTGTCAACGACTTCAGATTAGTTAATTGCTAGTCTCCTGTTTACCAATCCCAAAGCTTTCGAAAAAGTTGCCATTCGTAATGACCTCCACGCGTTGTAAAGCTACAACTGGGTCTACACTTATTCGCTAGTTGACACATATTATTTTATTTGGTCATTGTTACTGAAAGCGATGCTTATTTTGACCTAAACTTGCACTTGAATCAAGGCGCCTGTAAAATATAGAAGATAATGTTCGACAATGATTTGGAAATCACCCTGGATCAACCCTATGCAGTAGTCAGCCTTTCGTTGTGGAGCAGAGGTCTCAAAGAGCCTTTTCTTGTACTTATTAGCATTACAAACGTTTTTCTGTGCGAAGATTTTGTGGATACTATTCAGTAGTGGAAATTGAGATAGGTTGATTCAGGAATGATGCACAAGTTTTATTACAAAAGTGTGTGGTCTCTCGCATCTCAATTAATGCATTCAATCAATACACTGATTGATTTAATCCCTAGGTCATGCCCACCGAAAAAATTATTTGAAAATCGACACATCAAATGAATGCTGATATCTAGAGGAATAGAACAGCAATTAGTGAAATAAAACATCATAATAGTAGAAGATACTGTGATTTATTTTGCCTCTCGTACTTGGTTGTGTCTGGCATTTAGTTGATTATATACTCATATGCGCCAACAAGAGTAGGATATGCGGGTGATCTGGAAAGAGAAGAATACATGGTGAATGGTACAAGTGAACGTTTGATCACCAAGGCCCATTAAAAAGAGATGTTAAAGGCCAATTTGAGGAGATTTATAATTATGGTGTGGAATAAATTATGTTAGTGGAAGAAGTGCAATTCAGGTAAGTAAATAGAAATTACAAGGGCAATTAAATGACATTTGAGACTATTTATAAAATAAATCATTTGAGAGCGTTCTTAATTATAAAAAGCTTATCTTATGTGTCACTATTTTAAATGTATCTTCGAATTGTATTGTAAGCATCTGTAGCTTTTTTTTTATGAATGAATGTCTAAATTAAATTAAACAACGACAATAAATTCGTAATATCTGCTTGACCAATAATCATTGGTCTCAGTTGTCAATATAGAAAGGCTATAAAGTAAAAAGCCAATCAAAGCTTGCGCAAAAAAAGAAAAAGTTTATTTTCTGTCAATGACTTCCTCGAAGATTTATCCGCACACATTCACAAAGTTTCGTATTGTTGCGGATAAAATAGGTATAGTATCTAATAAAAATATTTATCAAATCACAAGGATTAAAACGCTAATCATATATTATGGATTGCTCCGCATACCTCTGAAGGCTAGCAAGGGTGAAACCGTGTGGCGAATGAATATTTATTCTGCGTAGAGCAGTACAATCTGATAGGCTGGTACACCTTACTCTGCTTTTAATTCGCAACCAGCTAAGAAATGACTCCCATTACTAAAGATAGAAAGTTTAAATTGATTAAGGTATTTGAACTAACTACTTGCTCATCTGAATGAAATTTGGGCAAAGCTGGAGTTGGAAGCAGAAGTCGCTGGAGTGGGAGAGGAGTTTGACGAAACTGTCATTGATCATTTCTCATAGATAGCAGGAAACCTATACTTCTCGTTAAAGCTGTTACTTCTTATTTCTATTGTAACGAGGTTTTCATAAACCATACTTCGGTTTCGATATCAATTATGACCTTCACTGTGGTATAATACAGTTGTGCTTTGAAAAAGCCTCGTGCTGCCGTAGGCTTGTTTCGTGCAATGAAGTAAACTGTCACGGATCTGCTTGTTTTGAACAAATCCTAATGTTAAACTCTGTATATATGTTGCTATTTTAAGCAAAAGGGTATTAAAAGACTCCTATATAAAGGGCATTTTTTATGCAAAATTGTTTAAAACTTACACATATGTTAAATTTTTTATCTTTTTGGTTATAAGACAGAATACAAAATAGTCACGAATTGACAAAATAATGAAAGAGGCAAACTGTCAAAAATGTTTTTTTGTTATGATGATTCTAGGTTTCAGGAACATAATTTGCAATACATATTACGAACCAATAAGCATATGAGACTTATGGAAAATGATGCATTTTCTATGGAACTTTAGATAATTTAAGCGGATGTCTCAAAATACTTCAATTTTCACTGCTTGATTTTGAGCTCAGATTAGAAAATACCTTATTTTTAAGCGCGCAGGTGCGGGTGGGGGGAGGAGCGGTAACTTAAAAATCTTCTTTCACCCCTCTTTTTATCAATGTCCGACATTTGACGTTATTCTCATTGTGATGCTTTGAAAATAGCTTAAAATCCACAATGAGGTAGTAAGCGTTTACTAAAATGTAATTGTGTATTAAACAAAATACTTGAAGCAAATGACAAATTAAATAATCCTCTTTATCTAGATTAAAGATAAACTCTCTATTTTTTTATTTATTTTTTATAATGTGAGAGGGGTCCCTTCCCTCTGTGACAAGCTATTGGTTGAAAAAAAAAAAAAAAAAAAAAAAAAAAAATAGAGGATGGCTTAAAAGGGGGACATAATTCTACGCATTTTTTTTTTCTAGATCAACCCTTGTTTACTTTACTTAAATTAACAATGTTCAGTAAAGTCTTAATACCCTCTGCTCTCAAGTTGTCTGCTGGTCCTCGTACCTTTGCTACTTTATCAAGAAGTATTAGCAGAATTAGTCCTGGTAAGTTAAATAGGAAAGAGTTACAAAATATCATTTTTACTTATTCAGATCTCAATTTAGTTCGTTCTCTTATCCGTAATCAAGAGATCCGTCCTCGTATTTTGAACGATCTCAAGATCTCTCCTTATGCTTTCCTCCACACACAGTCTACAGCTCCTACTTCAGTCGCTGAGCTTGTCAAGGAAGAAATCAACGACGATGTTGTTCCTGCCATTGAACCCGTTGCTGTTGTCGAAAAGATGAGATTTGATGCCATTGAAGCTATCAACCCTATCACCCAAAGAGCTATCAAGCAAGTATTCAAGTATGAGGAGATGTCTGCAGTTCAAGAAGCTGTCTTGATGAAATTACCCAACGAAACCGATATGTTTGTCAAAGCCAAGACAGGTACTGGTAAGACACTTGCGTTCTTGACTGCCGCTATCGAGACTGCTGTTGCCGGTCAATCTGCCAACGATATGAAGCACTTTGAAGGCACCTCCATCATGGTTATCTCCCCTACCCGTGAACTTGCTAACCAAATTGCTGATGAAGCTCAAAAGTTGGTCAACTATTATCCTTTCAAGGTCCACTGTATGGTCGGTGGTGATTCCAAGAGACGTCAAATCATGAACTTGGAACGTCGTCGTTGTGATATTGTTGTTGCTACCCCCGGTCGTCTTCAAGATATGCTCTCTTCCGTACCTCGTTTCAAGAAGATGTGCGAGAACTTGAAGGTGCTTGTTTTGGATGAAGCCGATCAATTATTGGATATGGGTTTCAAGGCTGAACTTCAACGTATTTTGAGTCAAATCCCTGAGAAACGTCAAACTATGCTTTACTCCGCTACTATTTCTCCCGAGATCCGTAACAATTTGGGTAAATTTGCTCTTTCTCCCAACTATGACTTGATTGATACCGTCGGTAAGGATGATGTGAACACCAACATTAACGTCAAGCAATCCGCTTTGGTTGCTCCCTATGGTGATCAAATGGCTCTTATCCGTAACACATTGGAGACCCATGAAGGTGCCACCAACGGTAAGGTCATTGTTTTCTTGCCCACTACCAAGGCTACCATGGTCTATGCCAATGCCTTCAAGAGATTAATGCCTGATCGTATGGTCTATGAGATTCATTCCAAGAAGGGTCAAGATCAACGTTCTCGTATTGCCGATAAGTTTAGAAACTCCAAGGAATCCAGCATTTTGTTCACATCCGATGTCTCTGCTCGTGGTGTTGATTACCCTGGTGTCAAACTCGTTGTTCAAGTCGGTGTTCCCTCTACTCGTGAACAATATATCCATCGTCTTGGTCGTACCGGTCGCGCTGGTCGTGAAGGTGAAGGTATTATTGTCTTGGCTCCTTTCGAAGAAGCTTTCTTGCACAAGGAAGTTGCTGATCTCCCCATCGAAAAGGTCGAATCCGTTGCTCTTACTCAACAAGAAATCACCGAAACCAATGAACTCGTTACCAAGTCTATTCACTCTATGGAAGAAGATATGGTGAGAGAAATTTATACCGCCTACTTGGGTTATTACTCTGGTAGAATGCCCATGTTGGGTCAACGTCGTACAATGGCTTTAACCGAAGCCAACAAGTTTTTGGAAGGTCTCGGTATTACAGAAATCCCTCATTTGAGTCCTCGTTTCTTGGCTCAACTTGGTTTAAGTGGTGCCGGTGGTGGAAATGATCGTGGTGGAAACCGTGGTGGTTTCAGCCGTGGTGGTGATCGTGGTGGATTCAGCCGTGGTGGTGACCGTGGTGGATTCAACCGTGGTGACCGTGGTGACCGTGGTGGATTCAGCCGTGGTGGTGATCGTGAAGATCGTGGATTTAACCGTGAACGTCGTGATAGCTTTAGCAGCCGTGATGATAGCTTCGGTAGCTTCAAGCGTCGTGATGATTTCGGATCTCGTGATGGTGGCTTCAAGAGCCGTGATAACGACCGTGAAGGTGGTTTCAAGAGTCGCGATAACTTTAACCGTCGTGGTAGCTTCAACCGTCGTGAAGACAAGTAAACAACTTGACAAAATCCCCTCAAAACCCCTCTCCATCTTTTATTTTTCTCTTTTTAAATTTGGAAAAAAAATTATATAACTTAGAAATTTCTGTAAATAACATTTTTATCCCATTTTCCCTTTTTCATTATACTAAATAAAACCTTAAACAAATTATTTTAAATCACTACTATTATTTTATTATTATTATCTTCTTTGTTGAAACGCAAAAGGTTGTCCAGGTGTAGGCACACGCTGTTGTTGTTGTTGTTGTTGTGGAAGAAGAGGAGGAGGAAAAGGTGGCTTCGAAAAGAAATTTAATTGTTGTTGTTCCAACATACTCACAAGAGGAGGCCCATGCGTATCTTTTAAGTCTTTAGGAGGTAAAGGAGATACCTTCACTAGACGCCAATTATCTTTGGAATAGGTAGGTGTGATATTTGCATAAGGTGGTAAATTCTCGGCTTTCTCGGTTGTAGGGAAAGAAAATATTTTGTGAGGTGGTAATGTGCCTCTGTAGGCCGACTCAAACATAGGCAAACGTTCCATCGTCTCTTCTATAACCACATTATTCGTTGTCGCATTGGGTGGTAATCTCGCCAACATATTCGTCATATTGCTTTCTAATATTTTGGCTATAAAAAGATCACGGGAGGAATATAATATATATATACATTAATTCAAAACCCCATGGATGATCACCTCTCCCCTTAAGCAAAACACTTACCAATCTCAATTTCCTTTTCATCAACAGCTTTCCAGTCTGACTCCTTTCCATCCGTAAATCTAGTTTTTTGATAGTTGACAAGTTCCTCTAATAATTCACTATTTCGCTCTAATTCTTCATTCACATTTTCGGGTGCTTTATCCATGGCTGCTTCAATCACGTTGATATCAAGACCTTGTTGTGCTAACCAAGATGCATTAATCTCTGTATCTGACTCCTTTTCCAAACTGGCGATAGATTTGGGTTGATTTTCCTGTCTTTTGTGTCTTTTTGCGGATCGTCCCATATAGGTGTGTTCATACGTTGCGTTGGCATTGTTGGAATCAGAAGCGGGTGCGAAACTCGAGAACGCACCAAAATCTAACCATTGGATGGGTAATATGGGTTTATCTTCATGTTTCAACGTTTTGGCGAAATATTTCGGTGGTGGTGCAACCACTTGCTTGAGTGAAGGCACTTCTTCTTCCCTCGCAGGTGGTGCCGGATGAATTATAATCTCTTGTACATTGGATGCTGTTCATTTATGAAAAAAAAATAAAGTTAGTTTTTTTTTTTAAATATATAAAAAACTTTTGCTCCCGCTCTTACGTAAATTAGTCAAAGGGCCAGCAGAAGAATTCTTTAAGGTCATGTCAGTAAAAGCATAACCATCAGGTGTAGGTCGAAATAAGGCGGAGAGCTGATATAGGGTTTCTGATTCTGTAATGGGTTGATTTAATCGTTTCGATTCGAATCGTAGGCTGTTTTCGGCAAATGCGTAGAGTTCTTTAAACGCGTCCATGTCTGTATGGGAGGAACGAGTGAAGGGTAAAATAGTCAACAACAACTCATCAAAATCAGACTAAAAGAGTAGATAAGTTTTCAGCGTATGTAACTCGTGTTTTTGATCTTTCTTCTCTTCCTACCTTTAAGGCATTTAGGTCCTTGTATTTTCCCTTGTAGACACGATCTTCAATAATGTCGAATGTGATGGCGTTTTCATGTCTTGGTGTCCATAACAGATATCGTTTATCCACACTACAAACGTTATAACCTTATTTAAAAATTCGCATAATAATAATAAAAAAACTAAAGTCATTGTATACTTTAAAATCGCCTCAAGAAACTGAACCATGATGCGTTGTTTGGGTGTAGGATCTAACAGTGCCTCTCGTTTCTTTTTGGCTTCCAAAAAAAATTTACGTGACTCAAGGGAAGATTCTTTCATGACGGTGCTGCTTTCCATTGGCGATTTTCCTGCTGTTAACCTCGTAGTTGGCATGATTAAAAAAAGAAAAGAAAAAAGATGTCGTTGTTACTTCAATTCTCCGCCCTTCATTGAAAACTAACTCATTTCACTTACTGTCCCGGTCAAACAAATAAAATTCCGAGCCGGCCCGTTCGAAGGTCATACATTTTTGAAAAGTTTACAAATAGTGCAGAAAGTTTATTGAGCGAACTAACATAAATGAACAGATGGACAGGTGGATTCAACCCGGGAATGTTTCGTTGAACCTAAGTTGAAGCACTTCAACGTTAAAGCAACACGAGATTCCTCAATTTTTCACCCAGACTGTGTTTGTCAAGGAATGTGCAGTCGGTGAAAAGGCCATGTCTCCTGTTGGAAAAATCTTTGTTGGTAAGTTAATCGCAAGAATAGAAATATGCTCCTTTAGTAAGGCCAACAATATCCCTTTTGTAATTTTTAAGAGCAATGAATGTCACAGAAAGCATTCTGGTAAGTAGTGTGGTGCAAAAAAAACGAACAACGTAATATCTGTTTAGGTTCAGTATACATGGATATAATGCTTTAATGTCATTTAATCAAAAGGGCATAGTTACAGATGAATAATTAGAGAGCGGCTTCCAATGATCTAACAGAACTACAAGTTTGTTCTGCATTTGTTTATATTCGCAAGGATAGCGAAGCCTGCTATCAGGTTTATCATTTTACGCAACATGATAGGAAAATCATGTAGATACTACAAGGCAAGGAGATTTGTTACAACAGCACAAAATCTAATTAAGAGTTTCGTTGTTACGCTTATGTCTGGACAAGTACAAATCCAAGTGAAAAGTAAGGTAAAGTACAAAAGTGATAAATAGAGGAAGCCCTTGAAAAAATCAATAGTTAGAAATCTATGATCATAATAAAAAATTAGTATACCTATATATATATGTTAATGATGTCTACATTTATATGCCTCAGCAACATTTTTTTTCTTCATAATTGGATGCTCAAACGTAATCAGCGTAATTGTAAAAAAAGATTTCACGAGTATTTTATAACTGATTAAAATTACTGTCTTACACAATGTTTTGCATGAGATGACACGATAAATTTTATGCATACATTTGTGTTGCTAACTTCTCGGTGTTTATCTCTTAACTGGTCGGTTGTGCACACTAAAGCTTCATTTTCTGTCTTTATATGAATACAGCCAGATTTCAATTGCATTAATGTAGACAAGATCTGTAAGCAAAGATTTTTTTTAAAAAAAAGCCTTGTTTGCAGCAAAAAGAAAGTATACTAGGTCAATTAGTTAATTATACCAAATTACCCTGTGACACTCTTGATAGTTCATCCATTAGCTGAATATTTGACTAGCATAATTTCACTTGTAATAGTAGTATTGAAGACATATCATTTTCTGTTATATATATATTACACATAGAGAGAGTAACTATTAAAAGATCAAGAGAGGCGTCCAAATAAAAGCAGGCGAAAATAATTTGGATAACAACGCGTATTTTACCTAAGCGAAGCGGAGGTCAAAAAATATGTAGTCTAATACGCCCTTTTTTTAAAAAAAAAATGGGTGATGTAATGATGGCTGGACAGCCAAGAATAAATAACAGCCTATCATTACGGTAGCGGAACTGAATATTAGCCAATCTTAGGGTGGTTTAACTCTCCAAATGGCTAGTAAGAATTTATATCGTTTTTTGGCTGAGGAGTATGAAAACATATGAAAATATAAGGTTATAATTGCCTTATGGAGGGGGTGACAAATTTTTTTTGCTTGAGAACACCCTTAGCTATTATGATTAAGGTAATTGGTATTCAAATTGGATTTTACAGTAACTGGGAATTAAATAAGCCAATTATGATACCAGAATTACGGTAGCGCTGTTTGTATGTGTTTGGCGTTGCTTAAGCATCATATCAACTCAGGCCACCTAGAATACTAGACTGTATCAATGTTTTGTATCGAGACAATTAAATCATGGAGCATAATTCCCTATAACTGAACCCTTTGAACTTTTTTTTATATGATACTTGTGTTAAAGATCGGATCTATTTATTCCACTATCATATTGTAAATCTAGGAACATTTGTCGTATTTGACGCCTAATTCCACGAATACAATTACTCTTATCTTGTCACTCAATTATAATGCATATAACCTATGTATTATAAGTACCATATTACGAATACATTCCTATTGGTACGACACGGTACTAGCTCCCTCATATGTCAAACTGAGATCAGATTACATAATCGTTCCTGGATCGGTCGAGTAGCTGCCGAATCTTCTAGTTTCTCATAAATTTATTTTAGTAATCCAATCAATGACAGGGTCATTGATTGGATAAACTATAATGCTCTAGAAGTGCCGGATATGGGTCAACAAGCTCCTTGTATATAACAATAAGCTATGTTTTATATGTAACTGATTTCTAAATCTAAGTCTACCATTTCCCAGTTTGCGGGTAAATAGTCAATTCGATCTGCACAGGAAAAATCTTGAAGTAATAATTAAATATAAAAAGGACCTCTATTTCTATCATGACAAACTCTCCAACTTATAAAAAGGATATTGTCACTGGCAAGTTTCAGTAGAAGTAATAGAAGAAAATAAAAATAGAGATTAAGATAAAAGACCTTAAAAAGTGAGCACCAGACTTAAAGTAGTCCACTTGAATTATTATGTTTTAAAGGAATATTTCAATAGCGATGTTTAGATGATACGATATTAGATAAGACGATTAAAATAAAATCAAATATCAGTGAGAATATATTCTCAGATGTAAGTGTAATAGTTTTCAGCAGATTTTTGTAAGAAAGCGTTATGATTGTAAAATTACCAAAGACATATTGTATAACCAAAAAGTGGAGGGAATAGAATTGGTATCAATTACAAAGACAAATACCGAAATTAGGTGAAGAATATTGATTTATCAGAAAAGAAGGGGAATGGTTCTTTCTTGTGTAACAACAATTAGTCTAATGCCTTTGCGTATTTATCAGACATAATCCTGTATTTATCTAGATTTGTGATCTCTACTATTTTTTTCTTACTCTACTTCCTTTATTCCAATCCTCTATCCTCTTTTTTCCCCTTTTTTGTAAGGAAGCTTTAAGAGACTAACAATATCTTCGTAAACACACATACTGTAAGTACATTATTGTCTTTAAGGACATATTGTCACATGTATTTGCTGCTTACACATCCCCCGCCTTTTTTTTTGTAGAGATATTTGTTGAAATGAGCCGAAACGAAAGCTCAAACAGTAGCTTAAAAAGACCACCGGAGAAAGAAAGTGATGAGGAAGACATACCTGGAATTTCCTCCAAAAGGTTGAAAATGGGGTTTAGGCCCTCAAAGTGGCTGAATTTTTATTCGGTTGAGCAAAACTTACGGTCTGAATGGGAGTTTGCAGAACACAACACCCAAGTTTTATTCTATAAATGCACAGGAAACGCACTCTCTTATTACAACAATAATTACAAGCTGCGTGGGTTTAAGGAAAACTGTCGCAAAACGTTGCTTTTTCTTAAAAATCACAATTTGGTAGTCTCAAAATCTGACCATAACTGTAGCCAAACAAACGCTATATTCAATAAATGTGAGCAGATTACGGATATTTTAAACAAAAAAAGTCCCAACCCGTTCCGTATCTCGTCCACTAAAAGCAATCATGAAGGCGAAATAATTCCTACAGGCCGTTTACTATTACAAACAATTAGTCAAACATGTTACTGCGGATTTGTGGTGTTTTCTACTCGTTGCTCTCCAGTAGTCATAAAACCGTATACAGACCCATCAGTATTACAGCTAAATGTAACTAACAAGGTCCCAATGCCTTTGTTTGTCATTTTGCATCACGCTGATTCTTTTCTGCCTCAAAAAACGGGTTGGTTTCCATTGGTTCTTTTAAATCATCCAAAGCCCATTGATAGATTATTTATCTCTAAAAAAATCCAACCATCGACTCATATTGTGACGCCAAAAAATCACTATGTTGCCGAAAGAAAAGAACCTGGAGAAAAAGGGAAAAATGCCGCAAGGTCGAATACGCTCAATATAATCTCTGACGAAATCATTATTCAAAACGTAACAAACAAAGTTAACTCTATATATTTTAATCAATGGATCAACTTGAACGAAGCTGAGAAAGAGGCTGGTGTTAATTCGTTTATAGACAGTCTAAGAAACAAGTATAAAAGTCTTCCCCAAGGCGTGTTTTCTTCGGTCCAAAAAGTACTCGAACAGTCTATCTACGATAAAAGCAAAATACCTAGCAGTAGAACTTGGCTTACGGCAAGATGGAATAGGATAAAAAAAAATAGTCATGATTTTGATCTAGATTATTTCTTATCTCAATTCAGTGACTATTTGGCTTCACGAATCCAAGGTACCTCTTCCGAGGTTAGTGAATCTAGTGCCCTCAAACCAGAAGAAGAAGATGATGATAATCAATCTGACGCTGATGGAAACGACACATTTTCTTTGGCTGAAGAAAATATAACAGAAGAATACCGTACCTGTACTATGACCTTAAAAAAAGCTCTGTTACCATCAATCGACTACGAGTTCTTCAAAAACACCATCCAAGAAAAACAAATCGAGGTTCACAACATAGTAGCTAGTATGCAATATGTATTAGAGATTCTGAATAACTCCTTGCTGAACGGAAGTTTCAGTTTATGCTTAAAGTCAGATGACGCTAGTAGTTTTTTTGATTATTCTTCCTTGGGGTTAGGAAATGAACTGGGAGAATCCGCTTCTGATCAAATTGCCATTATAAAAGAGGATGTGCATCAGATAGTTAAATCGGAAAACACTTTTTCGCCACAGTTCTTTTACCAGATAATGTCTTCTTGCATCGGCGACAAGAAAAAAGAAAGAATAAAATCACCGTAAGTTCCTTATGAACTTTTTATTACTTTCAATGTTATATCTGTTAACATCTTTTCTAGTATAATTGATTTTTTAGATCAAAATATGGACAAGGCAAAAAAAATAGATTATAAAACCTCGGCTTTGACTGGATCTGCCTTAAAAAAAGTACATACTTCATATAAGAATATGTGGACACTTGATCTTTTTAAAAAGGATTTAAGAACCGTCATCAACACCGTTTTACGCATTCATTTTGCAAAAAACAGGTTTAGAAAATCAAATTTGGAGAAGCCAAAGGATGTGAAGGAGTCGAATATCAAAATCAAGAGTTACAAATCACTAAAAAAGAGAATGTTAAAGCGTCTTGAGTCCGAAGTTTTAAAGAGATCGAAAGGGAGTATGCATGTCTTGTCACAACTCGTAGATTACGTTTTCAATTCTAAAGGTAATTTATGAACACATAAAAATATTTATCTGGGTTTTAATAGTAGATTCGTTCTATAGACACCTTGATCAGTGAGCCTCTACCCAAACACTCATCAGTTTCTGAATCCTCGGAATTCCCAACTGATAATGCTAAATCAATAATCGAAGATGGATCTGATCCTCTATCTGAAGGTAAACATCCTGTGTAGTTAGGCATGGTCTTGAATATATAGTTCTAACCTTTATACAATACGAAAGACTCAAATACTAGCGACTTAAATAGCAGCACCATTAGGGCATTAGCTGCTGTAATATCAATGTTGGCTTGCTCAGACAAAATTAGTCATGCTGTGACGCCGGAGTACTTCAAGAAACAGCTTTATGCGAATAAGCATGATATGCCTGACAGTGTATATATTACCTGCTCTAAACTAGTCAACGCTTTACGTCCGATATGTTTAAAAAGAGGAGAAAATGCTGTTGCGTCAAATTGTATACAAATGAAGAAGTTGCGAAATGTCATTGTTTTGTACGCGAGTAATTGTGGATATCGTATCAGTCCTAAACAGCTAAACTTGTGTAATGTATCCCATTATGATGATAAGGAATATGAATCTATCCATGTTACTTCCAAAGGATTGTACAGTTTGTTTAGAGCACACTATCATATGTTTCAAGAAGAGACCGATAATTCCGTTCGTAAATTTACAAGTGTCGCAAGTACAAGCTCTAATGAAAAGGAACTGTTTCGAAACTTTTTCAATGTAGACTACTTGCTAAAAAGGTTTAAACAACAAAACCTTGATCCAGTGTGGAGTTTTGATTATGTTAACATATACAACATTTCTTTCTTGGGCAAGAGAACTGTAAACAGTCAAACAACCACTCTTAAAAGTAGCTTTGAAAAAAGTAAGCCACATGAAGCTACCACTCAAGAAAAAGAGGACGCAAAAAAACTATCAGACGATATTAGAACTGATAAAGCAAAGCTCAAGAATCTTTCCTCTACGTTAAAAGTACTAGAAATCAAAAGGCTACAAGAGGCCAGCGCCTTTAGAAAAGAGGAAAAAAAGAACGGGTGGAACACAGTGCTCTACAGGGAGCTCAAAAAGGCAAGAGCTGAATTCAACAGCACATACAAAGAAATCGTTGACCTTGAAGCTACAATTCGACAGAACAGTACACAATTGTATGAGCTTAACAAGTTAATATATAACAAAAGAGGCGATACAATGAACAAAAGTTCAGATTTAGAAGATGTTGTATCCAAATTACGTTTTAAAGACGCGTTGGAATCAAACAGACTTGCTATCAACGGGATTGATCCAGGTATACATAGTACAGCTCTGGCTAATTGCACCTCTGCCAAGACAAATGTTATTTCAATTAATAGATACAGCGCTTTGAATGGTTTAATTGAAGCAGAGAATGTAGCTTTAGAAGACGATTATAAAGCAAGTGTGTTGGATATTACACCAACTTTTCTGCGCGGAGCATCCTTGTACAAAAACCATAGACGCAAACGAGAATCTAGAACGAAGAAGGGAATTACCACCCGCCCAAAGCAGTTACAAAAAGATCGTCTGACAAGAAAAATACGATCCGACATTCTCTTAAAGAAAATTATATCTAATCAGCGGAAGCAAGTCAAGAGTAAGACTATAGTCAATTTTGTCGGAAATTGGGGAGGAGATGCTACTAAAATCAAAGGCATCATTCGCTCAAGCTTGAAACCGGTGATCTCCCGATTAAGGGCAGTCGAAAATGATATGACTTTGACAGTCGATGAATACGGCTCGACCATCCACTGTAATTCATGCTTCAAAAAAATGCGTCTCCAGTGCCATCGTCGAGATAACATGTTCAAAAGAATCAAAGGGGCACTAGCTTGCTATAATACAGAGTGTCCTGCAAGATTGCAACGGCATACTACCGTAAATCGCGATGCGAACGGGGCAAAGAACATTGGCTTAATTGGATTTTCAAAACTAGTATCATCTGACGATAAACCGTTGCCGCCGTTTTGTCGCTCTAAAAAAAGCAGGTAAATTGGTAGAAACAAGAAATAAAAAAAATATGAAAATCCATACCGATCGTAACTATTTTAAACAGGTTCGACCTTGCAAATGAATTTAAAAAGTTTTTTCTTCCTGAAAGGAAAGAGAAACTACCCGTTTAAAACGGAGACTAATTTTTAACTTCCTTTATACCCGGTCCTGGCCAGTCCAGGTATGAGGAGAGCGCCAAAAAATGGGATAAGCGACCGAAGGGAAGGCCTCATTTTTTTTTTCTTTTTTTTTTCTTTAACGATTCACTTTTCACCATGACCATTAAAATATTAAACGCTTCAGCAATAAGACACTTGCACTCCGGTCAAGTTATCGTTGACATTGTGGCTATTGTCAAAGAATTGTTAGAGTAATGAGCTTTTCCTACTTTTTTTTTTTCTGTGTTCGGGAAACAACTCGATTGACCACTATATAGAAATTCTTTAGACGCTCATGCGACAAGCATTGACCTTGTATTCATGAACAATGGGTTAGAATTTGTTCAAGTAAATAAATTTAAACACATGTATAAGAACACTGTTTATATTATGCAAGATACTGATAAGTGTAACATAGATCAAAGATAATGGTGAAGGAATTGAAGAATGCGATCGCATATGCGTAGCAAAAAGACATTATACGTCGAAACTCTCAGAGTTTCATGATTTAGAGGTCATTCAAAGCTACGGATTTCGTGGTGAGGCACTGAACTCGATCTGTGTTGTTTCCGATAAAGTTGTTATCACGACAAAGACGAAGACTGATCCTATCGCAAAGCAGTATGATGTCAACAAAGAAGGGACCATATCGAAGTAAGTGTATTTCAATACGAGAAAGAAAAAAGAATTATTGACCACTTCTATTTTTTGATAGCGAGAAAGTTGCGAATACAATTGCTTCATCTGGAACAACTGTAACACTATACAAGCCTTTCTATAATTTACCAGTAAGACGACAATTGGCTCAAAAAAATGCAACAAGTACCATGAAGAAGGTTCAAGAGCTATTAACAAAATACGCATTGGCTCATCCAAATGTCAGATTCACTTGTACTCAATCAACAAATGCTGGCGGTAGAAAACCTTCCAACAATACATGGATCAAACCTATAACAGAAACAATAGAAACGAGTGTCTCCATACTATTTGGACCTCGTCTTGCTGATATGACTGAAAGATTTATTGAAACGGATGAAGAGGATCCGATACTAACTGTAGATGTTGTTCTTCCAAAAAAGAACTCTGGTAATATTTGATCAAACTCTTCCATATGTCAAAACTTTTACTAAGACACTCTATTTGTTTAGATCCGTCCATCGTCTTAAAGGGTCCGGAAAACGTATTTTTTTACTGTAATCAACGTCCGATAAACTATGTCAAATCTGAATTAAAAGACATTGTCAGCAATATTCGTGTTAGATATAAAGATGCTATTGGGTTAAATGTTGACAATAATCAAAAAATACCGTTTATCTATGTTGATATTCAGATACCTCCGAGTGAATATGACGGTACACACCTTATATACATTTATATTTTTGAGACTGCGGAGCAACTAACATCAAGGTTATGTAGTGAATGTTGAACCAGATAAAACAACTGTCTTATTCCATAAGAAAGATCGTATCTACAACATTATAAAGAAAATCCTGGATGACATCTACCCAACAAAAATGGAAAAGTTCTTTAATAAGTAAGTTGGACGCTACAAACGCAATATGAGTGCTTTCCCTAATGTATGAATTCAGACCCGATTCACAAGTAAGCCCTCCGTCGGTTATCCAAAAAAAATCTACCCCACCGACAAGTGATTGGAATACATCGATGCTCGAAGATATGGATCCCAATGTTGAGACAAGAAATAAAGAGAATACTTCTGGAAGAACTGGAATGGAAAACTGGCAAATTGACAATGCGTCAAGTAGTGTACCCGATAAGACCGTGACGACTATAATCAATGTCACTGATGATGAACCAGATGTATCTTTAGAAAATACCAGGATACGTATTGACAAAGTATCACCTGAAGCACCGCAAAAGTCCGTTGATCCAAAGAATGCGAATATGACAAGTTCATCTTCTGTCAACTCATCATCCCTTTTAAATAAGACCTCTAGAATTACAGATTTCATGCCAACGACATCTAAAAAACGTGCTCTTGAGGATGATTCTATTCACCGTTCGACAATCGTTTCTGATGTTGAAAACAACGGGCCTCAGATGATTCGTCAAGTACAAAAAGTACCCCGCATTCATTCGCCCCCACCCCAAAATGTGGGATCCCATAAACCTGCCCTTTCATCATTACAACAACTCCAAGCACGATCAGAAACCCACGTCAATCTACCAGGGCCATCTGAGCTTACACCACGCGAGAAGCGGCAGTCTGATTTGTCCTCACGATCATCTTTGACCCAAGCACCGAAAAAGTCTTTACCGATCGTTACTAGGAAGGCCCCTCATATGAACCAACTATGTAATACATTGAACCAATCCTTGGTCGTTGATTGCAACATAGAGGATGTGAAAGCGACGTATCCTCGGCGAAAGGAAATATTGTCGGAGAGCTACCGTATCCGTTTGCAAGATTATATGGTCATGAACGATTATGATAGAGTCGGCCAAATTACCAAGTTATTAAAATCACCACCTGGATTAGAAAAACATGGATTATCATTCTACACCCGAGCAAATCCATCTGTGATTGACAAACATAGGCATCAGATCTGTCAATTGGGGGTTGTCAAATTAAAACCACTTTACATTCATGCTATAGTCAATAGACTAGCCAAAGAACACAAAATCATTTGCAAAAGAGCATTTGAAAGACCCGTACAAATGTACTTGGACCCACAAGATACACTTTGTCCCGTTTTGTTAAGTCTGAAAAGTAAGGAACAACTTGTAGATGATGATCTTCATGGACAGAAAAAAATTACGTATAGTGAAATCGTGGATGACATTATCGTATGGAATGGATTCAAAGCCAGATGGCGTAAAGGTATTTTTTTTTTTTTTGTAAAAAGAAGCATGTATGATGGGAACTTATTTTAAGATGCATATTTCGACATTTTAGATCTTTACTCTGGAAAATTAATCGTACAACTCACAGGGATTTATTCGCTTGGATCAGGATATGGTACTGCTGATTTTAGGGAACTGCTTTCGCTCATGGCCGATTCACGCAAAGGGGATTTCGTAAGACCGAAAAAGCTTATGGATCATTTGAAATCAATTGCAGAGGAGATCTTTAATACTAGCAAGCAATTGACAGATTATTCAATGCGAGACATAGAGAAAGGTTTGGAAAGTCTCTCTTGGGTCAAAGGAGACAATGCATGGGAGCTGGGTCGATCGAAAATTGAAAACGAAGTACTTGCTTGTACATTAAATAGCTTAAATTTATAAGGGAATTTTTTATAAAAAGTAGCTAATTAAAATAACGCATTTATCATGAAAAAAGTAAGATGTCATGTAAAATATAAAAGTTATCGGCTGGGATCATTAGACTTGTTCTTGTTTATGTTGTTGATAAGAGTGGTGTTGTTAGTAGTTAATATCCTACAAAGGAATAGTTTGGTAATTCCCAAAAAAAAAAAAAAAAAAAAATAGCAGGCTAAATTTAAAGTTGCGTTATTGACACATCCAAAAAGAAAAAAAAAAGGTACAGATTTGACATTCCAAATTAGGCGATCCCCACGTGTAAAAGGGATGGGTTTATACATGACAAATATGACAAACACACCCTATGGATAACACGATATAGTCTTAATTAAACTGAACACACACAGAATTAAAATAAACCACACTAAAATAAGTGATCCATCATGTCAAGTTGGGTATCTTGTTACACTTGTTCCCATTCAACAAACAACAACAAAATAAAAAGTTTTTCTTTTATTTTATTTTTTTCTCTTTTTCTCTCTTTTCCTTGCCTTTTTTTTTTGTAGAAGTCCCAAGCAATGTACAACAAGATTAGAAGAAGAGAGGATTCAAAAATAAACTACGCTCGCGATTACCTGGACCGTGACAGTGGTATTGTGACAGAATGTGAGTCGGACGCTGACTACCATCGTCCCCATTATATCTTTAGTGATGACGACCAGGATGTGCATCACGCTTTGAATCAATTAGGTGACATTCACCATATTCCACAACAACAACAACAACAACAGCAACAACAGCCAATGGACAGCGTGTACAGTTCACCCAGCTACTATACGAGTTTAGCAGACCAATCCGTGACGCTGATACGACATTATTTAAAAGACAGTGGATGGAAAAAAGTGTTGAAGCATAAGAGCGGCACAACAGTCTATATGCTTCAAAGTGCGGTAGAAAAGACAGCCTTGTTTCGAGGTGAAGCTATAATTCAAGGGTTTACCCCTCAGTCGATCTTTTACGTCATTGGCATGCGAAAATTATGGGATGAGCAGTAAAGTTTTTTTTTGTTTCCCAGAAATCATAAAATGTGAACCTTTCCCCTTATTTTTTTTTTTTTGTATAGGTTTGAGGAAGGAAAACTGATTGATAATTTGAATGATACGACTTCATTGACCTATGAATCTTACAAATCCACCACCACTTCAAAGTAACGTGCAACATTTCCTAATAATTTTTTTGTTGACACATTTTTACATATAGAGCATATGATTTGACTCTGGTAGAAAAAATTGAATGCTCCTCCGATGGTGAAATCCTATTTGCATGTACCAGTATTGATACAGCTAAAGTACCAAAGACACCTGGTAAAAACCGAAACCAAGTCAAGGTAAAACATACACCCCTTATTGATTTTTTCATCCTGAAAGAACGAGAAATAGTAACAAATGATTTTAATATCTACATTTAGTTACAAGGATGGATATTACGACAATTAAATACATCACCCGTGTCTACTAAAGTCACGTATATAACACAAGAAAATATCAAGGGTTGGATACCAGGTTTAACAAAAAAATCGTTAGCTCGTAAACCCTTGATTATTGCATCCATTGATAATTATCTTCGACAAAAATCACATCGACTTCGGTTGCAATTACCTCCTACATCATCCACATCTACTCTACATACCACTACACCATCTAGACTATCCCCCCAGTAAGTAATTTTTTTTTCTTGAAGAAGAAGAAAGCCGACTAACCCTAGAATGTTATAGAAGCATACTTCAACATAATAATAATTCCAGTTCTTCCAACAATATATCGATTATCACACAGACATCACCTACTTTAGGACCTTCCTCTTCTGTAGAAACGGTAGATAAAAAATACAATACCATCATCCTCTCCAACCCTCCACCTCGTATATCCTCCCTTGCCAGCAAGAACTCAGGCAAGACAAAGCATATATCCTTTGCAGATGAAGTTCAATTACACAGTCCACCTTCTACAAGTTCTTCTTCTTCAGCAAGGTCTTCCTTGAACGATGAAGACACACTTTCCGCCTCCACCGGCAGTCCTCTTCCTCCACCACCATTGCCGCCAGTGCATCAATTATCACCGATTCATGAAGTGTCTCCTAGTTCACTTCCTTTTTCAAGTACGACAACGACGGCCAAGAAAGAGTTTAGTAGTACGAAGGCAGTGGCGGGATCTAAATTATACCCGGCGAGTCGACATCGTGTGGAGCGCAAGCAATGCCTGGACCAGTTGAAAAAATATGCGCATAGTGATATGAACGATTGGAAATTAATTGGTGAGAGAAACGAGCGTACAAAGGTGTATACGCAAGCAGTGGAAGGTAGCAAGTTACCCATGATGCGTAGTGATACAACATTTTATGGAACGTGGACACCTGAGCAAATCTGTTCTGTTGTTCAATGTTTTGGAGCGCGAAAGATATGTAAAGTCAGAACGATGATTTGCCTTAGAAAAAAAAAAGAGAGTGGGATACTGAATGTGACCGAGATTTTTCTTTTTTGTTTTAGGGGACGACTATTTTGAAGATGGACATGTGGTAGAAAGATTTTCACAAAAGGAGTACTTGATCTATATGGAAATGAAAAGTTTATTTCCTATCCAAAGTCGAGATTTCTCAATCCTGTCGTGTATTGAAAGTAATGTGAATAGTGGTACAATTTATGTGGCATCCACCAGTGTTGTGGACGAGTTGATCCCACCCGTGTCACATCATATGCGTGGCACATTTCTAACTTATGGTTGGGCCTTGGAACCACTTCGATCAATACAGCATCGACTGATTGGCGTGAAAGCAACGTTTATTGCTCATTTGGAGATGGGAGGTGTCACACCTCTACCGTCCGCCATCTCACGTCTACTAACCAACGAACTCCCCGTGTGCACAGACCGTGTACAGAATTATTTGAGACAGCATGGCTGTCCGCCTTATATTCGACGCGTGGCGGGTAAAATTACGTTGGAAGCGTTTGATGAAAAGGAGAAGCAATACACAATTCATTTTACAGCGAAACATGCACCATCAGCCAGACAATATCGGAGTCGTAACACGAGCGTGTTGGAATCCATGTGGTGTACAGACTTACGCACGCATCCCAGCATGTACCCGTTTGGGTACACCATCGAGAGTCAGCCGAAGCATGGTGTACGCGTGGAGATGAGATCGGATGCGATGGGGATGAGGATTTATACGGAGAGAGAGGAGATGGATGGACAGACGGTGACGGTATGTATTCGACAGAATCGTGAGTGTCTACCCGGTGGAAAGCCAATGTTTCAGTGGAACGGGACTGTCTTGTTGAATGGAGAGAATGTGGAAGAGGAAGAAGAAGTGAAGACGGATGTTGATATACCAACGATCCAAGGTTGGTTTAAAAAAAAAGGAGGGATAACACGGATGTATGTTAATTTATCATTGGTAGAAGATAAACCGCATGATGATAGAATTGAACAACCCAATAGCAAGGTAAAAGGACAAAGAGAGAGATAAGGAAACCAAGTTGAATAATTGTTTTTTATTGTGTGAATAGGACGGACGAAGAAACAGCCATTTAGTGATTTTAAGTGATGATTTGACTTTTACAGGACATCAATTTTCTTTTGTTATTTTATTAATGGTGATTTGTTATTATCTTGGTAAATTCTCTTGTCGTTGTTCAATCTAGTGTCTGCTATAAATAAACGACTGGGTAGTTTTTTCCTTCGCCCAACAAAGCTTTTTTTTTTTGTATGGCATTTACAATAGGGGTTTGTTTTTTATTTTCTTTTTTTGGGTGGAATGGCATATGACACTTGTGGGATGCCGAGAGATAAGAGAAAAAGATGTCAATGTTTTGAGCACAAAAGTGTGTATGTGGGACAGTATTTTGTGAATTGAAAATTGCACTTCTTTGTAATATATTCTAGGCAACCGCATGTAACTAGGGGGGGGGGAGGTCCGTAAAAGGAAGATCGCGTATGATGCATGAAAGGTAATGTGAGTGTAATAAAATCCTTCGACCCTCTTCCTTTCTCTCCCCAAAAGTGTCTCATCATATGCGTGGAACATTCCCGATTCTTTCTTATGGAGTTCAGTGTGTGTGTGGCATCTTTTGTTGGAGCCACTTAGATCAATCCAACACAGGCTTTTCTCTTGTTAGTAATCTAAATAAGGGATATATCACACATCTTATCTATTGTCTGCTGACAAGAAAATAATGAAATCCGTCTGTGCAGTGTACATATTATTAAAATGATTATTTATTATTATTTCCGTCGTGTAGCCGGTCCCTCCGTGAAAAAAAAAAGAATGTATGTAAAAGCGTATGGATGGTAAATAAAACGGCTATCGGTGTAGATGTACTTTAGCAAAAATAAAAAAAAAAAGAGATAACTCTTAGTTGACACAAATAAGGTTATCCATGTGGTGCACAGATCTTTGGTATCCCCTAAAAATGTTAATAAGCATGTTAACCCCATTTTAAGATAAATGAAACGCAGCAGATCAAATGACAGGCTATTACAGCTGGCTGGGCTGGGGCTGACCTGACTATAGGTCATAAAGCCAAAAATGTGAAAATTAGGGTTTTTTTTTTTTTTATCGAACCGGATGGTAAGCCGGTTTATATATATAATTGGACGGGACAAATAGTTATTGTTTGACCAAGTTCATAAATAGTGTGAAAAGAACATATCACATGGTTTAGGGGAGCAAAACCCAACTCCAAGGTAAAAGAGCATAAATTAGATCACGGGGTCAAATCTGTGTGCAACACAAGCCAAAAGAAAAGAGAAACATGCCTTTTTATTTTTAATAATTGTAAATGAATTAGATAACTACTTTTTATGGGAGAAAGGGGGAGGTCATTTATAATTACCTGATAATAAAAAAACTGTAAACACGGTAATCATGTAGTATCTTTTTTTTGTTTCTTGCCCATATTATGAAAATTTATGTAAAAAAATAAAAAAAAAAAGGGGGGGGTCACAGCTACTCGTTTAATGCTTTTTTTAAAAGCTTACGAGCCTTCTTGAGTCGCTTGATCTCTTGGTCAAGATCTTCTATTGCTCTTTTTGTGCTCAACTTCCATTCATTATTGGTGGAAGCAGGCTGGCTAGACGAAGCTTCACCAAAAGCAGGACGAGAGAAAAAAAGAGGTTCGTCTGAGAAAGACCCAACAGAAGAGGAAGAATGCTCGGCAGACACAGTTTCAGCAGACAAAGACCGAGCATTCAAAGGGTTCCTTGTAGATGACAAAGCACCAGCCGCTAAAGGAGCACCAGCCGCTAAAGGAGCACCAGCTACCAAAGGAGCACCAGAGGAAAGAGGAGCAGTTGATCTTGTCAAAGATTCAGCTTCATCACTTCCAACCAACAATCGACTCACCTCTTCAATCGCCTCTTGTTGACCACCAAAAACTGCACACGTTTGTGCCTCAATTGGGCGTGGAAGAAGCAGTAGTGACTTCAGATTTGTCATGTGGTGTGGGTGTAGGTGTTGTGGTAGGATATCTGACAACAGATCCGTCAGGATACTGCATAGGAAGGACGGAAAATTGAAGGTCATTCAACTTGATACCCTTTTGATTATACAAATTATAAAAGTACGCGGCGCCTTCGATAGTTGTGAAGTGGAGGTAACAAGTGCTAAAAAGAAAAGAAAAATTAGTAATCAAAAAAGACTTTGGTTAGGATACATACTCTGATCTGACATGTTTCTGGATTTCGTTCAACGGCTTGAACCTTATACCATTTAACACCTCTTGAGCTTGCCCTTTGGTCATATTCTTTAGGCTGGGGCTTGTAAGTTTAACTTGTTTTTGAGTTTGTTGCAACCGGGGCAGACCATTCTGAAAAAAGAAACGTCCGTCGTGTTTTTTAAAAGCTTGTAAAAAGCGAAGATAGACGAGCAGGAATAAGCTCGTCTATCAGGAGTACCCCCAAGGCGACGTATCTTCTTCCTCCAAAGTTCATGCTGATTAAAAAAAAAAAAAAAAAAAAAAAATTGGATTTAGTATAGATTTGTAATATTTATAAATAGTTAAAGTACCCAAATTGAACTTGACAGTCTTTTGATTTCCTTGGATAATCTATCGATAGCCTCTCTTGTTCTGCTGGCCCATTCTTTATTTACGGGCGTATTATCAGATACTGATCTAGTGGAGGCTGTAGCGGGTGTGGCGGCGGGTGTGGCGGCGGGTGTGGTAGTAGGTGTGGTAGTAGGTGTGGCGGCGGGATAAGTGACAACAGTGCCATCGCGGGATCGAGTGGGGTGTACAGTAAAATGGATGTTGTTAAGGCTGAGCCCCTTTTCATGATAGCTATTATAAAAGTATGATGCGCCCTCTTTGGTCGAGAAATGAAGATAACAAGTACTAAAAAGAAAAGAAAAATTAGTAATCAAAAGAGAATTTGGGTCAGGATACATACTCTGATCTAATGTGCTTTTGTATTTCCTTTAAGGGTTTAAATTTAAGTTTGTCTATGGTCTCTTCGACTTGCCCTTTAGGCATGCTTACAATAGTGGGGCTTTTGAGTTCAACTTGCTTGTGAGGCTTGTTACATCCTTGACACGTCATTTTTTATATAAACTGGTATTACGGGAAAAAAAAAACGTCCGCCGTGTTTTTTAAAGGCTCGTAAAAAGCCAAGATAGACGAGCGAGAGTAAGCTCGTCTATCGGGAATACCCCTCAAGGCGGCGGATCTTCTTCCTTCAAAGTTCATGCTGATTAAAAAAAAAAAAAAAATTGGATTTAGTATAGATTTGTAATATCTTTAAATAGTCAAAGTACCCAAATTGAACTTGACAGTCTCTTGATTTCTTGGTCAAGGTTTTCGATCGCTCTTTTTGTGTTACCTTTCCATTCATTACTGGTAGAAGTGGTGGTAGCAGGTGCGACTTGGTTATGTAGGTGTTGCGGCGGAATAATTGACCACAGTACCGTCAGGGAACTGGGCGGGTAAGATGGTGTAATGCATGTTGTTTAAAATAATACCATTTTCATGATAAGCGTTATAAAAGAATGCTGCGCCTTGAACTGTTGAGAAGTGGAGGTAGCAGATGCTAAAAAGAAAAGAAAAATTAGTGATCAAAAAGGAATTTGGTCAGGATACATACTCGGATTTGAAGCTTTTTTGAACCTCTTTGAGCAACTTGAACTTTATGGCACCTAACGCCTCTTTAATTTGGCCTTTGGTCATATTATTGCATCCGAGACCTTGCATACGAACTTGTTTCTTTGGCTTGTTGCAACCTTCACAGACCATTTCAAAAAAAGAGAAACTTCCGCCGTGTTTTTTAAAAGCTCGTAAAAAGCGAAGATAGACGAGCAAGAATAAGCTCGTCTATCAGGCGCACCCCCAAGGTGGCGGATCTTCTTCCGTTGAAGAGTGGAGGTAGCAGGTGCTAAAAAGAAAAGAAAAATTAGTATTTAAAAAAGAATTTGGTTAGGATACATACTCGGATTTGAAGTTCTTCTGAACCTCTTTAAGTAACTCGAACTTAATACTACCTAAAGCCCCCTTTAGTTGCCCTGTTGTCATATTTTTACAACTGGGGCCTTGAATACGCTCTTGTTTGTTTGGTTTGTTACAACCTTCACAGACCATTTCAAAAAAAAAGAAACTTCCGCCGTGTTTTTTAAAAGCTCGTAAAAAAGCGAAGATAGACGAGCAAGAATAAGCTTGTCTATCAGGCGTACCCCCAAGGCGACGTATCTTCTTCCTTCAAAGTTCACGCTGATTAAAAAAAAAAAAAACTGGATTTAGTATAGATTTGTAATATCTTTAAATAGTCAAAGTACCCAAATTGAACTTGATATTCTCTTGATTTCTTGGTCAAGATCTTCTATTGCCCTTTTTGTGCTCAACTTCCATTCATCACTGGTAGAGGTGGTGGCAGCAGCTGCGACTTGGTTCTGTGTGGATGTCTGTGTGGGGGTCTGTGTGGGTGTGTGGGTGGTTTTATGTGTGGGTGTAGGTGCTGTGGTGGGATATCTGACAACAGTACCGTTAGGGAACTGCATAGGATTAACGGTAAACTGAAGGTTGTTCAAGTTGATACCCTTTTCATTATAAGAATTGAAAAAATATGCTGCTCCTTCAATTGTAGAGAAGTGGAGGTAGCAAGTGCTAAAAAGAAAAGAAAAATTAGTAATAAAAAAAGACTTTGGTTAGGATACATACTCTGATTTGATATGTTTTTGCACTTCGCTCAGCGGCTTGAACTTTATGACACTTAATGTTTCTTGTGCCTGCCCTTTTGTCATGTTCTTTAGGCTGGGGCTTCTTAATTTCACTTGTTTCTGTGGGTTATAACAACCTGAACACACCATTCTGAAAAAATAAATGAAAAAAAAAAAACGTCCACCGTGTTTTTGAAAGGCTTGTAAAAAGCCAAGATAGACGAGCGAGAGTAAGCTCGTCTATCGGGCATACCCCCAGGGCGGCGGATCTTCTTCCTTCAAAGTTCATGCTGATTTAAAAAAAAAAATTGGATTTAGTATAGATTTGTAATATCTTTAAATAGTTAAAGTACCCAAATTGAACTTGATGGCTATGTTCCTGTACTTTACAGCCAAGTACAGGACATAACGCCAGTTCTTGGCCATCCATAAGGCTCCGTCATGGCAATGCATTTTGGCAAGGCAAGACCAAAAGGTTTTCCCAATGCCTTCACTGTACTTGACCTGACAGCGTGTAGCATTGTCTTTAGGCACGGGAAGACAGACAAACCCAAACAGTCAGAACCTGGGGGGAAGTTAAGCTAATTAAAAAGTTGTAAATTATTAGTAAAAAAAGAAATTTGTTAATTATCCATTCGACGTACCCTTGATAGCTGGCTCCCGAATTGCATACAATGTCGTACATGACATGCAAAAGGAACTCTCTTTCTACCAAGCCAGTTCTCAACAAAGGCAATAGCAGCCAAAAGGTTATTTGAACCTAAAGTAAATGAAAAAAAAAAGTATGAATACGCGCGTACTCTTAAAAAAATTGATGTAGTATTACCTTTCCGCGGAATTCATGACTGCCAATTAAAACACGGTATCGTGTCTTGCGCAGCCCACTGCCAAAGACACCACACAGACAGGATTTAGATAGCCTAGGTGCGGGTTATGGTGCACCGAAGGCTGCAGAAGGTACACTTCAGCCCAAAAGACTACTCTTCACGAGGATTTTCATAATAAAAAAAGATCGCAGAGACTGACATGCACTGCTCCTGGATGGGTGACCAAAAGGAAACATATCCTACTTCTACCAAAGCAATAGTCAGCATGTATTGCACAAGAAGGATCCTTTGATTTCTTTGATTTCTTACCAACTTTTGCGTAAGTATAAAAAATGAAGACGCGAAACAAAGAAAAAAAAATTGATAAATTTTTTTTTTTGGGAAATGTCTAGACCTCCGTATTTTTTTTTATACCACTTACAGCAATTCTGGCTAAAACCAGCAGGCCAGTATGAATACAACCCTTCACAGTGAAAACCACTGTTATTCACAGCCTGTGAGTTCCAAAAAAAAGAACTCAAGAGCCCTGCTTGGGAGGTCGCCCTCCTACAGCAAAAACCAGCCGCAGCTGCAATACCGCAATAATATCTTTTTTTCGGTTTAACGTCTTTTGAAAGAAACAAGAGTCACTATTAAACTAACCTTTTGACGTTATCGATTACTTTCATACGATAGAAAAAGTTAAGGGAAAAGAAAAGGAAAAGAATAAAGTGTGTGAACCAGCTTTTATTTATAGGCTGATAAATAAGAGCTTATGTCAGAATAATTTGATTGATTGTTTCATCATTTATTATTTTTGGGCCTTTACTTAAAATAGAAACATATTCAAAAATCCCATAAGCAAATCAAAACTTGGTAGTTGTCTATCTGCGTTCCAGTAGTAGCTTGTAATGACAGTGAAACAGATTTTATAAAAAACAGAAATCGATCATCCTATGAAGTTTAGCCGATATGGCATGTCAATTGACGTGAAGACCTTCACGTGATTCTAAAAAATACGGAGTTCTAGACATTTCCTTTTTTTATGGGATCAGTCACAAGAATTACGTGAGCCAGAGAACCGACATTACATCTTGTTTGGCATGCCCGCATGACTTTCAAAAAAAAAAAAAAAAAAAAAAAAAAAAGCCAGTGTACGCTGTTTGGCAAGTACTTTATCAAGTTTTTTCCTTTTTTCAAAACCCAATATTCGTTCTGCTTAGTGGTGGTAGCTTTAAACAATTGACAGGTTTGTTGGTGGTAGCTTCAACCTCGAAATATTTTTGTTTTTTATTTCGTGTTTTTTTGCAGTTGTATTTGGGGGGTAATTATGGTAAACCTTTCGATTGGCCGGTAAATATATTTTTTTTAATGCAAGTAAAAAATAAAACAACCGCCTTTTTTTTGATTTTTAAAACCCCTCCCTTTGATTTTTTTTTTTTTTTTAATTGGCTGGCCTTTTTAGCCGTTTGGAACGATAAAGGGGATCTATTTATATTTTTTTTTCTTTCCCGTGCCTTTTTTTTTTATTTCTCCCCCTTTTCTCTCTCTTTTTTCATAAGTTCAATTTGCCCGTGATGACAACGTTTACACCACTCGTGCACAGCAATAAAGAAAACGAATTGAAGCCGACAACATTTCCATTTCTGCAATACAGTTTTGGACAGAGGATAAAGACGAGTCCATTTCCTCCTTTTTCCAAACTGTTCTTTACAAGCAATTCAAAGTCCAATCGAACCATTCATGATACCTGTCGTATCATTCATGATGAAGAACTTTGCATGTTTTCCATCCAATTGGATTCGAAAGGAACCACAGGTAAACCATTGGATCAAAATAACCATTATTCTTTTTTTTGCTTAAAAAAAAGTTTTTTTTTTCTTTCTCTTTTAAAAAAAAAGCTGCCATTTGTTATTTACCGACTACTATCAAAAACGTAATTGAAATATACCACATTGTAAGCAAAAAAAAAAAAAAAAAAAAAAAATTAAATTCCCCCCTCCCTCCCCCCAAAAAGATTTTACATAATTTGGGTTAGTAGACAAGATTAACACTTAAAAATCACACAAAAACACATCAAATCAAAAGGAAATCCCAGTTTCTTATCGACATCAAGGTTTGGGAGATAAATTAGTGAAAAAATGTCTGGACTGGGCGAAAGAGTCTGGAACATTGGTCATTCCAACGTGTGCCTTTGTACAACGGCATTTGGAATTTGTAGGGTTACAAAACTATTGTGCTTCCACTCTGATTTTACCAGATGTTTGAATTCTCCCCCCTTTCTCTCTCTAGGCACTGTACAAAATCCACTTTTACATGTATAAAAAAACAGGGTTCACACTTTTCATCCGTGCATCATTTCCCTCCTCCCCCCAGCTTATCTTTTTCTTTCTTTTCCTCAGCCGGACAATAAATCATGACTATTAAAGTGTTATGCCCCCCCCCCTTTTTTTATTATTATTATTATTTACAATGGTAGATGCCCCCCAATGACAACGGGGGAAAGATACTCATAACAAAGAGCTGCCCAAATGAGGACATCTTTCAACATGCAACCAACCAGGCAGCGTGGTAACACAAGATCTATAGCCCTCTTCCCCACCCTTTTTTGGGAAGTGAGTGACACTCATTTATTTTAATCAGAAAAAGAGGGGACGACGACAAAATCATTGCATTAAAAAAAGACATGTTTTGCATGGTGCATTTTTCGGGGGAGTTTATGCCGCTTTCCAAGCCTTTTCTTTTTTTTTTTAAAAAAAAATGGGTATTTTAGTCAAAGGGGATTTCCATTGTTCATGTTGTACGGATGAATGATATATAAAAATCGTCAAGTTTCTAGAAAAAGAAAAAAAAAAAAAGCATGATCTTGAGAAAAAAAGTCCAACTTTTTTTTAAGAGGGAAATGCAGACGTATCAAGTGACGCACTTGATACTTGAGCCCCAATTGTCTGCTATTGTATTATTATTATTATTATTTTGCCAGTAGTGACATAAATAGAAGAGAGAGAGGTTGCCCATATGAAAGATATATCTGGTAAATTAAAAAAGAATATTTGGTTTTTTAAAAAAGTAATCTATTTTTAATGTAGTTTGATGTGACACAAGGAAATTACATACACCCTTCTCCCCCCCTCCTCGTTTTTTTTTCTCTTTTTCTCTCTTTTTTTTTTTTTTTTTTTTTTCTTCTTCAAACATATATATATATATAAAGAAATGACGACTGTAACAGCCTCAGCGCCGATACAATTTACAGAACCTACTTTATCCAGAAACCGATCCTTCCAACAACAACAACAACAACAAAAGAGATATCATACACAACATATTGGAAACTATGTGATTCATAAAAAGACGTTAGGGTCAGGCAGTATGGGAACAGTGAAACTAGCAGAGTGTTTATCTGATAGAGATCATCAGCAGGTAAAGAGAGAGAAACGCAACCAACAACAAAAAAGAATATTTAAATTAACAAAAAAAAAAAAAGTATGCGGTGAAAATCATGCCCAAGATCAATTTAGCTTTGGTGGTAGGTGATGAAAAGAATAAGGATCCCAAGGACACACCCAGAGAACGAGAACAACGAACAATAAGAGAGATGGCCATCATGCATTTATTACGTCACCCCAACATATGTCAATTAAAGGAATGGGTAGTTCAGGGCGATCATTATTACATGTTTCTAGAGTATATCGAAGGTGGACAATTATTAGATTATATCATCAGTCATGGTAAATTACGAGAGAAACTTGCAAGAAAGTTTGCAAGACAAATTGCTAGTGCATTAGACTATTGTCACCGAAATTCCATTGTTCATCGAGGTACGTAACAAGAAAAAAAATGCATCCTTTTATTGTGTGCACCCCCCCCCCACCCCCACATCCCTCTTCCCCTTTTGCGCGTTTCGATCTTGCCCAAAAAAAGAAAAAACCCTAACCCTAATATATCATAATAGACCTAAAGATTGAAAATATTCTGATTACGAATCATGAAGAAATCAAAATCATTGATTTTGGACTATCGAATATTTATTCACCTTCTCGACTACTCAATACCTTTTGTGGCTCACTTTATTTTGCCGCACCTGAATTATTACAGGCACGAAATTATACGGGACCTGAAGTCGATGTCTGGAGTTTTGGTGTGGTATTGTATGTATTGGTATGTGGAAGAGTTCCATTTGACGATACAAGTTTACCTGCACTTCATCAAAAGATTAAGGCGGGTGTAGTAGAATACCCTGACCATCTCACCAAAGGTACGCAGCATGCTTCATTGCGTTTATATAAAAAGCTAAAATAAACCCCCTCCCCCCTCTTTTTTAGAATGCATTGATTTACTTTCCAAGATTTTAGTGGTCGACCCCAAGAAGAGAGAGACATTATCATTTGTCATTCATCATCCATGGATGAACCGAGGGTACGATGAACCGATTTTTAATCATTTACCGCATCGACAACCGTTAAAATGGGTGGATCCACAAGTCATTGCAGGTATGCAAGGTTTCGGACTGGGTTCACCGTCAGAAATCCAAAGCAAATTGGAAAAGATTATTTCATCCACCGAATACCAAACAGCGGCTCAACAAATCGATCAGAATTACCAACAACAACAACAACAACAGCAACAAAAGAGTCACACCGTTTCCTCCATGAACGACAATACGAATTCATTGACGCGATGGCGTCGTACCATCTCCATTAAACGTTCATCACCACCGACCGTGGTTGGAAAAGATGATCCACAGTCTTTACCCGCCATGTATGATCCCTTAATCTCCATTTATGCACTGGTGAAGGAACGTCGTGATTTCGATGAAAAGGTATCTCTGTTACAAAGGGGTGGTTATCAATCCCCTGTTCAATTAGGACGATCCGCCAGTACGTCCTTGACCACACCTTCGCATGGTATCAATAGTGAGATTCGACGACGTAAGACGGAACGTGTACCACCTTCACATACACGCCATCTTTTCAAGGACACCACCGAGACAGTGGATTGGGCTGCACCGCATGTCAATAGTACGGGGGACACCAAAAAATTGAATAACAACGGGGGAACAATTTTACAACGTAGTCGTAGTGCTGCAAAACGAATTGGAGCCATGTTACCAAGTAAAGTCAGCGGTAATGGTGGTGGTGGTGGATTGAATGGTTTAAATGAAGATGTATTTCATGTGATTGAAAGACAAAAGAGTCGTGATTCATTACCGCCCCCTGCGGCTGCGTCGTCATCATCATCATCGGGTGTAGAGTTGAATTATTCGTCTTCTTTAAAGAAAAAGACCATTCATTTATTACGATCGAGTTCGTTAACGGATAAACAACGACGACAACAGGGTAAGAAGACGATGATGGATGAGGATGGAAGACCTGCTGCGACTGCGGTGGTGCAGGGACGACTGGTGGAGGAAGGATTGACGGTGAAAGCACCAGTGACGATGAGCACGCATCCCAAGAGCTTGTTTAATTTTAATCGACGCCACTTGTTCAAGATGACGACCACCGAGATGCTCAAGAATATTCAACATGTGTTGCTGAAACTGGGTATTCAATATCGATTGCAAGAAGGGTACACGTTGAAATGTGAATTATCAGATTGGGGACGGTTGATAAGAGCATCGTCTATGATGGAGGAGGAGGATGAAGGTGTGGTGGATGGCGTGGTATGCTTTACATTGATGATTTATCAGGCGCGATGGGCAGGAGGTCGATTAGGTGTGAAAGTGTTGGAGGCAGAAGAAAAGGATGATAAAATGTATCGACAGATCTATCATACTATCTTGAACGAACTTGGTTCCTTTTAAATCTTATAATATTTAGCTATAATAAAAGCAATATCACTGGGGGGGACTATTTCCCAGTGAAAAAAAAAAAAAAAAAAAAAAAAAAAAAAAACGCGCATGAAAAAGAGAGAGAGAGTTTTCGAGTGATATTTTAAACTCCGGTGATACAAGTACTGCTTTTCTTTTTCTTTTTTTTTTTTTTTACTTACCCGGGGGAGCGCGAAAAATTAAAGTGAATGCGTAATAACAATATTTTTTTGTTGTTGTTGTTGTTCTTTCATCGTATTTGCTCAAATGACTAGTCAACCCATCACGCAATTTTCGTGTATGTATTTAAAAAAAAAAAAAAAAAAAAAAAAAGTTTACCGCTGACGAAAAAAAAAAAAAAAAACCTCATCATGTAGTTCGTTCACAAAAGGAGCTTACCATTTGGGATGGATATCCTGAATTCAAGGCTGTCAATAACTTTAAGAAGTATGTTGCTGTATAAAAAAAAGAGAGAGAAGGAGAAAACTAATTTTTTATGCTCGTTAGACCAGACATGAGTAGCCGTATGTTTCATTATAGCAGATACGGTCATGTCTACGCCTACTTGACCGGTGAAGGGTAAAAAAAAAAATGATGTTAGAATGTATATGAGGAAGGAGGGGGGTTTACTAATGTAAAATTTGTGTATAGTGTCAAAGTATTTGATGCTGCTACATTGGCACCTCTTTGTGAGATCGAAAGAGCTAATGTCATTGACTTTTGGCTTTCACCTCAAGGAAGTTATGTTGCTACTTGGGAACGTCCTGGTAAACAAAAAAAAAAAGTTTTTTTTTTTTTATTATTTTACTAAAAAAAAAAAATAATTGTTCTTGTTGTTTGTATAGTCAAGCTTGAGGATGGTGCTGGTAGCCACAATTTAATGATTTGGGATGCCAAGACAGGAGAACAAATTGCTGCTTTTTCTCAAAAGGCCCAAAACAACTGGTAAAGGATTTTTGAAAGGAAAGGGGGGGGGGGAAAGGATGTGAGCTAAAATATATATATATATATTTATACAGGAATTTCCAATGGACTGATGATGAAAAGTATTGTGCTCGTATGGTGACTGGAGAGATTCAATTTTGGGAAACCAAGAGTTTAGGAAAATGTAAGGCATTTTAAAATCAAAGGAGGAGGAGGAGGAGGAGGAGGAGGAAATATGCAGGATTGACACAATTGATTTTATGTAGCTGTTTGGGCCAAACTTCGACTTGAAGGTGTTGCTCAATTCTCTTTGAGTCCCGGTAAAGCACCTGCAATTGCAGTATTTATTCCTGAAAAGAATGTAAGTCGGACACAAGAAAAGAAAAGGGGTTTTGTGTGTTGATTCTGTATATATTTTTAATTAGGGAGCACCTGCTATTGTTCGTATGTACAGTATCCCTAATTTCAGCACTGCCTTATCCAACAAGACGTTTTACAAGGCAGACCGAATTACAATGTACTGGAACGATTTAGGTACAAATTTACTTGTATTGACCATGACGGATGTGGACAAGTCCAACAAATCTTACTATGGTGAGACCAATTTGTACTATCTTGCTGTGGCTGGTAACTTTGATTGTCGTGTTGCTCTTGACAAGGAAGGTCCGATTCATGATGTGACTTGGGGACCTGATTCGAAAGAATTCATTGTATGTTATGGTTCTATGCCTGCCAAGACCACCTTATTTGATCACCGTGCCACACCCGTATTTGACTTTGGTATCAATCCTCGTAATTTCGTTAAATACAATCCTCAAGGCCGTACCATTTGTATTGCAGGTTTTGGTAATTTAAACGGTACAGTGGATCTTTGGGATCGTAAGAGTTTAAGAAAGATCAATACGTTTGCTGCATCCAATGCTTCTCATTGTGAATGGTCTCCCTGTGGTCGATTCCTCTTGACAGCTACTTTGACCCCACGTCTTCGTGTTGATAACGGATTTAAACTTTGGCATCATACAGGTACATTGATCTATGAAGAGTCCGTGGATGAGCTCTATCAAATCGGATATCGTCCTGAACCTGCCTCACGCTATCCTATGCGTTCCACCTCTCCTCCTCCTAACCCAATCAAGATCCTTCCTACCACAGGTGGTGGTGCAAAGGCAAGTGCAGCCCCCGCCGGAGCTTACCGACCTCCTCATCTTCGCGGTAGTGCTACACCTACCTCTCTCTCTGATAGAGCCGCAGCCCTGGATGGTATTGGTAGATCGCCTACTTCTCAACGTAGAGTGGTGGGATCCAAACCCAATGGTAAATCAAATCATAACGGAAGATCTCCTGCATCACCAGCAGCATCAGCAGCAGCAATAAAGCCTCAAGAACCTGCGATTAGTCCTGAGGAAAAGCAAAAGAAGATCCGTAACCTTGAAAAGAAGTTGAGACAGATTCGTGATTTGAAGGATAAGATGAGTCAAGGAGAAGAATTAGCTCCTGCTCAACAACAAAAGCTTACAAGTGAAGTTTCTGTGATGAGAGAACTTGCTAATCTTCATCTTACCGATTAATAGATAGATAGAGAGAGTGTATGTGTGTATGCGGGGAAGACGGAGGGGGAAAATAAAGATAAATTTTTTTTTTTATTTACTAGTGTTGATGATAATTACCATGTACAATCAAGTGATATGGTTTATTGATGGTTTGTTTTCGTTTATCCACTTTTAATTGTGAGGCGACCGATTGGATATCATTGTTTAATTGAGCGAGAACTCTTTGGGTTTCCCCTTTAAAGGGATCTTCCAACTGAACTAAGGGTCTACTATCGATTATGTCATTCAGTGTCTCTTCGACTTTACCGAGGCGTGTCTCCAGTTTATCAAGACGGGCCGTCAGTTTGTGTAGACGTGCCTCGAGTTTAAACAGTGAGGGTCCTGAGGATTGTTTGGCTGTTTGCACAACGGGGGAATTTTTTTGTGAGCGACCCATTCTTTTTTTTTTTTTTTTTGAGGAGGGGAATATGTATGAAAAAAAGAGTTCTTTTTATTTTATTTTTGAAAATATATATATATATATATATAACAAAAAAAATCAACTTGAATTTAACATGTAAAAAGTGGTTTCCAATTAAGCATGGTGGGAGATTTTATTTTATTTTTATTTTAAATTACTAGAAATGTTGTAGGAAAATAACTGTCTTGGCTTAAATGGAAGGGGAGGAGTATCATCTTGTTTTGTAGAATCATGAAGTTTACAGAAGGAAAACTAGATAAGAGGGTATTTATAAATAGTGGATGGAATCATTGGAGATAGATGAAGCATAAGTTAATTTAACAACTGCTATCTAACCCTTTTTTACAAACCAATTTGAACCACTGACAGATGTTTGAGTCTCTTTTTATTTATATATAAAGCTATGTAAACTACTGGACTAGTGTTGGTGATAAGGACCATGAACTACAATTTTGCCTATTCTAACAACCGACTGCTTACGACGATCATGTCGAAGGTTTGACTTTTGAATCAAATGAGCCATTCTAGTCATACGGATATCGATTTCTTTTTCGTGACTGCAAGTGATCTTTTGTAATGTGTCTTCGAACCGCTTGAGGATTTGCTCTAATTCAGCTTCGGTGGGCCAGACAGGTGGAGTAGGGTTTCTGTTAGACATTGAATCTTTTCTAGTATTTGACATGAGAAAGAAACCAGGAAGGGGAGGAGGAGGAGAGCTCTTTTTTTTTTCTTTTTTTTTTTTTAAAAAAAAAGATAAAATGACATCGGCAGTTTAAAAAAAAAACTGTCAAAAAAAAAAAAAGGGTAGGATGAAATAAAAAAAAAAGAGTTACGCAATGTTGTGGCGACACCAACTTGTCAAGTCATTTGTACGAGTTCATGGTTCTTTTGGGTCATGCAAAAAATGCGATTATCTCACATGTTGAAGATGCGAACAAAAAAAGTTCATTATCCACACACATATTTTTTAGCCAGTCAATCTCTCTCTCTCTTTTTTATTTATTCGCAATTAAGAACCAAAACGTTTTTAAAAAAAAAAAAAAAAAAAAAAAAAAAACTATATTATTTACACTACGAATCTATCGAGAAGCGTACTACGGAAAAAAAAGGATTAGATTTCTAAAAGGAGGAATGGACAGAGAACTAACCTTGTCGACATATTCTTTCACGATTTTGTTAAATTTGGGTCTGTTGGCATTATAGATTTCAGCGATGGAAGCGACTAGAGCATCATCTGGGTTAGGTGTTTCTAATAATCCAACGAGTGCTTGCAATACTAAAAAAAAAAAAAAATGAGTTTTCTTTTGCATAAACAATTTTTTCTTTATTCTTACCGTTGACTAATTTAGTGGCTGGCTTCCAAACATCCGGCTTTAAAAGATCAACACAAATAGCACCATCTTCATCAATATTAGGATGATAAATTTTGGTAATGAATTTCATCTATCATGGGAATGTTATCAGCCTAAAAAATGAATTGGGTAGTTTAACCATGATTTTTACCTTTGGTGGTTTGAATGGATAATCGGCAGAGAATGTAATGTCCAGCTTGAAAAATCCACCTTGATAAGGACTTCCTTGCTACATAAAAAAGATTGAATACCTTGTTGTTTATCTTATCAAAAGTATACTTTACAGGTCCAACCAAAGTGGCTAAAAGAAAGAAAAAAGAATGAGACTTTTTTTTTTTTTTATTGTGCCTTATCTTGTTTTTTACCTCTCCAGTGAAATAAGTCTTCATCTACAGGAGCTGCACTCACATTAGGAGGAGGATTCTTTGTTAAATCAGCTAATTCCTACACACACACACACAAAAAAAAACTCGTCATTGAGAACAATGTTTCATTCTACTTTCACTTTTTTCTTTTTTTTTTTTTTTACTTTTTGAATTCTCTTTAAAGCCATGTTTTTTTTTATAGCGGGATGGAAAAAGAAAATAAATAAAAAACGCGGTTTTTTTATTTTTTCATTGTTAGGTTTTTTTTTTTTTTTTTACACCTGTGGACAACCCCCTTTCCTGTGACGCGCTTTTTACCTTTAAATTGCATGAAAAAAAAAAGGGGGGGGGGGACTGAGCAAAAAAAAAAACCAGCCCACTTTTTTTTTGGGTGCAGCGCCAAATCTTATATTGATCTCGTTACTGAGAGGAGGTAAAAGGTAAATATTTTTTTTTGTCTTTTTTTTCCCCCTGCCACCACCTGTTATAAGAAGTGAGGGGGAGGGAAATGTGTCATTGTATTATAAGATAATTGGTAAGATATATAGAGAGTAAGTAGATAAAGATGGGGGGGGGGGCTTAAGGAAAAAAAAATAATAATAATTAAGGACGACCAGCGTCAAGTCCGTTAGAATAAGTATTCTCACGACCATAAGGATCGGTAGAGTTCATATTGTATAAGCTAGTATGATAATGTGAAGAAGATTCTTGTGAATTGGATAATCGATCTGTTGTTGTTGTTCCAGCAGCAGCAGTAGAGGAAGGGGGAGCCCAGTAACCATGTTTGGGTTCGGTTTTTAAAGCCTTGTCATTAAAAGCCGACGTATTATTTTCATATAGATGTGATGAAGGAGGAGGAGGAGGAGGCACAGAATCCTATGAATGATTGTTTTTAAAAATCACCCCGAAAATATAAATAAAAAAAAAAACTTACGGTTTGGAAATAAGGTGCGGGAACCTGACCTTGAGAAGGAGGTGGATGACTAGCATAGGGCGATAGATTAGAAGAGTGAGGTGGCATCATGGGAGAGTAAGCAGATATAGATGAATATGGATAACTATTGTAAGGAGAATAGGGACCAAAATCACTGATGGGGGAATTAGGTAAGCTTGTATTATATCTATTAGTAGGTGAACTTTGTTGTTGTTGTTGTTGTGGATGATCTGAAGAATCATTTGAAATGGAGGAATCATTATCCATATGCTTGAATCTTGTATGAGAATCAGCATAATGACCAGGACTACGACCACGTACAACGAGAGGGGCGGAAGTACATGTAGCGACACGAATGGATTCACCACGACTGCAGTTAGCGTAAAGATCCACGACAATTTCATAATACTGTTGAGCCGCTCTACGTTTCCCATTGTTGGCTGTAGCGGTCTTAAACTGAAGACGTTCAAAGGTGACGATATTGTGATTGGATCCGACAGAGGCAAGATGGAGGTTACCACCAGCACGTACAGGACGTGGTTCAGGTATCATTTGTGGACCTTTATCTCTTTTGGGTGTATGTTGAACCAACTCAATCTTCTTGTCATGGTTTGTCACACGAGCACAGACACCAATTGAAAAGTAATCCACCGTTAAAAACTCTTGTGTATCTGTCTTTCTTAATAAACAGGGTACCTCTGCATTTTGAAGTAGGTAGTTCATCCCATGCACATCAAATGTAGAACTCACTTGAAAGTAATTTCGGCGATAACATGTCCAATCTTGATCTGCTCTAAAGAAACCTCTATCCATTTTAGCATGTAATTGGACTTGGTAACTGATGATGAAAAAGTCATATCAGTTATAAAAGAACATACATACACACACACACATATATATAGAAACACATGTCTTATCCTAAATCTTTACCTGTTGGATTGATCCATGTTACATAAATCATGAAGCTGCTTGGTACTGGAAAAGGTAGGTCCCATCTCAAACGAAAAGATGGATTCTGTTCTTCTTCTTCGAATAGGGCCTGCACTTGGATATGGATTTGAATGAAAGGTGGTGGTTGTGAAATTCGCGGGTCTTGAAGGAATGGGAGGACGTCGACGAATCAAGTTGGGTGAAATGGCTTGTTTTTCATTTGGTGGAGAAGTTAAAGTGGATTCTGGTCGCGGAGTCTCGGGTTGCGAGATCGACATTAAACTACAGGGAAATAATAAAAAAAAGTTAGAATCTTAAGCGCGTGCGCGTGCGTGAAGTGTAAAGCTCAACTCCCCCCCTTTCCCTTCCCCCCCCCCCAAAAAAAAAAAATTGGATGGGTGAGGATGTTGACCCCGTTACTTACCCTTGTTGTAAAGGCGGTGAAGCAGGTTGACTCGTAGTGTCATTCTTTATCACTCCCTCGTTTGCATATTCGCCGTTATAAGAATAAGGCATATAGTTGGTCATTCCGGTGTCGAGATGAAGAAAGTAAGAAAAAAAAAAGAGAGAGAGAGAGAAAAAAAAGGAAAGAAGGGAAAAAAACGAACAATAAAAAAAAGAGAACTAAATATAACCGGGAAAAAGAAAACTAATATACACACACACATTCATTGAGCCCAATATTCAATTTTTACCGTCCTTGAACACATGACAATAAGATTTTTTTTTTTTTTTTTGGTTTGATAAAAATGGAAACAATTACTTGTTTTACAAAACTAGGATACAGTAGGCGCACGGTTGTTTTTTTTTTTGGTTGCTCCCCCTTTTTTTTTTAAAAAAAAACATTGCATGCATTATTTAAAAAAAAAAAGGGAACAATGAAGAGGCTGATGTCGTCATGGTAACCGCCCCCTTTTTTAAGATTATTATGTAAATAAAATCATGACTACGCTGTTTATATACCAGGTCATGATTTTCTTTTTTATAATAGACTAGACTTGATTCAATATTGTATAAATAAAATAGAGAGAGAGAGAGAAAGGGGGGGGGGAGAGAAAGAGCAATAAATACATCCTTTAAAAGGGTTTTAGGCACGTGTGTGGGGGCAGAATCGAACCTCCTCTAATAATTTAACCGTTTATATATAAAAAAAAAAGGTTCTTTGGGAAAATCAAGAGTACAATACTGTATTACCAAATCATGTATAATTTAGGTGGGGGGGGATTAGAGAAATCTCATCAGATGACTTGATGGTTTTAAGGTTCTCATTTAGTTGGCAATAAGTGCCTTTTTAGGTATTTTGACAGAGTGCGTGAAATCCCGTAATCCAAGATGGCGTGTTACCACCACAGCCATTTTTTTTTTTTAAAATTTACCCTTTTTTTTTTACTGCAAAGAGAGAAAAAAAAAAGGCGAGACGGGAGATGAAGGAACCCTTTTTTTTTTTCTTGTTTGCACCAACAAACGTGTGTCATCTCTCAACTATCCCTTTATTTATATATTTTTTTAAAAAAAGTATCCGTTAGAACACCATATTGTATACATGACCACAATAAGTAGATCCTTTGTGATCAGATAGTAGCTATCAAATAACGGGTTTAAATGCAATCATTGCCAAAAGAAGAAGGCTTGGAACCACTTCCCCTCCTTTTTTTTTTTTTTTTTTTTTTTTTTTTTTTGCTGTATAAAGGGTCATCGTCTCTGCTAAGACATATATAAAAAAAGAGACTTAACTGTTTAATGGTTAGTATCACATAACTTTATAGCGTCTTGGTGTTTCTGTAACGCTAGAACAAAAATATACTGTATATCACGTTATTCACACGCAACGAGAATAGAGTATTTTGTTAGGTCTCTTTCCCATTGCATTGAGCTAATGGTTTCGTCATGAAGGTCCGTTTTTTAAACGTATAGCACAAAGCCAAAAAAAAAATAAGCTGTTGAACCCTTGATAAGCGGTTCTTTTTTAAAAAAGAAAAGAAAAAGTTTAAGATGATACTACTGTGTACAAAGAGCACAAATAGTTTTTTTAAAGGATATTTTAGTTTTAATGAAAATTAGGTTTATGCAACAAACTTTTTTTTGATTGGGAGAGCGCTCCCTGAAAGGGTTCATTTTTATCAGGTTTTTGAGAATACTCTACACATGAAAATGTTTACATTTAGAATGTGTTTTTACAGATACATGGTTGGAACCATTTAAATGACTGGGATTTTACGCATTGAGCTCTTTATCCCCCGAGCAATCACGATGCTGTGTTACCAGAAAACAAAAGAAGCGGGGTTTTTTTAGTATGGGGGGGGGAGGGGAAGGGGACGACAGAGGGAGGGAAGGGTGTGATTGAGGAGAGAAGAATGTGATTGAACAGTTTACTTCTGTAAATTGTTTTTTTTTTATTTTCATTTTGGTTTAATGAAGTGTCTAATGTTTATTTAGCAGGCAGTCTGTTTCCAAATACGATTTGGGTTGGTGAGTGAGAGAGAGAGAGAGGGGGGGGGGAAAGAGTTTATTGAAAAGCCGCAATACCTTTTTTTATTTATTTATTTATTTATTTTTTTAATTTATCATGAATTGGTATGCAACATTTTGGTATAAATACAAAAGTCTCTAAAAAAGAAAAGCAGTTCTTGTTTTGTCTTTTTCTCATACATCCCCTGTCACAACTCTAAAATAAAAAAAAATGAATAAGCCATTACCTATCAAGCCACCTCGAAGTATGAAGAAGCAACCGGTACGGAACCCTACTTATTCCTTGTTTGATACCATGACACCTTCTCTTGATTGGTTAAACACAAGCAAAAGGAAGCATTCTTTTTCATCCTCATTTGAAGATGTCACAAGTACTGACCACAAGGATGGAGGAGAAGGAGGAGGAGGAGGAGGATTTTGGCGTCGTGCATCCTTACCCAATTATTTCACGAGTGTCAAACAAGATTGTGACCATTCGATGTTGAATGTTTGTCAAGACTGTATTACAAAGGTATGCTTTTTTCGTGTGTGTGTGTGTGTGTGTATAGGTTTCTTTTTTTAATTTAGAAAAAAAAATAAACTTTTTTTTTTTTTAGGTTTCATCACCTTCCTCCTTTACAACGTTTGACTTGCCAAAAGAGCCTTCGTTTACTATTCCTCCCTTTCTCGACTCCTCCTTTTCTCCTTGCTCTTCCTTCATTTATCCAGATGAGGCCTTTTTTATTGGTGATTTATTGTCGCCTTCTACTTCTTTGGATTCTTTCTCTGACCTGAATACATTTTATTGTATAAAAATCACCAATGTAAAAAAGCTTAAATTATATTAAGTTCCTTTTTATCGTAGTGTATACTAACATCTTACCATTTTTGTCTTTCTTGCGGTTAGATTCCTTGGGATATCTCTCAAAAGGATATTCGATTATTTTTTAAAGATTTTGAATTTCCATCACCATCGTTACATGCTCAATCCATTCATGTAAAAAAAAAAAAAAAAAGATTTGTTTTTTTTTTTTTTTTGGTAATTTTCTCTTGAATCCTAACGCAAATATATAAATATATAGATTATGATGGATCGTATGACGGGTAAAACGTTATCCTGTTGTTATCTCGAATTTATGACTGAAAGGGAAGCACAACGAGCGATGGATTTTGGTAACCAAAGGATGTTAAAAAACCGACCGGTGACGATCCATCGGTGTTCCAGTGCGGAATTTTTGTCGACGACCTTTCCCAAATGGCAAAGTGGGTTTATGGGCCATCGAGCCAACGAGCCAACACAAACCGTATTTCAACCGTTTATCACGTCGGAAGAAATGAATTCCATTCTGGTGATCTGTAAAAATTATAAATTGCATTTTTCAAGAAAGTGTGCCGAAAGACCGTTTGAAAATATTATTTCCATTGTCACCAAATATCCTTGGGAGAATGAATGGGTGACGGTGGTACAGAAGGACGCTATTTTTGACATGCTGAAATCCTCCATGGGTAAATATTTAGCCTTTTTTGTACATACTTTTTGAAGACTTAAAATAACCACTTTTTTTTTTTTGGCGCAGATATTTTGAAATGTCATTTGGCAAAAGAAGTGGTGCATATTGATGATTCTTTATTACACAGAATGGCAAGAGTGGGTATTATGTGTCCTGCTTTTACAGAGCCACAAAAAACGAGTTTACTTCAAACTGCTCATATTAAATGTCCCATGATGGATATCGAATCTTACATGTTAAAATCAAGGCCGCTGCCATTAGATCATTCATATGTCCATGTCACCACTGCCAACACATCCTTACTCGATATCTTGAATGCCTCACCTAGTGCAAGCAGAAATGAAAGCGATGAAGAGAGTTACTTTTTTTGTGAAAAAGAGGACGATGAAGAATCCTTTTGTCAGCTACAGCTTGTTCAGTGAGAGAGAGACAAAAAAAATCCTGCAATTTTTTTTTTTTTTTTTATATATATATATATTTATTTAAGCATTTGTTGATGTATTAGAGGCCCCCCTTTTTTTATTATTATTATTGGTTATTGCGGCGAGGGAAGCTGTATGTTGGGAAACTTTTGTTTACACTTGGTACATGTACACTAAAAAAATAAATTTGATTTTTTTAACACACATTGAACGTCTTTTTTCTAAAAAAAAAAAAAAAAAATATCATTTTAACTTTACCACTCGACTTCCTCGATAACCACAACAGTAAGGAACAATTAAGATTGCAAAAAGTAAAGAAGAAGAGGTTAATAACATGCGTAAATCATGATATCCTCCATCTTTACAGGTTGGACCTAAAGATTGTTCAATCTGATGTCTTTGAGCAATAAATGGAGGATAGATGGGATTTCCTTGTGCATCATAACCTTGTACACCTCGCGCTTCAGCAGGTGTACCACCCACCACACCAGGATATCCTTTACTGATATCCTGATTTTGTTGTTGTTGTTGTCGTTGACGTATCTGTTGTTGCTCCTTTTCTCTCGGTGTGATACCCGTACTACTATTGACATTGTTGTAGTCTGGTAAGACGGTATTTTTATTATCATCATTGATGGATTTGAAATCATTTGTATAAGGTGTCTTGACGTCAGACATGCTAAATCTCGGTTGGTCTTGTGTGTACTGTTGTTGGATCGCATTGTATTGCTGCTGGTGTTGCATGCTCATCGTATTTTGAGAGGGAGGCTGCTGAAAGTTATTATTGTTCATTTAGTGTGTGAAAAAAAAAAGAGAGAGAGAAAAGAAAGAAAAATAGTTAACTATGATGCAATAAAGTGTGTGAGTAGCAATGAATCAAGTCACAAAATACTAAAACCAAACAAAAAAAAAAAAAGCTTGTTTCAACACCCATTATGCTTTTTGTTAAATAAACAGATAAGTGCCCTTTTCTTTTTCTATTATTGTAACAGAATCAGTAGTTTGAAAGACGATAGCAAATTGATTGATTTATGCTGGCTAAAAAAAAAATATTTGAATGATAAAATACCGTACATTGTTGAATGATGAAGGATGCTACGCGTGTCGAGATAGTTTTTTCTTTTTTTTTTTGCATGAAGTGAAATTAGTGTCGGTATTTACATATCATAAACATGATTGGCTTAAAAAGTGATACGCAGCGGTGTCTAAAACATTTACTTTTTTTTTTGTACAGCTTTTGATATTTATGTATTTTCGACACGGGTGGCATAACATTTTGTGATGAAATTTGAGTGAAAAAAAAAGGGGGGGGGCCTTAGCATAATAGCATTGCTTTTTTTTTCTTTTGCCTGTATAATACAAGCCAAAGTGTGTATTGTTGCTGCTGCTATAAATTGAGGGATTTATGAGAAACTCAGGACCACTTTTATCAGTTCGTGTTCTTGGGTTGCACTACTTTAAGCATTTTGAAATGAGAGAGTGCTTTCTACCTTTGTATGATTTGTAATCAAGCTAGTTACAATAGGGTTTCTATCTTTGTACAAAAAATAGCAATGTTACAGCACAAACCGACATGGGGAATGTGATATAATTAAGGAATTAGAAGTGTTGTACACATCTCTCGCGTCTGTGGGTTTATTCCTTGATTACTAATATGAAAGTTGTTTTTAGTGTTTGTTTTTTTATTCTATTTTTTTAATAATAATTACAAACTGCTGACTGTAATGTTTTTTTTTTACTGCATTGCCCATTATGCTTTGTAGGGTGTTTTCTTTCCCGTTTTAACAAAATCACTGGATGTGGGTTTTCCATGCGATAAGGAAGGAGGAAGGAGGAGGAGGATTTGGCACTCCCTCCTTCTTTGATGCTCCGAAATGGAATAAAAAAGAAAATTGATTGGGTTCACGGATAAAGTGAGCCAATGAAGTGAACAAGTGTGTACGTGGCTGCACCACCAAACAGCACTGAGTATTAAAATTCCAATTTAGTGTAATTTATACATATACACATAAATTCTTATTTTTTTTTAACATTTTCTCTTTTCTTTTTTAAACAAATAGAACTAAAATTCAATTTAGATATGGACAACTCGTTTGTCAAATCACCGGAAGAGGTGTGTAAATTCTTTCATGTGGATAGCACGAAAGGTTTAGACGCTACTCAAGTAAAGCAACAACAACAAAAATTTGGAAAGAATGGTAAGTGTTTTATTTACGTCTCTTCTTCTCTCTCTCCCGGATTATTAAATGGAATGGGTTATTAGAACTTCCTGAGGAAGAATCGACTCCTTTATATAAACTTATCTTGGAACAGTTCCAAGATCAACTTGTTCTGATCTTACTCGGTGCTGCTATTGTGTCTTTTGTGCTTGCCATTTTCGAAGATCAAGACACATCCACTGCATTTGTCGAACCCATTGTTATTTTAATCATCTTGATTGCCAACGCCACGGTGGGTGTCCTTCAAGAATCCAGTGCCGAAAAAGCCATTGATGCCTTAAAAGAATATTCTCCTGATGAAGCCAAGGTCATTCGTGATGGCACTTTACGTAAAGTGCGTTCCGAAGAACTTGTGCCCGGTGATATTATCGATTTAGTGGTCGGTGATAAGATTCCTGCTGATGCCCGTGTGCTCTCGATCTCGACCAGTGTATTCCGTGTAGATCAAGCTCTTTTAACCGGTGAATCCGTGAGTGTTGAAAAGCAAGTAGAGCCTATTCATGATGAAGGGGCTGTCAAGCAAGATCAATGCAACATGTTATTTTCTGGTACGACTTGTGTTATTGGTAAGGCAAGAGCGATTGTTGTGAAGACAGGTGTATCCACTGCTATTGGTGATATTCATACCTCCATTTCATCTCAAATTTCGGAAAAGACCCCTCTTAAGCGTAAGTTGGATGATTTTGGAGACTTATTGGCCAAGGTGATTACTGTCATTTGTATTTTGGTTTGGCTCGTGAACATCCGTAACTTTAATCATCCCTCTCACAAGGGTTGGTTAGGTGGTGCTGTTTATTACTTTAAAATCGCAGTGGCTTTAGCTGTCGCTGCTATCCCTGAAGGTTTGGCTGCTGTCATTACTGCCTGTCTTGCTCTTGGTACCAAAAAGATGGCCAAGCGTGGTGCTATTGTGCGTAGTTTACCCAGTGTTGAAACTTTAGGCTGTACTAGTGTCATTTGTTCCGATAAAACAGGTACCCTGACTACCAATCAGATGAGTGTGTCAAGAGTGGCTATGGTTGCAAATGCCTCGGGTGACTTGACTGAATTATTTATTGAGGGTACAAGTTATGAACCCACTGGTGATGTAAAGGCCGGTAATGGCCAGATCGTGACACCCGTATCGGATTCCGCTTTGCATGATATTGCCAAGGTCTGTTCTCTTTGTAACGATGCCCGTATTGTCTATGATGAAACTACCGATAGTTACGCCAGTATTGGTGAGCCTACTGAAGCAGCTCTTCAAGTGCTTGTTGAAAAGTTTGGTACGGTTGATACTGGATTTAATGCCACCTTGAATGCACTTTCCAAGGTAGAACGTTCTACCGCCTGTAATGACTATTATGGTAATCAATGCGAGCGTACTGCTACCCTTGAATTCACTCGTGATCGTAAATCTATGTCTGTTATTATCAACAATAACACCTTGTTGGTGAAGGGTGCCCCTGAATCTATCCTCGAACGTTGTTCTTTTGTTCGTTTATCTGAATCCTCTGCTCCTATTCCTATGACTGCTGAAATCCGTGAAAATTTAAATAACAAGATTCTTGAATATGGACAAGGTATGTCTCTTCGTTGTATTGGTTTAGCCAAGGTAGAACACATTCATGCGGAACAATTTAACCTTCGTGATCAAAGCAAGTTTGCCTTGTATGAACAAAACATGACCTTTGTGGGTGTGGTTGGTATGATGGATCCTCCTCGTCCCGAAGTGGCAGCCTCTATTGTCGAATGTAAAACCGCTGGTATTCGTGTTATTGTGATCACAGGTGATAACAAGAACACGGCCGAATCTATTTGTAGACAAATTGGTGTGTTTGATGTAGATGAAGATTTGACCGGAAAGAGTTATACTGGACGTGAATTTGATGCGCTTACGCCTGCACAAAAGATTGAGGCTGTAAAGCGTGCTAGTTTGTTTACTCGTACTGAACCTGCCCACAAGCAAGAATTGGTTGACCTGTTGAAATCGACGGGTGAGATTGTTGCCATGACAGGTGATGGTGTCAATGATGCTCCTGCCTTGAAGAAGGCAGATATTGGTATTGCCATGGGATCTGGTACCGATGTCGCTAAGCTTGCTGCTGATATGGTTTTGGCGGACGATAACTTTGCTACTATTGAAAAGGCTGTGGAAGAAGGTCGTAGTATTTATAACAATACCAAACAATTTATTCGTTATCTTATTTCGTCCAACATTGGTGAGGTTGTCTCTATTTTCTTGACTGTGCTTCTGGGTTTACCCGAAGCCTTGATTCCTGTTCAATTGCTCTGGGTCAATTTGGTTACAGATGGTCTTCCTGCTACTGCTCTTGGTTTCAATCCTCCTGATCATGATATTATGAGACGTCCCCCTCGTAGCTCCAAGGAGCCTCTTGTGGGTGGCTGGTTGTTCTTCAGATACATGATTGTTGGTATCTATGTTGGTATTGCTACTGTCTTTGGTTATGTTTGGTGGTTTATGTATTACACTGGTGGTCCTCAAATCTCTTACTATCAATTATCTCACTTCCATGATTGCTCCACCTTGTTCCCTGAAATCGGTTGTGAAATGTTTACCAATGCCATGTCCATGAAGGCTACTACCATGAGTTTATCCATTTTAGTAGTGATTGAAATGTTGAACGCTATGAACAGGTACAAAAAAAAAAAAAAAAAAAAAAAAAATTGTAATTGTAATCATTAACCTCCCCTCTCTCTCTCTTTTTTTTTTTTTATGAATAAGTTTGAGTGAAAATGAATCCTTATTGACCTTGCCTTTGTGGGCTAACCCTTATCTTGTTGTATCTATTGTTTTATCTATGGCATTACATTTCATGATTTTGTACGTTCCTTTCTTCACCAAGTTGTTTGTGATTATTCCTCTCAATCAAGAAGAATGGTATGCCGTGTTATGGATTTCTATTCCAGTTATTTTTATAGATGAAGTATTGAAGTTTATTACTCGTACTTGGATTGCACCTCCCACTATTATTACACAAAAGACCAAGCGTCAATAAATTAATCACCCCCTTTCACATTATTTGAAATAATTATCACTAGTTTTTTTTTTCTGGTTTTGTTTTGTTGTTGTTGCTTTCATTGTCTTGTATAATAGTTGTTAAAATATATATATCGGGTTTAATCTTGATTAGAGCCGTAACTTAAAAGTTAGATCAGGGTGCCTGGAAAGGTTACCGACTCATTCTCTCAACTAGATTTTGACACCCTTTTTTTTTTTTAAAAAAAAACAAATAGGCGGTCATTGCTTATTCGACATTATCAAATCTCTTTGTCTTTTCGCTGCCCTTTGTAAAAACTGACACCTTTATCGTCAGTAACAAAAAGCTATATAAAGGAAAGCTTTTTTGCAGAATGATAACATTACAAAACAATAGAACGTATTACAAATAGCAATGAGTTTTGGATATAGAGTATTTCAGGGTAACAAGTATACCGAAGCCAACTTGGACAAGGTCGAGAAATTCAAGCTTTCAAGTGGCCCGAGACCGAAAATTATCTTCAAAGTTTTGGAAACAGCCCACATGTCTGGGTTTCTGGAGAACAACCAACCCGTCTATAATCAAGCCTTGGTTAGGGTTTCTGTCGATAAACTGACTCAACTGTTAGTCAAACAGTACAGTGTTGCTGTCAATCTTGGGAAATTACCGGTGAATACCGTAGAAAAAAACTGGCACGAAGATTTGGTGAAACTTGAAATTCAATGTCTTTTTGAGGTCGTCGAGTTTTATAACAAAATATTGAAAGGCTTATCAAAGGAAGAAATAGTACGCCAGGAAGATGATTTAAACAAGATTCATAAAATGGCTGAATTAGCTCATCACAGAATTATGCGTCTAACTGTGTAGTTTTAAGGCTATATAGCTGTCAGTATCAATATAAAATAAAAATAATTTTTTTTTTTTGCGTTCTCCTGTACTTATAAAATCGACCTTAGGCGCTAACAGCGACCAACGCATTACTATAACGATTAATAATTGTAGCAAATGCCTCTTTTTACTAATAAATGTTGGTAGTTACATGAACGTCTATGTCGTATGAACTGCCTTTAATTTGAACCCATAATTCTGCGTTGGATACGGTGCTACTAGCTTTTCTTTTTTCTTTTTTTTTCTAATTTGATGTCACCAAAAACAAAGTGATAACGGTACTTTTCTGCCATGTGAATCACACTTATTAGTAGCATACTTTTATACACATTATAAGCATGCTAAATGATATTATAGACGGCCACAAAAAATGGGTTGCAATAACTATATTTTATAAACCGCATCCAAGTTTTATCTTGAAAGTCTACTTTCAAAGCTCTCAATGGTGCTATTTCTATGAATGGTAACGATGTCTGTACAAGTTGCTGTTAAGATTGACTATCAGCTATAGAAATTATTCTTGTATAAATTGTATGTGATAGACAAGAGCCGATTTTGTGGAGTAATCTGTGGTTGTCTATTGACGGTGTTCGGATGTGAATACTAAGATCACCACTATGCCCTAGCTGCAATGACTACAAAAATATTAATCAATAAATATAAAAGCAAGAGTACTCTTCTGTGATTTCTGATATCTCTTCTTTGATATCACTCAATCTATTGGATCCATCTACATCAGCAAAAAAAAAAAAAAAGATGGAAGATCTACAACCTCAAACCAATCTATTTAGCAATTTAGGTCTGTTATTAAAACTAAGATTGAGACGGCCAGTTCCCAAGATAGGGTCTGAAGCTTGATTTATAGTTCCCTGCGATCATTTGAAAAACTTGTACAACACTCAATGAATGAGAAGTACTTAAAAGAAGACCTTAGTTTATAGACAATAATACCCAATCTTTTATTTAAAAAACCGTCGCTTTTTTTTTTGCTTGAGATGACACGACTAACCTGATAGGACAAACACATGTATGTCAAAATTCCAACCAATCAGTACGATTGGGGATTACGCAAATTGAATCATAGATAACGTAATTTAGCCGAAAACAAAACATTGAAGAGAAACAAAGAGTACAGTGCAAATATGGAGTGGGAAAAAAAGGTTGGTATATCGATTCATTTGTTTTATTCCGAATTTTTGTTTATTTATAACAAATCATGCAGAAGAGACTGGGGATGGGCTCTCTGCAATAACTTTTTTTTTTTTTAGGAGTTCTCAGTAGCAGCAGTTTCTTTGTCCAAAAGTTTAGGATCCTTTTCAACTACAAGGGCACGAAGCCATTTAGCTTCCATTTCAAGCTCCTTCACTTTGGATTCCAGTTTCTCCACATTGTCGGCCATTTCTTTGGTTGTCTTTTCAAGAGCTTGTTCACGAAGTTTCTTCTTCATACGGAATCGAGCTGAAGCAGCAGTGTTTCTACGTCTTTTGTCATCGTCGATGCTAAGGTCTCCATCATCAATGACGTCAGATACGTTACGCTTCTTGTTATTGCTCAACATCATGTTATTGTTCTCCAAAAGTTGTAAAGCACTGGTGGGTCCAGGTGCTGGCGCAATTCTAGGCAAAATAGCAGATTGAGGGTAAAATTCATTATTGTTTTGATGAATCGTATTGGGTTGAACTATTTAAAAATAAAATGGAATGAGTGAATCATTGATATAAGAAAGTTTTTCGTATGGGGGAGAAAGAAAGAAAGAAAAAAAAAATGCTTACCAAGTTGTGCGAGTTTTGATAGAGTTTCAAAAAGATCTTCATCTTTTTTATCCTCGTCTCCAAGAGCAGAACCAGGCGTGGTGTCGAAACTAAACTGTGCATTAGCCCAAAGAGCTAAGTCGTCCTGAAATACTTCTTCATTAATGGGAGCAGGTGAATCTGCGTTGAGCAGATTAAGTGACGAAATGTATGACATCGGTTGAAGAATGGTCAGGGCAGTTCCATAATTTTTTTTTCAAAATTCGCTTTTTAAATGACTCGATAAGCCATGATCCTATTCAACCAATCCTAGTCGTTCAATTGATTTCAACCAATGAGCAAGTTCGCCTGTCTCATTTTCTGCTAAAAAAAAAGATCCTCCACTTCTGATGAGAGTACAAGATCTGATGCTTAGGTAAAAGAACTGATTTTCAAGTTGCACAAATCTCAGCAGGTTGCGGTACCGCTTTCTCGGTAAAAAAACTAGAGCTTGACGCTTTTTTTTTTCATGCAGTCTGACATTTGTCACTTGATGAATTAAGCGAGTTTAAATACAAAATTATTGAGGCCGTGTTCACACAATTGGAATTAACACAAAAAAATACAATACTTACAACACATACAAAACCCTTACACAGTAATAATTATAAAGAAAAAAAAGACGAAATAAATGTGGGGGATTACTGACAAAAAGTGAGCCAGGAAGGTTGATTTTATGTAAAAATGAAGAAACACAAGAAATGAACGACGCGATGCGCTTAAAGACGACGACCACGACGACCACCCTTTCTACGGGTAGAATCAGTAGGAATGGGAGTAACATCTTCGATACGACCAATTCTCATACCAGCACGGGCAAGAGCACGGAGAGCAGCTTGTCCACCGGGACCAGGGGTCTTGGTACCAGTACCACCGGTAGCTCTGAGCTTGATGTGGAGGGCGTTGATACCGAGATCCTTACACTTTTGGGAAACTTGTTGGGCGGCCAACATAGCAGCATAAGGAGAAGATTCATCACGATCAGCCTTAACTTGCATACCACCAGTAACACGAGAGATGGTTTCACGACCGGAAAGATCGGTAATGTGAACAAAAGTATCGTTGAAAGAGGCAAAGATGTGGGCAACACCGAAAACGAGTTCACCTTCACGAACTTGGGGGCCGAGAGTGACCTTTTCAACAACCTTAGGGGCAACCTTCTTGTTAGACTAGAAAGTTGTGACATGTTAGTTTTTTTTTTTTTTTTCTGGTAAATCTCTCGATTGTCAATGAAGAACATTCTGATCATATTGAAAGCATCGCATCCATCCGATTGTATAAATGATTCCATCCATCCGGTTGTAATCCATCTAAACATCGTATGCTATCTTTATGGTCGTCATGTCTCATTGTTGTGTGTCCACTCACCATGATTGATCGAAATGAAAGAGAGGGAACTTTGTATTTCGCTTGTTGGAACTTGATTCATATTCACATTTACAAAATTCAACGTCAAAATTACTCCGCCCAATTGACGGTGACTGAGTATATACACCCGGAATCTTCGGCTCAGATATCAACGCATTTTGAGAAACTGGAAAAACATTCTTTTAAACACTCTTGAATAAAAACTTCCCGAATGTATATTAAAAAAGAAACATGAAAGAAAAAAGAGGGATCTAGCTATTAAATTAGTTATCGAATACAACAAGATTAAACAAGAATATATATATAAAAAAAAAGAATTCATAATTCAAAGAATCTGTTCACTAAATACATTAGGTGTATTTCAAAAATTAGAAAATATTATACATTATGGCTTCCGTTACTTTTTAATATAAAAGTTGGAACCCGTAATTATAGCAAAAACAGCACTGGACATTTTAAAATTGACTTTCGAGTCCCATTTAATGGTTTATTTGCAGGAAGTGCACATCCAAACCAGCCGTTTTATTCTTTTGATTATGTGTAATTCTTCTTTACACTATTGTCTAGAAATAGAGTTTATTTATATATAAACCAGGGATAGCTTGTTTTATAAGCAGAGCGTACCTTCATTTGTACTCGTCGCCTTCCGTACAAAAATGCAATAAAAAAATAACGTCACCCAAATTCAGCTTGGTACCATTTAGGTCATCGCACTCATCATCACCACTATCATGTTCAGGATGGGTGTGTTGAACATAGCATGAGAAAGTAAAAAGTTCATTAATTCATGTGTCCGATAACATCCAATTACATTATTATCAATGTCTAAGCTTGCCATACCTGCCAAATATACTAGTGCTGGAATATCCTCTTGTCGTTCACCAACTATCGTGATCAACATTCTTAAGTAATCTGCTGGATAAATTGTAGCTAGCAAATCTATAGCCAGGTTTTTCCATTAATAAGGGATCAAAAAAGCACATGTATTTTTATTACCATATGTTGAGATAGCTGTTAAAACTGTCCATGTAGCCCATGGTGGCATTCTCAGCATGCTGATTCTTTTGTAAAATTAAGATGTAGGTTCATTTATTGAAAATCAATGAATTGTCTACATTAGCTGTATGAACATCAATCATATAGGTCTGTTGTAACCAAATTGGGCTGTGCCAAAAAAAAAAAAAAAAAAAAAAAAAAAGGCAATTACCCCAATGATAGAAAATGTCCAGTGGAACATGAGCAAAGTAATGTACTTCAGCGATATTCTATATGAATCCATCATTTCACTAAACAAAAGACCATGTCAGTAGAATTTAGATTCTTACATCCATATTTCAAAGGTTGTTCTACCAAGAACTGACAGGACATATAAACCTAATATAAAACCCAACCTGATATATGTTAAGTATCAATTGTAAAGAATATTAAATAGTCAATTACCTTGTAGAAATTATACTTGAAGCAAAGGACGAAAAAAAAAAGGCCACGATTGAGAACGCACAAACGGCCATAATCGCATTAATTACACTCCCACCGAAACGTACACTTATGCTATCGACCAGTAAAGTATGCACGAAGAGCAACAAGTGATGATAAAGGTCCCTGGATCAAGTGATCATGAAAAGGTTGCGATCTGACAAAGCAGCACTTCTTTGCTCAGGAAAAGTAAGGAAAAGGATGGGTAGCAATGTACCACCTGACCATCCCAACACATTAACAACTACCTTACTGTGAATAAGGAACACATAGTAGAGTAAATTAAGCAATTAATAAAGGACTATCTTATATTTGATTGAAAATATTGTCTTACAAATTTCGGATATAATAGATAATATCCTTTGTTGTCTTGCGCATAAGAGTGTAGCAAATTCTTTTAGCAACCACAGCGAGGAAGACAGGAGCGACCCTATATTCTTCATAAACGTTCCCACTAAAACCTGGCACACGGTAAAGAATGCGTTGTCACCAATATTTTGTACTTTTATCAGTTCTGGGTAGGAGAGATGTTGCTATCATCAGTGGAAATGTCCAGGTTTTCGTATTATCTTTAAATGTATTTTTTTAAATAAGGACCAGCCAATCAATCTGATCACACCCATTTACAGTGTAATCCTTGTTATTTACAGTCTGCATATTCCGTGAGTGCTCAATACCCAACAATTTTACCTGGGAGGTTTTTACCTTATAGCAAGACCAGCCGTAGCAAAAATTGCATTGTATTTTTTTCATTTTTTTAAAAAAAAAGTAATAATTTATGTTTCTTGAAAAACATAAATCACTATAAACTAACCTTTTTACAATATTGGTTGGTTACTTTCATTAAAAAAAAAAAAAAAGAGAGGTTAAGGCAAAAGAAAAAGGAGAAGAAAAAATGTGTGAACGAGATCCATTTGTAAGCTGCTAAACAACGGCTTAACTATGATAGATGAGGCTTTTCACTGACAGTTTAAATAACCTATGTGAGTTTAGGTGGTTCAAATTTTTATATTCTGATTGTGTATGGACAGCATATGAACTTTTTAGGCCCATCTTTTTTTTTTTTTAAAAAAAAAACCCCATTTTATCACCAAACATACAAAACCTATGGGCCGAAATATGCCTCTCTCAAGGTAATAACACATTCTGAATGTAAGCAGAAAAAAAAAAGAGAACACTTTTCTTATTTTTTTTTTTTTTGATTGGCGCAAAAGAAACTCGACTTTCTTATTTTAAACAAAGCAAAATCACCATACCAAATATTTTTGCCTTTTTTAATAAAAAAAAAATGAAGAAATTTCATGTTAGACAAGGTCCTTTTAATTTTGCAGGTCTCTTCTTTTCACTCGTTGGATTCATACTTGTGATATTATGTTTGCTTGGATGTCAAAGTCCAAATAGTCGGGCACTTTACTTTGCCAAAGTTACCAATGCTGGACCACCTGTGGATGGCAAACCCGTGGCAGTGTATTATGGTTGGCAAGGATATTGTATAGAAGAAGCCGAACTAACATGTTTCAGCGATCGAAGTGTCATGGTGGTTCCATTTGGTAAAAGGAATAAAAACCTTTACAACAAATATCGCCATTGCTTACTTTTTTTTTTTCGGTCGTAGATGTTTCAATTTCAACACAATTAAATGAAAGTTACCCTTATTTATTCACAGATCCCGTCACTCAAGATGAATCGTTAAATCCCGAATCGACACCTACACCGGCGCATGATCCCAAGATTTACCCAGCAGCCGTACTGTGTTTACTGACGTCGGCAACGTTACTTGTATTCTGTTTCATGCGAGTGTGTACGCCACAGCGGTATCAGGACGAATATTATACACGAGGATTTTTAGCTGCAGGGTCTGCGGTATTGGCCCTACTGCTACTGGTGTTATCGTCCATCATGTATCAGAATGCGATTGAGGAGTTGAACTTGGAATACCCACATTTAGTTGCTACACAGGGTCCTGCCATGACCATGGTGGGTGTATCTTTTGCGGCTTATTCGTTAGCGAGCTATGTCTTGTTACGAGGTTGTATGAGCATGGAATCTGGTGGTTCAGGCACCGAAGGTTACAGTCCGATTTAAATGCGTTTGTAAACAATAAAATGTGTGTGATATAGAAAAACATGAAAAGCACACTGCATCGCAATGTATAAACATCCCAATTTTTCAGCTTTTTTTTATTATTATTATTTTCATGTGTGTGTTTATTGCTGTTTATGAATCAATGATTTTAATAGTTCGTTCTATACAAATTGGGTTTAGTGTTAAAAAAAAAAAAACCTGATTCTCAAGTGTATTAAAAAAGTTTACCTCAATTTCCAGGTCCTGTACACGTGCACTATCTATTGACATTTGTTTTATTTCTTGTTTTAAAGAGCTGTTCTCTTGTGATAGTGATCTCACCTGTTGTTGTAAAGGTAATAATAAATGGTCGGGCGAAGGAAGTGTGATCCTGTTTAAAAGTGGGGAAGGAGGGGAAGATAAGCTGTGAGGGTAAGGCCAGGATCGATAGGAGGTGGGAGAAAAATTGGGTGATGGGACGGGTGACCTTTCATAATTCGTGTTATTGGGTGAGCGTAGTGGGGGTAAAGACACGCTTATGTCTTCATTTGTTGTAGGTGAGCTGATGTAAGGTTTAGAGGCAGGATTAGGGATATTTAGTTGGGGGATCATTGGACGTGGCGTATTGTCTACGCCAGTGACAGTGGTGGCAGTGGTGGCAACGGGAACGGCCGTAGCGACTGGTTTTTTTTTGCCGGTTGGGGCGTGACCCACTTCAGCTCGCTGGTGACGACTAAGAGCATCTAATCTGGCAAATGAACGACCACAGTTCTTACAGATATGCGGTCTTTCTCCTGTATGCAATTTCTGATGGCGTTTAAGATCATGCTGGCGTCTAAAGTAGTGGTTACATGTATCACACTATTAATGCAATAACTTTTTTAGTGAAGAAAACATGGGAAAAAGAAAGAGAGAGTCTGTGAGAGACTGATAGATATCTTACTTTGAATGGTCTTTCAGCTGAATGTGTTGCTAAATGAGATTTTAAATTATGTGCTCGGCAAAACGATTGATCACATTGCTTACAAATATACGGGCGAGGTGCTGTTGTTGTTGTGAGTGATGAAATATCATGGTTGGGTGTGGCGGGACTCACTGGACTTGGAAGATGTTGTTTATCGTTTAATAATGAGGATATAGATGATGTATGTCTGATTTTTGAATCCCATTCTTGTTGGGTCATAATAACGTTTAGAGGAATATAAAAAAAAAGGGAAAAAAGGAAAAAAAGGGGGAGGGATGAGAGAAGAAAGGTATTTTTATTTTTTATTTTTAGTCGCGCCTAACTTTTTTTTTCTGTACTCCCATTGCCCCGTTTATTCCTTACTCTTTTAAAGCCCCAAAAAAGTATTTTGTGTGGCGCAATTTAAAAGCCACATTTGAAAGGAGAAACGCCAAAGTCAAAAAGAGATAATGAGTGACAAATGTTACTATTTACTTTGACTGTTCTCTGTATTGTTTTCATGGCAACGACAAGCCATATAAACGACGTTAATTTTTTTTTAAAAAAAAATATATAAAAAAAAAGCTGATATGACGATTTGAAAAAAGGAAAATGACGCTCTATTTATCATCATCTCCTCCGAGAGATAATTACAATAGTAGAGGCGTATGATACAACCTCTTAGTTGTATGCAAAACGCATGTGATGGCCAGGTCCGAATAACGAATGTACGAAATGAACGCATAATGTACAAGAGCTGTCAGACAGACTGTTTGTGAAAAAAAAAGTTTTATATCATGCACAATCTGAGCAAAATGTTTGACTGGTAGATTGTCAATATCAGGGTTCCATTTAATTATTGAAAACACTTGTTTTCTCTTCAGCTCCTAATAAGTGTTTAAAAATAGAAGCGTCTATTAAATTCTGTAATACACGAAATGTATTTTATGAATTGGATTCGCTATGATGGGCACAACAGAAATCCCCGCCCAAAGAAAAGAAAAAGGGGGAGGGGAGGGGAGGGGCGTATCTATGTACACTCGTAAACGCAAAAAGAGGGTAAAAGGGGCGCCTTTCAAGCCAATGACGTGGCGTTAATTAAAAGCCACAAAGAGAGGAGGTCTAAAGTAAAATGAAAGCGGTTGTTTTTATTATGAATGCAAAAAAAGCAAGAAAAAAAGGAATGATTTATATAGAAAGAGATAGAGTAATAGATGTCAATTTTTTTTATGGGGGGTGTGAGGTAGTGAATTAAGGGGAATCTTTCTCACTATGATTCTTCATACGCTTGCGTTGAATAGTAGGAATAGTTGATTTTTCTTGCTGTCTTTTGCGTCCTTTTGAAAGAGATTTTTCTTCGATTTCGCTTGATAAGGGATGACGTCCTGATACCATCACAAGACCAGCTGTACGAAGTGAGGATGAAGACCCTGCAAAAGTAAGTACTTTAGTCAAGATGTCATGTATATATAGTTATTAAATTTTACCTAATGGAGACTTTCGGTTGGAGGAAGCATCGTTGGATTCAGACCAAGCGGGAGGAGATGAGTTCAATGGATAGGGTGAGCCAGCATACTTTAAAGTGGCGGAGGATTCGGGTGGGGGACTACTTGGGAAATCAATACTGCGCTTTTCTTCTTCCTTGTCACCCGCTGCTGCATTAGAAGCGGTATTTGATGCAGATGCAGAAGAGGCAGTAGGCTTGGCAGATGCACGATTGGGAGGAGCAGCAGCACTCGAATGTAAATATGGGCTCGTATGGCTTTCATATGGAGAAGAGAAATGATGATCGGAGCTATGAGTTTCCGAAGGGTAGATATTGTATGATTGCTGTTGATGATGATGTTGATTTGATGAAGTAGGAGTAGAATTGGTATTGCCATATCGACTGTTATTATTATGATGATGCTGATTACGGTATTCGTAAGGGTTATTTAATAAATACATGTCACTTTCTTCATTGGAAAGAATAGGTGCAATGCTACCAGGAACAGGACTGCAACTTCCACTGTTTTGCAAGTTATTTTGTTGAGATCTTATAATCACTATTTAAAACAAGATGTATAAGTTTCTTATGACTTGTAAACAAACAAACAAAAAAAAAAAAAAAAAAAAAAGACTTACTTTGATCCTGCTGTTGTTGGTTTGTAATACTAGGAAGTGATTGATATGGTTGCTTTTCCCATGATTGCATATTAAACGAACCAAAGTTATCATTTTTGTTATAATAAGCACCTCTGGTTGCATTATTATTAGCGGTAGATGATGGCAACATTATAGGTAAACCATTACTAGATGCAGGAGGAGGAGGCACAGATAAGAAAACCGATGGATCTTCAACAAATAAAGGATATAATATATCCTCAATTTTAAATTTGGAGGCTAAATCTTTGGCTCGGGAAAACGTAATCCTATATTTATAAATTAATAAAAATTTACACACACAGACACATTTAGTATACTTTACCAAACACCTTTAAGATGCATAGCACCGACTTTGACAACAACGCGGCCTTTTTCATTCTTGAGAATACCATCACGTTTACCTCGAGACATGCCAACGACGTTAAGCAATTTTGTGCCGTTAATCATATCATTGTCTATAAAATAAGAAGGATTTTTTAGGGGTGGGCTCACTATTTGTGTATTTATTTGTGTAAATAGAGGTCAACACATACCTTGTCGACGAGCAACACAAACACTCTTTGCATCGACTTGATAACAAAGCGTTCCCTCGTCTTCCCAGACGGTAGTGGTTAATTTAGGTCTAGGTATAGGAGTAGACATATGAGGCAATGTGTTATTGTTATTATTAGAACCGTAGCTATAGCTATTGTTACGAGATGGTGGAGGGAGTGGTGGAGGACTGGAGTTCCAAGAAAGATTGGGAGAGGAAGAAGCCCAATTTGTACTTGTGCTGTTGTTGTTATTAGAATTATTATTATGGTAAGTATCATTTGTATGGTTATTATTAGAAGTCGTGTCATGGTGATGGTGGTGGTGATGATGATGACTATTATTATTCATCTCACCATGTGATGCGTAGTTGTTGTTGGAGGAGGACGTCGTATTATTCAGACCAGCCGAATGGTGATAGGGTGTGGAATTGGAAGTTGGAGATGATCTAGCGTCAGAAAATGCACTTGATCGATATTGTTGTTGCGGGTTTCCGTAATTAGAATATGAATTTTGTTCAGGATGACTGGGTGGCAAAACGTAAGGTAATTGTTGCGGGGTGTATAAATTGCTTTGGTAGATGCCTTCCATTGTGTAAGTGCTATGCTTGTGTGAGTATATGTATGTGTGTGAAAGAAAGTGTGTAGAACTATAAAATAGTTAGTATGGATTTCGGTAGAAGAGTCAGGAAACTTACGCTTTCTCTTTTATTGAACAAAAAGAAGTAAAGAGGAAAAAAAAGAGAAAGCAAAAGAAAATAAAAGCTTTTTAATACCAGGGACACGATGAGAGGAGTTTTAGATCTGTGTTGTGGGTGGGTGGTGGGTGAATTGGGGGGAGGGGGGCTACCCCATCGTGAGTTGCGTATGTTTTATTAATGGGTGGCGGAATGTGTGCTTCAATGATTGATTGTCTGTCTATTTACTGTTTATGCTGCAAAGCAGTTGACTTTTACCTGCATATTATTTGTGTATATATTGAACCAACCAAACACTTTATCGGAGGGCGAACTCAAACGGGTTTTTTTTTCTTTCTTTCGTTCCTTAAAGTGAAAATTCAATAAGCCTACACCTAATTTGTCTTTATACAGATAAACTGAAATCCCCTCGTTTTACGCCCCTCCCCCTCCGAATGGTATATCCCCTTTTTCCACACGCTCCGTTCAACCCCTTATTGTTTCCTTGTATAGAAAAAAACTTCTTTATACATTTCCATACGAGATGCCGTGATGATTAAAATACAACCAACACCCTCACATGCAAATTCAATATTATTTTGGTTTCTTGCTTACTTTTTTGACATGTTTATGAAATAATGATACATCTAAACTTTTTTTGCATGAGTGCGTCTTGAGTCTTGATCTTGTGAACAAAATATAAAACAATTGAGTTTAAATCATTTGGACACTTTATTTTTCCATCAAGCCCTACAAAGAATTTTCAAGATTGCAAGTGTGTGTATATATAAAAATATATATATATATAAACATAAAAAAGAGAATGCAATGCGAGGTCATGCACTACAAACATACATCTTTCTTTTTTTGTAGTCTTTACTTTTTACTTTTTGGTATACTTCTTAGACATTTACCTTTTTTTATTAATTAGAGAAATATGAGGTTATTTTAGAAACGCTAAATGAAATAATGAATCCGGATAAATATGTATTTAGTGATACGAATATAAACAATCGACGATAGGATCATCACGTAAAAAAAGAAAACATGGAACTGCATAATGATGCATACAAAAAAAAAAAAAAAAAAAAAAAAAAAAAACTAGCCTATATAATACATAATGATACTCTTTGTCTTATTTGGATCATTTGTTCCCGAAGCAACCCCGCATCACCTCTCAAAATAATAAAAGAACGACAACAGCCTTTTCATGAGCACATGACCCATGATGGGCTTGATTTTTTTGGGGGAGGAAAAAGTGGGTTATTCTTCTTATACAGAGGGACTCAGAAAAAAATAATAATAATAAACATGATGATTTGGAATAGATAGAATGCTTCCAATTTCAACTCTATAAATAATGAATTTCAGAAACATGTATAAGAGAGTAAATTAAGTATACAAAAAGGATTTAGTTTAGATCATCCTATTCCGAACAAAAAGACCCTTCTCTAATACGCTTTTTGCCAAGCCCAACAATTATAGAAAATCTCCTCTTCTTATTTGTTTTGATAAACAGTAGCATGCGTACATATCATATTGACACATCATTTCACATCTGAAAAAGGTGATATTTTTTATTTTATTATTCAACACTCAGCATATCAATATCATCAAGTTCTGCCAACTCCTCCTTTGTCAATTCTCTGTTCTCATCGTCTTCTTCATCGCTCTCTTCAACAACGGGTTCAATGTCACCCATTTTAATATAAATGAATTTCATGATATCATCCAGCATGGTATTCAAGGTGAAATCAGCAATTTCAAGCTCTACCAATGGCAACTAGACTTAGTTTTCTATTTGGGGACTTTCTGCTTCTATTTTTTTTTATATGTATACCTGATGAGATGCTGGTACAACCAAAGCGAAGATCTTGAACAGTTTCTCCTTTTTTAGCATTTGATACAACCCAATTTACACAATTCTATTCACAGAGAGAGAAAGAGGGGGGGGAAAAGCTTCCCCTTCCCCTCCATTCAGTCAAACCAAAATGCAAGTACGTAAAATTAAAATGTCTACTTACATCAAACATAAATGCGCGTCTGCCATCACCTTCGATTAAATCGCGTGCATGTACACTGTTCGTCATGGCAACGGCCTTTACGCGATCCTTGATAAAATCAACTGCCAGATTGAAAAGAATTAAAATTAGTCTAGTAAGGTTACACACGCATCATTCTGAAATCTTACATTCGTTGTTTAATGCAAGCGTGAAACTATGACCACCCCATCCCATGGCCAAAACAGCCACCTTTTCAGCCTTTACATTTCTAAAAAGCCATGGGGGTGGTTTATATGTAAGTTAAAAAATCGAATGGCATTTTTTTTTTTTTTTTTTTTTTTTTTTTTTAGGGAGTACCTTATGAAATTGTGAAAGACGTATTGACAATGATTTTCCGGGTTATCATTTTCTGTAGTTATCATAATAGAAACGCATTGCATTAGAAAAAAATATGGATTATATGCAAGTAAAATACTAATCATTTACCAGGAACAACTGTCATCTCGCTACAATGCACTTTAGGGGAGTCCTTTTTTATATAGAAAAAATAGCGTTAATGATGTGATTCTATATTATTCTTTATATGGTTTATTACCCATGCTCTGTTATCATACCAGTAATTGCCGTTTGAATTAAGGATGATGACTTCATATCCCTTTTCACGAACTAAGTCCGTAATATGCATCATGGAACCAGTCTAAGGTAATGTTAGCAAGAAAATTTAAAGTTATGGGAATATGCCAATTTACCACAATGCTTTCGTCACACATGACTCTTCTACTCCATTGACCGATTCTAATAATAAAAAAAAAGCATGAATTTTTTTGGGGGGAGAGGAGAATGAGATCGGAACACGCGCGCGCACGTACGCACGCCTTTCACACACATCATCTTACTACCTTGTATGGTTACCAGGAATAAAAACAATCACTTTACCCGTTGTCGTCATTGCATTAGGGCTAGATATATTACCGGTTATTATTCTTTCTCCTTTTAATAGATCATATGAACTTACGTCATGTAGATATAAGAGTGGACGTCTTTGGTGGGGTCAGCGCCAATAGGCACGATAACCTTTTGAAAGTTATAGGGAGCTGCTTGTAATTTCTCTTCGACAACATCACCAACCAGATCTACACATAGTTAGTTACTCGTGTTCTTTTTGTTTTTGTTTTTTCTCGCTAGTCTATACCAATGAACTTTTTGTAACGCTCTTCGTTATAAGGTCTGTCTTTAGGTAAGTAATCAAATTCATAGGGCTCATCTAAGATGATGGTCAATGATCAATTGATTTGACATTTCAACAGTTTTTTTTTTTACCCCTGTGTATGCTTCTAATTTCACCATTGTCCTTGACAACATAACCAAAGTCTCTAATGTTATCGGGAATAACAGGTTTCTCCTCTTTAACGATCTTTCTTCTACGATACATTTTATAAAAACTATAAAGAATACATTTTCCACGTCAAAAAAAAAAAAGTAGATAGGGTACACAAAAAGGTGTACGTAGACACATGCAGAAATAAACATGTCTTTTTTATTTTTATTTTTTATATCCCTTTCTTCTTTTTTCTCACTCTAATAAACAAAAACCAAGAGTTTATCTGTATATACCCTTTCTCTTTTGTTTACCCCTACTTCTTCAAATAAAATCCTGAAAAAAAATAAGAGAGATACGGCTAAAAGAAATGAATGGCTTATTATCTTCAGTAACACCTTCCGCAAGTGTTTCAACCAATTCCATCTTGACAACCGGTGGTCAAGCGCAACCATCACAAAATTTTTACATGCCCGAGAAAGATGAGATTTGGTCTGGTATATTGAAGGGTGTAGCTTCTTCAAAAATGGTACCCACCAAGAATGTTTTAATATTAGGTAGGTAAATAGCCATAAGAGAGAGCGAGAGCGAGAGAGGGGTGCCAAAAAAAAAACAGCGTTTTAAATTGCTTTAAAAGGTGAGCCTGGTGTAGGTAAATCAACTTTGGTCCATTATTTAAAAAACGATCCTGGACCACAACAAACACCTAAGTTTGACGCTGAAGATGCCACACCGTTCAATGTCAGTGCCAGTAACAATTATACCCATTCCACACAACAATTCAATGAAGAAAAAAATGACTTGGCTTTAGGTTACACCTTTGTCGACGTCAAAGATGAAGAGAATGAAGGTAAGTGTGCGACCATGGGAAAAGTTGCACACACACACACTGACGCCTATTTTTTTTTCCTTTTGCAGCTATTGCTAGACTGGGATTATACAAACTTGGTTTGTCTTCACCCGAGTTTTTACCTTTATTAAAGTTTGCCATCCGATCCGAATCCATATCCAACTCTTGTGTTTTAATTTTGATTGATTGGACGCGTCCCTGGAAATTTCTGGAAACGTTAGAACGTTGGATTCATGTGTTGCACCATTTAATCAACGAGATTTGTAAAGAAGGAATGGCAGCAGAAACCACCTGGACAAAAGGAAAAGCTGTGGTGGATGAACTCAGAGAAAAGTGTAAGTCTATCTTCATTTATACATATATGATGATGATTTTAACCAATTTTTTCATTTTATTTTTTATAGTGGAGCTTTATTTACAAACTTATACTGAACCAGCCAACAACAAAGGTTTACCGCTAACCGCTTCCACTTCTTCCAGCTCTATACCACCCAACACTACCCCCGCAGCAAGCACCACTACCACAAATTCTTTTGTTTCAACTCCTACTACTGTAAATACCTCTTCCTCTTTGGCTGCCGACCAAGTCGTCTTACCTCTCTCTCGAGGCTGCTTGACCAACAATCTTGGAATACCTATTACTATAGTCTGTTGCAAGGTAAAAATATGCAAAACATCCAAGCATGACATGTAACCCTTTATTTTTTCTAACGCTCATTTTTTTTTTATATATGATTATGCAGAGTGATGCATTAAATACCCTAGAACAAACGCATGACTTCAAAGATGATCAATTTGATTTTATTCAACAAACGCTTCGATGCATTTGTATGAAGTGTAACGTATTCCAAAAAAAAAAAAAAAAAAAAAAAAAAAGGCCGGCTAACATTTTTTGTAATAGATGGCGCAGCATTATTTTATACCTCAACTCTTCACCCCCATACATACCATCATCTTCGTGAATATATCTTACATCGTGTGTTAACCACACCTACCAAATCATACCCGTTTCATATCAAAGCTCAGGTCATTGAACGTGATACTGTCTTTGTCCCCTCTGGCTGGGATTCATGGGGAAAAATTAAGGTTCTGCGAGAAGGATTTGACTGTGAAAGTGTCAGCGATGGTTGGGATGCCGATATGGATGCCTTAGGGGATAGACAGTCCCCAGGTACTTCAGGCGCAAGAGGAGCCTATGAAGAGTCTATACCCAATGGCGACTCTGAAGTTCAGGTAAATAATAATAAATTGTGTGTGTGTGTATATAGGGTGACTTACCAATATATATATACATACATATAGCCTCAGCATATTCCTGTCACCACCATTTGTGAAGACGAGCAATCATTCTTTGAACGCCATTTTGAAACACTTCAAAAGGCGCATGAAACCTCAGGACGTCCAAGCACGGGAACTGAGCAACCTGCCAAACCGGGTACGACAGATCCTAGTCGACTGTCTTCCAATGCTCTTGATATGATGCGTATCAGCATAGCCAAAAATAACGAACGACAAGTTGGACGCAGTAAAAGAGTAAGTTGTGTGTGTGTGTGTGTGTGTGCGAGTGAGGGTGTTTATTGATGCTAATGTATAAAAAATAGGTCCCTTCACCTGATAAAAATCGTAGTGTGAATTCGACATCCAGTAATGTTCCTACAAATGCAGGCTCTACGACGCCATCGTTTCCCCCAGGATTTATCAACAATATGCCTCCTGGACAAACAGGGCCCTCCAATGAGATCATCGCTGATTTCTTTAATAAACTTTTGTACAAGAATTCTTCAGGCAATGCTTCTCCTACAGGTAGTGCTTCCCCTGGGGCGTCATTTATGAATGGTCTTGGTCGTCAACCCAATGGACGTAGTGAGGATCCTACCCCTTCTTATCGAAGACCGGCTGTTCCTAGGAAAGAGGTAGCTAGAGAGACAGATCGGATAAAATAAATATATATCCTAAAAAAAAGAAAAAAAAAATTAAATTATATCAAAATAAAAAGTGTGACAATGCAATGAGGATATATATAAAGACTGCCAAGTGCAATGCATGATGACAGCTGGGGAAATCGGGAATAAATCCAAAAAAAGAGTGTGCAAGGATAATATACATGCAAGCTATTATGTAAATAAATAGATAAATAGTGACTCTTCTGAATTACATCAAGTTTGTTTATGTGTGCGTGCGTAAAAATTCTTGGTTACCTAATTTGTGAGGCGAATTTTGAAACCCCGCGCATAACATGTAGTTGTAGCAACGGGCACTTCATAGTTTTTCAGCTTCTTGCTGCAACGAATTGTTATGGCGGACAGCGTCAAATCGTTTGATCTCTGTTTAATGCAATAACAAAGCCTCTTTGCTTTTCACTTTTTCTTTACACAATTTATACGCTCAATTATCAAGCGATCCTTTGTTGATTCTTAAAAAACATTTTTTTTCTCAATTTTTTGTTTTTATCAACTACAAGAAAGGGGATAAATATATAACCACTATCAAAGATTTAACTGAAGATAACGAGGATTGACCCCGTTGTTGTTCAGTCTGCTCTTGAATTTTCATCGCACTTTTGTTCGAGTTATATTACTCAAAGCGGCCCAGTGATTGCCACTGTCGAGCTTTTCATGGTATGTACGTTTTTGTCAACTTGTTGCTGGGCAAATTCGAAATCGGATAAAAGATTCCACAAATATCGGTTTTGTGTAAGTTCGTCGACATATGTTATGAGATCACCCAAAATATTTCTAACTGTTTCGATACGCCCGCCAATAGGGTGGTCTTGCTGTGAAGGGCTGCTTTGACTTTTAACATTCTGATTTTGATTGGGCACATTCATTTCTTAGTACCGTGATTACTGCCTTCGGTGTCATGAATATGGTCCCCAAGTATTTTATTTTCATTTTTTACGCAAATAAATTATGCTCTTCCAAGGAGGGATTTGCCTGGAACTGACTTGATGAGAAAACTGTTGTTATCTCATCAAAATGTTACTAACACCGCTGTTTCAACAGTTATTGATCTGCTCATAAATATACGTATTTTCATGTCGTTAATTATATTCATTTATGTAGAAGAGCGGTAAAAATATCAATACGTTGTCGCTCCAGATGAATAGGTGGACTCCACTCGTTCAGATGTCGTATACCGGTCTGTCAACTGTTCAAATGACCTTCCCTGAATCATCGTCGAGATTCAAAATAAGCCCGGCATAGGCTTAATTGATTACTCTCGAAAACATAAAACGTCCACACTATTTATTGTTGTGGAAATTGTTATAAAATCTACTACGCGAGATGTACTTGAAATAGAAATACATGGTTCTCCCATTTCTTTCGCAGAGCGCTATCAAGTATTGGCTTGGAAAGGTCATGCATATTTTTCGATCCAGAGGCTGTTACGCATTATCTCACTGAAACGCCCTTAAATTCTTTACTTGCATTTGTGCACTGCCTTTTAGAATAAGAGGCATTACTCGTGAACTTGGCACAGTGTAACGATCCAACTGTAGTTTCTCGGTATAACTAAATTAAAAATATAATTGGTGATCAGGTGGATTTGTTTGGTACAGCAAGTTTTTTTTTTTTTTTTTTTTTTTTTTTTTTTTTTTTTTTTTTTTTTTTTTTTTTTTTTTTTTTTTTTTTACCAAGTTTGATTACGTGTGTTGATAAAGTTGCGCAAAAGCGACATCTGGAGGACCCCCCATCTGATTTCAAATTTGCGGAACAATAGGCTGACGTTAACGGATACCTTCCATATAAAGCCCGATTATAGCTTTGGAGAAAACTCGACCGCTTTGAGAAGTACAGTTCGTACAAAGGCGAGCATAGCGCATATCATGGTGCGATGTAGAAACAGAATCAGACTGAATTATATGAATAAGCTAACCAATAACAGGGTCCATCCTTGTTAACTTAAGTCAAATCTTTGATATTAGCTATTATACATATAAATCCCCTTTTCTGTAATTAATAAAAACAAAAAACTGAAGAAAAAATAATTGCGCAAAGAAAACGTAAAAAGCAAAAAGGCGTTGTCGTTGCATTAAAAAGAAACCACATAAACAATTTGACGCCATTTACTATAACAACTCGTTATAGTTTTATAAAACTATGTACTAGGCAATCAAAAATGTCCGCTGCTACAACAAAATAATAACGTAATCGATATTTGGTGGTGTAATCATTGTAATCCTAATGATTTCATTTTTTACATCAGACTCTTACATATCAGTATCTTTTAGCTCT